TTAATAAATTTATATACTTACTTATTTTATTAATTTTAAATAACCTTTATATCTTTTATAATATAATATTATAATAAAGTTACTTTCTTTATATTATTCTTTAAATAACTTTAATTTTAAACTAATAATTTTTAATAAATAATTTAAGCTTTTTTACTATTTATTATAAGGATTTTCTTTATTTAAATTTTAAAACTAATTATAAAAATAAAATTAAAAAATTATAATTATTATTAATTTTAAATAAATAATTATAAAATTAAATAATAAATCTATATATATTATTTACTTTATTAGTTTAAATAATATTTATATCTTTTATAATATAAAATTATAACTTTATTACTTTTTTATATTATTTTTTTAAGTAATTTTAATTTAAAATTAATAAATCTTTATAAATAATTTAAATATTCTTTATTATATTATAAACTATTTATATTCTTTTAATTTTATTATTTAATTAAAAGTAAATAATTAAAGGTTTAAAGGAATAATATATTAAAAATTAATATTAAAGCTAGGGGTGAGGACTTCACACTTAGGGCTAGAGGTCCTCTACCCCTAACTTTTATGGTTAACTATCTACTTATAATAAGTAAGAAAGAGGATAAAATAGTTATTTCTAGGTACTAATTAAATAAGAATAAGAAGGGATAAATTACTAGTAAAGTCCTTTAGGGGAGAGGTACCTATTTATATAGTCTATATTTAAGGCTGTTACTAATAGCTATTAAGATAATATTATTATAAATTATAAAATTATATTAATATTTATAAATATTAAATTATAGTATTAAATTTATTATATAATTTAACCTTTTTAAAATAATTTAAAATTAATAAAAATAAAATTATAATCCTTTTAAAAGTATTAATTATACTTAATAAATAAACTTTATTAAAATTAAACTATTTAAAAACTATTACTTAATTTATAACTTTAAAATATAATTAAATAAAATAATAATATTTTAATATTTAAATTTATAATTTTAATAATATTATTATATAAATAAAAATAACTAATTATTAAATTTATAATTATATAATATAATATTTTATATTAAAAAGATATTAATATTTAAAATAATTAAAATATTATTTAAAAATATAAAATTATAGATTTAAATTTAAAAGTTTTAATTTAAAATTTATATTTATAAAAATAAAAGTATTTATAAAATATAAAATAAGGTTTAAATTTAATTTAATTAAATTATAATATAATAAAGTAATTAAATAAGGATTAATTAAAAATAGAGAAATATTATTAAATAAAAGGTGAAAGTATATAAATTAAAGTTAATTTATATATTATTTAAACATGAGCTAACCTTTACTTACTTAACTTTAATATTCACTTACTTAATAGTTTCTATAAACCTACTTAATACTTATTTTTCTATATAACTCCCTTATATTTATAAGTATATTTTAAGTTAATATTAAAGGTTTTATAATATAATTTCCTTTTAATTTTTAATATTTATAATATAAACCTTTTTAATATACTTTATAATATACTTTTAATATACTTTTAATATACTATTTAATATACTATTTAAATCTTTTAATTTATATACTCTTTTAAATATAAATTAAATATTTAAATATTAATTAAATATTTAAATATTAAGTTAACATTAAAAAGTTAAATAATAAAGAAAGAATTAAAAGATTAAAATATTAAACTAATATTTATATACTTAATATTCTTTATTAATATATTAAATATTTAAATTAAAATATAAAGTTTATATAAAACTATATACCTAATTAAGATTCTTTAAACTTTTAATACTTTAAGTATAAATCTCTTTTAATACCCTTTTTAAAACCCTTCACCTTTACCTTTTAAAACTCCTTTTAAACTTTCTAACCTTTAAGTATTAACTTTTTATTTAAGAATTAACTAAGTATTTAAATACTAATTAAATATTAAAGAGTTAAAAATTTAAAGAGTTAAAAGGCTAAAAGGAATATTAAAAGGTTAGAAAACGTATAATCTTTATTTTTACCTTTTTACTTTCTAACCTTATAATATTTAATTAATATTTAAATATTAATTAATATTTAAATATTTAATTAATATTTAAATATATTTAAAAGTATATAAGTTAAATAAAAGTTAAAAGTAAAGATAAAAGTATTAAAAGGTAAAGATAAAAGGTTTTAAAAGAATATTAAAAGAAGTTTATACTTAAAGTATTAAAAATTAAAGAAAAGGTTTATATTATAAAGTTACTTAATATAAAGTTAAAAATATTTATAAATATAAGGAGTTATTAAGAAAAGTAAGTATTAATTATATAAAAGAAAGCTATTAGATATATAGATTAATTTATTAAATATATAAATATTAACTATCTTTATTTTTATTTTATTACTTTTCAATTTTTAATAATTAATTAATATTTAAATATTTAATTAATATTTAAAAGATATATAAATTAAAAGTTTAAAGGTATATTAAAAATACTTCTAATAATTATTAAAAACTATATTAAAAATTAAAAACAGTTTTATATTATAAATATTAAAAGTTTAAAGAATATTAATTAAATATATAATTTTATATAAATTAAATTTAAAAGGTTAAATAATTAAAAAGAGTTAAAAGTTAAAAATATAATCCTTATCTTTACTTTCTTACTTTTTAACCTTCTAATAATTAATTAATATTTAAATACTTAGTTAATATTTAAACACTTAATTAATATCTAAGAAAATATATAAGTTAAAAGGTTTAAAAGGTATATTAAAAAGTATATTAAAAGATTAAAAGGGTTTTTATACTATAAGTATTAAAAGTTTAAGGAATTCTAGTTAGGTATATAATTTTATATAGGTTCTATATATAAAAAGTTAGTATTAGGTAGGTCTATAGAAATCACTGGGTAGGTGGAGGTTAGAGCTGGGTAGGTGGAGGCTGGCTCACTAGGTGCTAAGCCCTCGGACACCTATTGGTAAGCACGGCATTACTCAGATCTTCTACTTATGTATCCGGCCCTGCCCGGACACCCATTTCCCGCCGAAAATCTCGATTCACGCACTCTAACAAGGGATTTTATTGAAATATTGTAGCTACCGTGGCATCTCATCTGCGATCTATTCGTAGACCTATAGCGGGTCCCAGGCCAAGACTTTGAAATCGCACCCCGAAGATCTCCTATCGTCGTCCCAGGACGGCGGCGAATCTTCCCTGTTCATCAAGAAGTATTGAATGTTTTCCAGCCGATCCACGAAATCGAATACCTCTTCCCCACCCGCAGACTCGTCAGATCTGTTACGGACCAAATAGGCCCCATTCACCTCAACAAACCTTCCGCCCATAGCGTTGAAGACCTTGATTTTTTCATTCATCCGTAGCCTCTCAGCTTCTGGGGCCAGTTGGAGTCTATGATCAATGAACCAAAGTGTGTCGACCCACATAAAAAAAGCGCCATCAAACTGGCTGATATATTGCTCAATTTGTTCCAGCCACTTCGGGTCAAACTCGATAGCGATATTTGTCGGGCAGCAGTCAAGGGCATACTTCGACCGCCAAGCGAACATGTTGCCCCGTTCTATGTTCTCCCATAGTTCATTAATGGTACCATAAGGTGCATCATTAATGTTATGATCCAATGAGATGCAGGAGTCTGGAAGTGTCTGGAGTATGATGAGGTCCTTCACCGGTTGTATCGTGAAATACTGCCGTTCCCCGTCATCTCTTTGTAGGACCGCCGTCACCGTTGCGGCTTCATCCGAGCCCCTCAGAATAGGCCAATCCTCCTGGCTCCTTCGACGATTGGTTTCGTGTGGGCGAAATCTCTGAATCATATGGCTTCTAGAGTCCCAGCAAAGTGTCCAAAGAGCCGAATCTTCCATATACGCCGAATAGTTGCCGAGGACCCATGAGAAGCCGCCATCTCGAACACAACGGGGTGCAGAAAGTTGAAGTGGATTGCCATCCTGAGGGTCAGGATCATCACCAAAGCTCTCAATTGAGGCGCCTATAGACCACTGAGGCTCCACTAAATGGCCATCCCCGAAGAAAGAGTAGACTGAAAAGCAATGGGCTGTTGGTCCTTCAGGTCGGATCGCGAATTTCCAGATGATGTCACGAAGTTCCTGTGGAAGATCAGAGAACCTAGCCATTTCTGATGACTTGAAAGCGTGCTGGACGTCAAATGGTATGGAGTTTGGTGTTTTCCAAGGCCCTCTAGGCTGTGTGGTATAAAGGGCAATTTGATGGTCCGGTGGTGGGCGGCTTTGTGAAATCTCCGAGTCCTCGAGGCTGGAACAATTCGAAACAGATGTTAAGATGAATGGTCAGGTTTGTCAGCTTCGTGAATGACTGGTCCAGCGTCTGTAAAATATAGTTCAGAAAAAGATTAATGGGACGTAAAAATTTGGATTTTCTGTGACACTAGGCACATCTAGTCTCTGTTTTGACGCAGCTGACCCCACTAGACTCTGTCGCCGTCCTAGCAGACGGACGCGTCAGGTTTGGGTTCATAGTGCCAGTGTAGAAAAAGCACGGCTTATAACACCGCACATACGCCGCCTTCCTCGTATTAAATAGCGTAGAAACTAGAGATCATAGATTCACTCCTACAAAACCGGAGGGTATACATAAGTGCTTTCGTCATCACCTACAAGTCCTGTAACAAAAGCCTTTTAAATATGTTAATATTATAATTCCATAAGTGAATATGAGCTCTTATTTGATAGCCAATCCAAGGATACACTCCGAATAGCCTTCAATTATGAGCTATGGACTATGTGCCTTATTTGAATCCCTCTACATAGACTCCTTAGCAATGATTGAGAAGCAAGGGCCTTGGTGATGTCGAGGTTGGGCTTTAATTATTGTGATTATTCTCAGACGCCGTGACTCTCCCATGATTCTGGCTGCGTATTTTTAACATAACTGATCTCAAGGCTTAGAATTGTCAGAATTCAGGGACATTTAGAGTCGAGTCCAAGTTTGTTGTCGCTCGACGTGGTGCCACTTGAGGAGGCAATTCGAAACCGGCCGAGCAGATGTATTCTAGGATCATCGGGCCGCTTCCATGCATTCTGCATTGCACTATTCTTATCTAAGGGGCGATGCTTTCTTTCAGGAGCTGCTTTGCCTTTTTGATATGCCACCGAAGCGCCTTTACGCCACCTTTACCACGATCCGAGGCCCCCGCTTCCTCGTTTCCGATGATAGAAACGGCTGTCTTCATGAAACCTTGTTGACCAAATAGACCAGGAGCCTCTGAATCCCTATCTCCAATGCGAAACTCACGCGGTAGGCCCAGAAGTGGCTCTAAGCGCTCAAAAAGGCTGGTGACAATCTGGATGAGAATGATTGTTTGGAGGTTGCCAGATTCTGGCAGCATAGGGTCAGCGCTTGCAAGACGAATGCGGTGCTCCAGTGCAACTCACGTATTGGAAAAGAGCTGAAGTTCAGACCAGGGACTGGACATAGTACTCGGTCGTCACTTTCGGAGGTCTCCTTGAGCAGGTCATAAACATTGGCAAATATCACCAAATGTAGTCGTAGCACACGTATGTAGACAGTCAGAATGGCAAGCAGAGAGGTCGAGTCCAAAACTGCTGTAGGTTGTGAATCGGAGTTTCCAAGAAACGAAGATGGGGATGATGATCCAGAAGTCAAGGATTGTGAGGAGGAGTCTGAAGGCGTATCGTGATCCATTTCAACACTTCCACGGCTCGTGTCTGCCGGATAGGAGCGATGCTTGAAGGAGTTTTGGGACATTCGAGGCGCGGCAGATGAGGCTGGCCCAGAAAAAGCCTCCAGCACGTCAACGAACTCTCGCGTTCTGTTCAGTATTTCATCCACTGCAGGCTTCGAGGATTTGGATTCGTCGATGGGGGAGATGAGGGTGTCCATTGTGACATGAGTGCGACCCTTGTCGAGGACAGTTAAGAGAGTGACAAGCTCATAATCGAGCCTGGAAAGTTGCTGAAGAGGACTACCTGCATCTTGCTGGGGAGTTTCGCCGCTGGTCCTGCTATCAGGAGTTTCGTCCAATCCAGATTCTGGGGTCGGTTCGTTGGATGTTGAACTGGGGTCAGCGATATGCGGGCCTGCGGCTCTTATGGGATTCAGATAGTCGCGAGATAGACCAGACGGAATGTGTGGACCGGGCTGGGCTGCGGACAGCGCTTCTGGCATAAAGAAGTCATCAGAAAGACCAAGGCTGCCTTGGATATACTCGAGTGAAGTCTCTGCAGGTTGAGAGAAAATGCCCTCGAATCCCAGAACATTCCCTGCCGCATGTTGTGCCGAAGATTCTGGCAGGGTTCGAGGTAGAATGTTGCTAGGATTCGTCAAAGCAGCGGACTGGTCGCTGTAGAATGGGCTTCCGCTGTGACTGCTGTTCGCAAATTGCGTACCGAAAGTACCGCTGGACTCGCTGGGAGTCGTCAAGTCTTCCTCCTGCTGTCCTCGACGTTGGCGTTTCTTGGTGCCGTCGCCAAGCATAGGCACGTTTGGGCTGTCGTAGGCGATGATTTGCCAGCTGCGTCGCCGGCTCATCGGGCTGGTAACACAGTCGGCATCCGCGCGGATGCATCGATCACACCTTGTCTGGTCTGCATGCTCTCGAAGACATCTTGCCTTCTGCACCCGGCATCTGTCACAAGCAAATCTGCGTGATGAGATGCCGGGTACTGGGGCTGCTGTTCGTTCAGTCGACATCTTGGACCAACCCTTCAGCATGTCCAAGGTATGAAATGGCCAAGAGCCCTCCCTGTCCAAGACATCTCGTTTCAACCAGGTGTCTCCAGCATTTTAGGCGGCAACCAGGTGGGGCTCACGTGCCCCCGCCTGATAGGGCTTATTACTGCTGAACCAACATGCGCAGACCAGGCAACCAGTTGGATGAGACAAGAGTACTTAAGTACCTACTTAGGTAAGTAAGTAACCAACCCGATCCCTAGCTGCAACTAGGGGTTGCATCTACCCAGATATCTAGTAGGCCCGGAACGCACAGCGTTCCTTCGATGCATCTCGGGAAAGCCGTCAACAGCCACCAGTGATGCAGAAGGTGGAAATTTACAGTACATTCGATCGACTGACGGCGGCGTATTGCTCCGGCCGGCACGGCGAGTAGCAACAAATCGGAGGGCCGTTGCTGCAATGCACAGAGGCATGGTTATGATCAACAAGACCGTGATAGGTCCTTCAGAGACATTGTAAAGGATGATTTGGAATCATCCCATTGTACTTGCCTTCAGGTAAGTCCGCTCTGTTTCCAAGACTCTGCCCGGGCAAGGCCCAGTCTCAATGGTCTTGGTCTTGAAAAGCAAGATCACAGTCGACCACAAGAGAGAGGGAGGAGACGAGAAGAAGGGACCAACTTGGACCGCAGAATAGACACATCATAATCCCATAAGAACTTAAGAATTGTGAGAACATGAGAGACTTATCACGCTTGCTGTGCTACCGGTTGCCAAGAATAGAACCGGGCTTGTTGGAGCCGGGCAGGACCGCGCTCTGCATTCCGGGGACGGGCACGGAACTCCGGGCCCGATTTGGCAAGTCGGAACCCGGATGTCAAACCTCGGCGCCGCAAGCTGGCCTCGCGGGGCCTCACAACTTCCTTTGTACCTAAGATCCCAGATTCCTTCACTTGACTTGCTTGGCTGGATCTGTGGTCTCGGCCATCCAGGTCTATTGATCGAAATTTTTTTGCATAGCGTTTCTGGCAGAGAGCTCTCGATTGTCGCCCAGCCGAAGTGGCCCTAACCTGAACGCCGAACAATCTGCTGCCATGGATTCAGTCATACCTACATTGAAATCGGCGGCCACCGAAGAGAATATTCAACAACTGATTGCTACTGTGCTTGCAAGCGTGCGTCCCTTATTTCCGAGTCCGGCTGCAGATGGAACCGTAAGAAAGCTCACTAGTACACTGATCGCAGGTCATTTTGTACGCTGCGGTCCGCACAGTCTACAATGTGCGATTTCATCCACTGGCCAAGTACCCAGGGCCTCGACTAGCAGCAATATCAAATGTGTGGTATGCTTATAACTGGTATGTTTCAAATTAAATCTACACGATGGAGCAACCATCGCGAAATTTAAATAGACTTGGACTGGGCTCTCCGCGCTAGGACCGCATGCCCCAAGGAAAACATTGCAACTAATTTGCCTTATGATCAGGCTGAAAGGAAGATGGCCCTGGAAGATCGAGCAGACTTTGAAACGCTATGGTACTTATTTCATAGACTGCTCACCGCAAATTCCAAAAAGGCTGATGTCGTGTTAGGGGATGTTGTTCGAATTGCGCCAAATGAATTAGTCTTCATCACACCCCAAGCTGCCAGAGGTGAGCGGTTGTCACATACGCAATAACTCGGACAAGATTATTTGTCTACCAAAGTATCCTAACATGCTCTCCACGTGGTCAAGATATATATCTGCCACATGACAGGATGATGGAACATTTTGTAAAGACAGATTTTGAGGACCTCGGCGAAGGCGATGGCGGCATCTCATTTGAAACCGATCCAGTGAAACACCGCGAAGTGGCCAAGAGAATGGCGCCGGCTTTTAGCATGAGAAATTTCAAGGCCAAGGAACCCACTCTTCAGAAATACATCGACCTTTTCATCAACAAGATGAAAATTGTGGGAAGCTTCGAACGCGGTGCCGAGATGCGGCGCTGGGCAGACTGGTTGTCGATGTATGCACAGCCTCTTGCGGCCCTCCCATTGCCCTTTAATGACAGTCATTCCTCTTGAAGGATTCTTCGCTCTGTATCAACCCTCGATCAGATGCATAGTACCAATAATATTGGAAAGCTGGCTGATAACCTGGATGTAGGGACATTGCAGCCGACATGACATACAACCGTCAAATGAATCAAACCAGAGATAGTAGGTATACCTCAGGGGATAAGATCAGTTATATTGCTCGAATTGACATATCACAGTGAAGAATGATATTTTTCTCGACGCAGCTATCAAAGTCAACTTGTTCGGAACCGTCACCCAAATTTCCAAGAGGTTCCCACTGCTCAGCCCCTTGATGTATCTGTTCATCCCGCCATCTGTCTGGCTCTCATTGCCTCGTGTCATGCGAATCAACGGCCAAGAAGTACAGAGACGAATTGACCGACGTGGCCAGACAGACCATCTCGACTATTTTGATCAGGTTGTTCCTGCTAATGAGCCACCACCGAGGGACAAGAAACAGATCACACACCTCGAACAGATAGCTGGGCAGCTCCTTGTGGCAAGCTGGGAGCCGGTGTCAAACCAGATGTACTCCGTTATCTTTTTCCTTCTCCAGAACCCGCAATCTTACTCAGCTGTTACCGCGGAAGTAAGAGCTGCCTTCTCGGCTTACAGCGATATAACTCCTGACTCTGTGGCAAATCTTCGGTACCTTCACGCATGTCTGCAGGAAACATTTCGCCTGCACCATAACACCGCAGATGGACTTCCCCGAATGAGCCCAGGGGCCATCGTGGATGGGATATATATCCCAAGAGGAGTGAGTTATACTACCCATCCACTTAAGGCCAAGCGTCTACTCCAACTCAGCGGGGCTCCATCTCGCTAACAAGGAATGCTTTCCCAATAGGTGATTTATCAAATCAGCTACTTTATCAGGGTCTTACATACCAAGGCCGCTAACTCATCAGAATAGCGGGTATATAATAGCGCCCCCATAGCAAGGGCGCTTTAAGAAAGAGACTTCCTCCTTAAGTATTAATAAATTTACTATACCCTCCCCTTCTCTAACCCTACCACTCTACCTATAACCTTTTACCCCTAACAGTTTAATACCTCTACCCTTTAAAAAAGTAAACTAATAAAACCATTATTTTAAACACTAATTAAAAATAAATTAAAAGAAGTATAATTATTATAAAGAAGCTATAATATTACTAAATAAACTATACTATTAGAAAGCTATAAAGTTATTACCACTAAAGAGCTATAAGGTCATCACTATTAAAAAGCTATAAATTTACTATTAAAAAGCTATAAAATTACTATTAAAAAGTTATAAAGTCTAAATTAATACTATAAACACTACACTACTATATAAAAATAAATCTATAAATAAAAAGCTACCTATTTATAAACCTTTTAAAGAAAGAAGTTATATAAAATAATTATAAGTAAAATAAAGCTATAAGGATAATAAACTATATTTATACTATAATAGTAAATATAAATCTTATTAAACCCTTTAAATTAACTATTTAAATCTTTAAATAAAGAAATTTACTACTTTATACTAAATAATAATAGTATTAAGAAAAGTACTTAAAGTTATAAAAGAGTAATAAATATATAATTTTTATACATAGAGTTATACTCTATTATATTATATTTAAATTTAACTTTTAAATATAAAAATAAAAATAAAGAATTTTTAAAAAATAATATAGTTTAATAAGTAGAGTGTTTAAGTTTAAGTTTAAAGTAGAAAGTTAAAAGTTAAAAGTTTAATTTTTATTAAGAGATCTTTTTTTTCTTTTTTATACTTTACTTAAAAGAAAGATTAAAGTTTAATAACTTTTATAATAAACTTTATTATCACCTTATTATTATTATAAAAAAGCTTTACTATCACTTTATATTATTATTACTTTATTATTTTACTATTATTATAAAAAAGTTTTATTATTACTTTATTACCTTATTATTACTATAAAAAAACTTTACTATTACTTTACACTATTATTACTCTATTACCTTACTATTACTATAAAAAAGCTTTACTATTATTATAACTATAAAAGACTATAAAGATACAATTTATAAAAAAAAAAGAGTTTATTAAAGTCTTATATATTAAGGCCGCTAACTTATTAAAATAGCAAATATATAATAATACTCCTATAATAAGGGCACTTTAAGAGAGAGACTTCCTCCTTAGGCATTAATGGATTTACTATACCCTCCCCTTCTCTAACCCTACCACTCTACCCGTGACCTTTTACCTCTGACATACTTCGCCGCGGCGCGGGATTCGCGCTATTTTGCCGAGCCACTGAAGTTCCGTCCGCAGAGATGGCTGCCGACTGACCATGCTGCATACGAGTCCAAGTTCGAGCGGGATGACCCCCGGGCCTTCATGCCTTTCAATCAGGGGCCGAGGGCGTGCCCGGGCTCCGCGATCGCTTGGGCGGAGACTAAAGTCTACCTCGCCAAGATCCTGTGGACCTTCGAGTTGCAGGCTGCTCCGGGTCAGGATATCAGCTTCGAAAAGGACTTCCAGTTCTATTCCATGTGGAACAAACCGCAGCTCTGGGTCCGTTACATACCCAGGAATAAGGAGTAGTGTAAACCTATTTTTGTGGCGTATAAGGAAGTTGTTGAGGCGAAAGGGAATCGACTTTCCACAACGGCTATATCTGGCAGTGAAAAACTTGCTGCGGACCGCCTTCGTATCAGGGTCTCGACTAGGAGCCCATTCGGATCGCCCGCGGTGAGGGAAGTCTTACTGATAGTTCGCTGATTAGATAGCTTTTCAATTTTCTAGTAATCCAATGGCCTACATTTGGATCACATGCTCCCAGCGTGAACTATAGCAAGACTACCAGCTTCTTCCCTGAGACTTTGCCCTGTCTCAAAAGCTCTAGACCTGGTAGAACCTTACTAAGGCCTCTGCCTAAGATCTCTATCAGGTGAGGCTTCAACTCCCCGTTATCCAACAGTCCCTGGAACATGCGAAAGTAACGAGCAACTGCTTCGGGTTTGTCACTGCTGGCTTGGTGTCTGTATTCTCCTTCAAGGCTGACCTCCTTCCCAAGCGCCTCCAGCCCCATAACGAACCTATGTTTAACAGTCCACCGACCACACTTGATCGCATCTCCTCTGATGGTACCTCTAATGAAGCATACCTCCCACCCACGCGACCCAGAGCTGCATAGCAACAGGAAACCGAGTCGTCATCCACTGCGCAGTCAAGAGCGTGACGAAGACGTCCACCAGTTTCCTCTCTAATGAGTTGTCCCTTTTCAGGTGGTTTCGTTTTTAATCCCCATACATGTAAAATGTACGTGGCGCCTTCATACAGTGGTAAATGCTCAAGACCCAGCGTTTGAAGAAATACAGTGCCAATAACAGTTTGTCCCTTTTCAACTGCAGAAGTTCGAGCGTAGTCGAAGGTGGAGCCAGCCCCACATGCATGTACAAGGTCGAAGTTCCGCGGTGAGCATGTGGCCACTGGTTCGAGCCCGGACATGCGGATCAGCTGGATCGCTATCGTTCCGACGGACGAACTGCCACCATATACAGGGACGGGATATGGCTTGCGTGCCGGAAAGTCGGGGGATGAGTCCAGATTGAAGGCTTCGGGGTCTGCCCACAGGGTCAGGGCGCTCGTTGCGAGGGCAGTACCCAAAGAAGAGGCTTGAGCTGGAGATATATTGACACTGTCCGATATTCGAAGTAGAAATCTGACGTCCGCGCGCACGAACTCGCTGAAGGCGCCATTCCGCGCTCGTGCTCCTCGTGGCTTGGGTTGGACCCATGGACAACTCCGCAGACCAGGTCACCCACCCGGAGGTGCGTATTCGGCACCGTGTCAGGATGGATGCGAACTATTGATCCTGCAAAGTCGCAGCCAGCTATTGCGTTTTCGCAAGGAAACCTGGAGGACATCTTGTAGTCTGCTGGTTGCAACGCTATAGCCTGTGTTTTGATGAGAGCGGTGCCTGGTGAGAGCGTCGGCACAGGCACATTCTGCATGACTTCAAATGTTTCGACTGACCAGATCCATCTTGGACAACTGCTTTTTGCACTTTTGGCATGTCCAGCTGGACCCCTATATCCTTGTGCATTTTCAATGTTTGCCAAAATTGTGGCTCTGGGAATGACGTGTTGTTTTCTCGTTGCTGTAGTCACATGTCCCCATGCTTTTATAGGTTGCAGCATCCCGCATGACTGATAGCGGCGGAGGAAGTGGCGCATGGATAAACAAGGCCTTCACAACAGTTGACGGGACTTGCATACCCGATTCGGACTTCCGAGGGATTGTTGGCGGCTCGCACTAATGATTAGCCACCCCAGTTTGCCTCTCGCCTGTGATCCTTGATTAAGAGATCGGATCTTCGCACCCACCAAAACGGAGGGTATACCCAACCCCCAAGGGACAACCTCTCATAGGACAACTCCTATGGGATGACCTCCTATGGGACAACCTCCTACGGGACACAACCTCCTGTAGGACAACCTCCTATAGGATAACATCCTATAGGATAAACATATGGGATAATTACTTGTAGCTTGGTGCAAAACTAAGCACTTTGTGAGTTCCCTGGTATGGGTGTACCCTCCCAGGCCGTTTTGGCAGGTGCGAATATCCGATCTCTTGATTGACGGGGCTTTCGGGAGCAGATTCTACAACTGGTTTGCAAGACGGAATGAAATGAAAGGCCTTTGAATGTGAGATATGGCTTGCAAATGAGGCTAATGCCTAATTAAAGTTGATTTGCTTCTTCAAACGATTTTCTCTGCAAGTTCTCCAGAGGCATCCATGAGCCATCTGTAAAGCCCCTAGAGAATGTAATCAGAAGTTTCGTCCTGCTCATGATGTGCCGGATCCTCCCAGTCTTACTCCGCTGACACTATTTGGTAACTGGTGATTGCTCTATTGTATCTTCCGCCCGACTTTTCACGCCATCTCCATTCAACGCCACTTTCTTCGGATCACCTTTCAGGCCATACTCAGTTTCCAATTCCGTTCTCAAAACAATTTCCTTCTCTAAAAACACAATTAATAATGCCAGTCCCGCAAATGCCACGGCTATCTGCCAAACCCGTTCTAAGGCGTCTCTGTAGACCCCGCGGATCTCATCTTGATATTCAACTGGGAATTGTCGCACAAATGCAGCGGACGCCGACTGGTATGCACCACCTCCTGTAAGCTGGTTATGAACGCCCTGATCTGAGATCCGATATGATAATGTGTCGACGCGGTTGTTGAAGATTACCGCAGGGATCGCAACGCCCCAGATATATCCCAAAGTCCGGATAAAACACCAAGTTGCTGTGGCTGCAGCCTGGTCTGCCTCAGAAACCGGGGCCTGGAAAGACGGCAGCAGAGTGTTGAGGACCATACCGGCACCGAGGGCCAACAAACACTGAAAGACGGCCCATTCGGCGACGCTCGTATTTTCGTCCTGGATAGAGAACATGCCGAGTCCCAATATCCACCCGGCGAAGCCTGCAAAGTGCAATGGGCGATATTTGCCCCAGCGGCTCAACGCGACAGCAGAGATTGCAGCGCCGGGTATACCGACCAGAGACTGTGGCAGTAGGGCGACTCCTGTTCTGCGGGGCGAGTATAGCTTGACAACCTGGAAATACACCGGGAGGAAGAAAATGAGCCAGAATAGAAGGGCAGAGTTGATGAAAGTTATGATCGCAACGACGACAGATGTTCGGTTACCAAAGAGTCGTGGTGGCATCAAGGGCTCGACTGGGAATGTGGTGTTCTCATAGAAGCCAAATATGACCAAGCCGAGGAGCCCAAGGAGCAAGGGTACGAGAGTGTGCCAAGATGACCAGGCATAAATAGACCCAGCATAGCTCAGCGCATAGAGTATAGCAACTGTAGCTGCCATGAGAATGGCACTGCCAACGTAGTCGATGCGTTTCAGTTTCTCTACCCATCCCATTTCCTTGTTGTACTCAACGTGAAGGAAAAGGTAGAGAATAACAAGCGACGCTCCGCCGATCGGGAGATTTATCCAGAAAACCCATCTCCAAGTAGTCAAAGATACGATAGCGCCGCCGATAAATGGGCCCAAGGATGTGCCTACACCGTAGATGGCGAGCACAACGGCCATGTAATTCCCACGTTTTCGCAAGGGGACAAGATCCGATACGATTATATCTAAAGGAATCAAAATCAGATTCTAAGCGTCATCTTTGGGGATTGAAGTTATGACACTGGTCAGAAGACGCACCAATGACCATAATAATTCCTCCCGAGCCCATCCCCTGCACTGCACGCCCAGCAATGAGCATGGCACCAGTATTTGCGCCGCCGCAGATACCGCTCCCGAGGGTGAAAACTGTTCGATCATGTCAGATGTGACCCCGTGGGGTATAGGATACAGGCCGGTGAACTTACCTGCCACGATAAATAGTGTCACCCATCGACGACCAAAAACATTGCACAGCTGGCCAAACAATGGTTGGAATGCCGCGCTGCAGACAAAAAACGCGTTTGTGATCCATATGTAATCACTTCCGAGCTTCAGGTCAGACAGGATCACTGGCGCTGCGGTCGACACGACGGTGTTCTCTAATGCACCGGGAAGATTGGTGATCCCCAACCCGATTATAATGGCCCAAAATTGGAATCCTCGATGGAAGTCATCCTTGTTCAGGCTGGGTCCTTCCTGAGCTTCAATATCCTCGCTTGTTCCCTCGGAGGAGACAGCTGCCTCTGGTAGACCTGCTGCAATGCCTAACACGCTGTTCGTCTTCTCATCGGGTGCCATGGCTTCAACGTCCTGAGCACCAGGCTTGCCAGTGTTTCGCAACCTTCGAACGGACAGCGGGCAAGGAGCTGGACGTACTGACTTCATCGAGAGTTCAGTACTATATTATAGCAGGCTTTCACGGGCCGAACTCACAAGTACTAGTAGGGCACGGAATGGGCGCCGATGTGCATAGGGTGGTGTATCCGAATCCTCTGAGTCTCACACCATAATATTCCGTCCGGACTGTCATGTAACCAATAACATTAGGGGTTCCGAGGCCGTGCCGGAATTCCGTTTCCGTTTACGGCTAGCGGCCTCCGACTCCCCCAGCTGTTACCACAGTATTCGCGAATACCTAGGTACTGTTGTCCCACATGACTTCTGTTGTAATTGTGCTCAGAGTTGGCAAAAGGCAGATCACACTGGGCCATCGACGAAGGATGTGCCTCGAATTTCCCAAGTCATGATAGATTAGGAGCGTCAGCGTTGTATGTATCTGCGTTTCTTCTTCCAGATGTAGAGTGAAGATACTACCTATGCCCAGTACCTTGCTTTAATTCTTTACGCTCCTGATTTCCTATCTGTACAAACAATGAATCATTTTTAAGTTGATTCTTCATCGTATGCGACCGAATGAATGTAAGAAACTCGATTCCAAAGCACGCAATATGCATTTGGACAAGCCCGGAGCGGAAACACTCGATGGTCCTGTCCTCGCTGTACATATAGGTCGGCTTTCCGAGATTTCATAGCACCCCTCAGCTTTCGTTGCAATTCCTTGAGAGGATTTCAAGTACGGCGCTGATCTCCAATCAACAGTTCTGTAAAGGTATAAGCAGCACATGCAATGCATATTGAAAGATTCATTGTGCGGCCGGACGGCTTCAAATTAGAAACGAAATTGCATATCCCCTTTTTCTGGATCCCGCAAGCCTCTGTTCAATCTCTACATCGTCAATATGCTTCCTTTCTACCTAATGTCTTGGGCTGCTATTGCCGTAGATTGATAGGCACTAAGGTCATGAACACAGCTGTGTCTGGTCTGGCAATGGATAGATTACATGCCGTTGGTTCAATCTCGTCTCCATCCAGGTGGAGAAATGAGCGGGTCGTTGCAAAACCAACAGTTTCTTCTGGCTTATTTACCTCCAGCAACCGCAACACGGTCTAACCAGGTGCATGTTAAATTTAAACAATCATGTATGCGGGGATGCAAAACCACGAAGTCCACGACCTTCACCCTTTAGGCTGGGAAAACGACCCAGTAGAAGAAAGGTTTAGGCTATCGACGATCGATCTCACGCCTAATTGTGCATATAATCACTTTGTGCTCTTTTTCCGGCTTGATCATGAGAAGACCGCTGAAGTAGCCGACGTGCTAAAGAAAGGTCTTGAGCGCACTTTGAGGTATGTGTTCACGTTTCAGAATGGCCTATATACACCCCTTCTCTTCCTATGACAAATTCAGCCCAGGCTAACAGTAGCATTCCAGCCAAGCAAGGTATCTGTGCGGAACCATTGACCGAGACCCGGACGGCGGCTATTCCTTCGTCAAGAAGAGGAATTCCACGGTCAAGTACGTTGTGAAATGCACGAGTTCTCCATCGCTTACCGAACTCGAGGGGATGCACTTCGCGTGCAACGCCCTGGGCGATCTCGCCTTTTGGAGCGCAAACCCATGGATGACATGGGGAGAGGGAAAGCCCGAGGCCAACCCAGACAGTGGTACAGTCGTCGCGGCATACCAGGTGACATTCGTTCCCGGAGGCATGGTCTTCAGTATGCACAGCCATCACTACGCGTCCGATGTGATGGGGTGGTACAATTTCACAAGCCAGCTTGCCGAGAACTGCTATGCTTTGTACAAAGACACTCCATTTCCGCCCTGGGACCCAGCACGTCTCGATGTGTCCCGCTTCACCCTGGAGATTCCGGCAGCCGATCAGGTCGATGGTCCGCCTGTCGCGCCGCAAGCTTCACGCCATCCAGACCAGCAAGCCCTCCTGTTTCACCTACCTCGGAGCAAGGCGGCGTCTTTGAAGGAGCTCGCGTGCCCCGCAGACAAATCGCTTCGAATTTCGACATACGATGCCATGTGCGCCTTTGTGTGGCGACAACTCTCTAGGGTACGGGCGGTGTTCTACAACGTCAATCCATCCACGCAGCCGTTTTTCGGAGAGGCCGTCAACATGCGGCCACGTCTGAACAACCCGGAGCTGCCAGAGCGTATGCTACGGATCGTGCTTTGCGGAGCCTTTGGAAATACCGCTCCTGTGCCGCAGCCTACAGTCAAGCAGCTGATCGCGCCTGAACATGAGTGCCCCCTCTCGGAGCTGGCGCTGTACATCCGGAAGCTCACCAACAGCTGTGATCAGCAGCACATGGAGGCTCTCTTGAAGGCGATTGCACCCATCCGCGACAAGCGGTCCATCAGCTTGAACCTCGACGCATTGCCGCCGATGTCCATCTGGGTGACAGATCACCGACCCGCTGACGTGGGTGATTTGGATTTTGGCTTCGGCAAGTCGATTACTCATCGGCATCTGTGGGGTGAGCATCTGTCTCCCGGGCTTATCCTGATATATGCACCGATCAAGCCGTCCTCTAATCCAGATGAGGGCTTTATCCTCACGGTGACCATGGAGAAGGAGTTGGTGTCTAGGTTGCTTCAAGATCCGGAATGGAAAAGCTATTTCGAATATTTGGGAGAGGATTAGACTCTTCGGATGGTCTCCAGAGGTCTCTGGAAACATCCTGAAAGGACTGCGCTGTCACTATGCTTTGGCCCGCCGAATTATATTTCTCTCTGTAGCCTCTGCTTCGAGATTCTAAAACTCATTGGTACTGATTTCACTGGACAACATCTTCACCCATTTAGACTTCCCTGTCACGCGCCTCAGGCAGGCAACATAACATAACCCTCGGGCAGCATATCCCAATATATGCCAGGGGCGACTGAGCCTGATACGTACCTAGGTACCTAGGTACCTACCTAGGCAGTCTGCTCGGCTCTTTCAATGAGTGACTTTCTTCAACAAATTAATTCCTCAAGGAGATTGTTCCCATAAAATGATATCCAAGTACGAAAAGGTACATAGGTACGGAGTACGGCTGGGAGGCCAAGCTTGGCGCGATGTTGCTGCAGACAAGGCCGAGATGCGAGTCTAGGGTTAGGGCAGGGACGGGGACCTCCATTCAAGGTTGGGCCCAACCGCCCACTTCCCCTGCGCAGCCGCCAGCGCACGGGCCACCACGTGACTTGGCGCAGCTCATTCCAGGCAGCTCGCAGTCCGCCCGACCACAGCTCAACCACTCCTTCGCAACTCGATCATCCACCACGAGTATCCACCATCACCACCCCCCACCAACACCATCGCATGTCGCGACCGCTCCCCACCGAGCACCATCTACATATAAGAGGGTCAGTTCAAAGGTACTCGCACCGGCGGGTAGCCGCGCATCGCCTGCGGAGCCTGCGTCGCCTCGAGGAGTTGTCCACCGCGCCCAAGACCGGGAAATGCCGACTTCTCTGCTCCACGACCTCTGCGCCGTGGAAGTGGGGGACCGGGGTCTTGGGAAGGGGCTGTCTCGCCTTCATCGCGAGGGCGCTGCAGCTTCCTGTCAGCGGCACGGCTCCTTGTTGGTGGCGTGGTTTTGCTGGGCGTGCGGGGACTTCGTGCCATTTTCACCAATCGTCAATCTCCTGTCGTCATCGTCGTCTCGTTGTCCGTTCCCTGTCGCCTGCGGCCGTGTCAGAAGAGTCAAGGCTGCTCTGCCAGAAGCCTGGGAGGGAGGGAATCCTGCCTACCGCAGGGGCCACGATTCGGTAATGCCCTTTTTGCCCTGTCCGACCTACTAACTTGCGACAGGCTCGAGCGGTCGGTCGGCCATGGCCGATGATGTGTCGACTGCCTCGAAGCCAGACACGGCCACCACCCCGAAACTAGACGCGACTTCCTCGTATGATATCAACGTCTCGGGCGCGCCGGCCGTGGTGACTTGGGGTGGCCACTCGCCCTTGAGCGACGTGACATGCGACGTCCGCCGCTACGCCTCGAACAATACTGCCTTCATCAAGCTACGCGCGACTCTGTTGCTGAAGGTACCTGCGTCTCTGCCTTCCAAGACCAGCCTGTTCCTGTTCATCCACCCCGAGCGCATACAAGAACTCGTCTTGGACGAGCCCTCCGAGTTCCCACCACACGAGGCTGTGAAGAAGAAGCTGGGTCAGGACACATGCTGCCTACGCTTCACGCTGGACAGGCCGGCTTCCCTGGTCGGGCCTGCTAGCCCCGAGAAGACTACACCCAAGAACAAGAGCTCGGGCGAGCTGTTACGTCACCTGCAGTCGTTGGCCCGTGAGACCAACTTCACTGTGCACCTGCCCGCCAAGGTTGTGACCAAGGCTCGACTGCAGTCGCTGTGCGTCGCGGCTACTCGCCATGGGTTGAAGGCAATCCCCTGGCAGGCTGACCTGACCTGTCTCTACGGTGGCAAAGGCGGCCGGCTCATCGAGGATGGACTTGAGGCTCCCCCTGCGGAGCCTCCATCCTACGATGAGCTGGAGCCTGGGCCACCGATGCCGCCAGCAAGTCAAGGTAAGCTGTGCTTCATCTTCTCGCCTGGCTTGCATCATGCTGACACCGTCGTAGGCTCGACTTCTCAGGGTCCTTCCAAGAAGCGGCGGCGTGGCAGTGACGGTTCAGATGCCCAGCCTGTAGATCTCGCGCTTATGGAGGCGATGTGCCGCAAGATCATGGGTGAGATGAAGGCCGAGCTGAAGCAGGAAATGAGTGACCAGCTGCACCAGCTAGAGACCCGAATCATGGACTGCCTCGAAGAGCGGCTGGCCGAGGAGACAGCGCGAGTAGAGGAACACGTCGACCAGCAGCTCCTGGAGGTAAGAGACGAGACGACCGACGAGATCGGAACCCGCATAGAGGACGAGTACTACGGTGTGCGCCTCCGCCTCGAAGAGTACGTCAAAGATGAGGTCAGAGATGCCGAGCAGAGGATCATCCAACACATAGAAAGCAACGCTACAGTGTCTTTACAATTCAATACGTAATGTTAAACCTGGACACCGTGCACCCGATGGCGCATCCGCCCCAGCTGGTGCTGATTGGACGCACCACCACCATTCCCACTCCATGTCATGAGGACCGATCTAGAACGTGCACAGCTTGTCCCCGAAGCCCTTGCAGCAAGTAGTGAACGCGTTGACATCGGTCGTATCGCATTCCTAGAAATCAGAGACCGTCAGAGTCAGCTCCTGCGAAATCACACTGTGAGGGTAATTAATTACGACCTACCCCGTCTACGATCGAGCCCCGGCCGTTGCAGCAGGAGTTGGTGTGGTCCGGGGTGAAGTTGACCTGGCCCGACGCGGTGCCCACGCAGCAGTTGGCGGGTGTTCCGGCGAGGGCACTGAGTTCGGGTTAGTACTTGATGCCTAGACGTTAGGGGATCCCGTACCCTGAGGCGAGGAAACTCAAGATCAGCGAGGCGAAATGCATGGTTGGCGGGTGTTGTACAAGTTCTGGGAATGCTTCTAAGAGGCGTGGAGGGTGATGAATCGATAGCGACAGGCCAAAAGTTCCTCAGGACTGGTGAGCGGGCTGTGACTGCTTAAGATGCCAGAGAAATCGATAATTTACAGGAAGACTTGCGATCACATTTATAATATAATTGAATGGGATGATGTACGCGGACTCCTTAGGCTGGATGGAGTCCGGGGAGGATTGGTCCCGAACTCTGTTAGCTGGGCATATCCACCTCGTCTGGTGGTGATGACTCGCAGCATAGGGGGCTCGAACCGGTTGATCCGGGGCAGTGGGTTCTCAAGGCTTCAGGTACGAGTCGCTACTTATGTGCTACTATAAATATTTGGGGCGGTGTTTCTAGTCAACGCCGCCGTTTAGACAGTTCCCCTTGGGTTTGTCTGTCCGCCGCAAGGCTGAGGTGACGTGCAAACCTATCGCGGGTATTTTTTACCACTGTTATTGACGCTATATGTTTTAAAACGCTGAGTCTCGATCGTTTACTATTGTATGAAGGCGCCATGTATATCTTCGGACGTATGCGACACCAGACGCCAGTATATCGCCCGTCTTCCCGAAACTGCCACTGGTGTGTTAGTTTCGACCACAGCACTTGAAATGCTCAAAGAGTAGCCACGTAAACTGAACATTATGGATTCTCTCAAGTTCTTCGCATGACTTCCACAAAAGAGCTGTCTTGGTGCAGCAGAGAGGATGCGACCTGCGACCTAGGCCCAGGTACTAGGTAAAGCCTGCTTATCCTTCCGTGTAACAAAAATGCAACACCTGATGTGAGATGATGGCTCGCCCCGAGCCCGGCCTTATACATTCACATTTACCCATAGCGTTGCGGCTCATCAAAGTGTCCGTGTACTAGTGGTGAATGTCATCGATATCATCGCATGGAGGAAAATCGCGTGATGGAATGGATGTCCCAGATGGAGCGGACAAGCAATAACAAACTGCATTGGTCCTTTATTACATAGAATCTGGTTCGCATCCACATTACGATTTGACCGCCCGCATCGCCAATTCTTGTGAATCCTCAGGCTAGCTGGCCCTTCTTGTACGGGAACTGCTGCTTGAAGGCCTCGGCAATCTCACTCCTCGTAGCCACCCACACGCCCTCCTTCTTGCTGATGTAGTCCACAAAGTCCTGCAGCGCCTTGAAACGGCCAGGCCGCCCGATGATGCGACAGTGGAGGCCAATAGTCATCATCTTGGGCATACCGTCCGACCCCTCCTCGTAGAGGACATCAAAGGCGTTCTTGATGTGATCGTAGAAGCCCTGGGGGTCTCGGAAGCCCGTGGTGGGGACGAGGAACTTGAAGTCGTTGCAGTCGTACGAGTAGGGCACCATCAGGCAGCCCTTGGGGCTCGACGATTCCTGTTCGGCCGGCAGGTCGATCCAGTAGGGGACGTCGTCTGCGTAGGTATCCGAGGCCCACACGAGCTCCTCGCCCATCTCCTCGTAGACCTGGGGGACCAGCGTCCGCGAGCGCGGGCTCGGGCGCCCGTAGTACCACCCCCGCGGCGCGTAGCCAGACAAGGATTTCAGGGACGTGATGGCCTTGCGGATATACTCCTTTTCCTCCTCGGCAGAGAGGTCCTGGTAGGGAATCCACCGGTAAGCACTGGACAGTCGGAGTTAGACATAGGGCACCCCGGATTCAATCATCGCTGGTCATGCTTACTGCGACGCAATGTCGTGTCCCTCCTCGACGCATCTCCGCGCCACCTCCGGCTGCTTCTCTACGGCCTGCGCGACTGCGTAGAGGGTGAACTTCATCCTGTACTTGCTGAAAAGCCGGAACAGACGCCACCACCCCGCCCGGCTGCCGTACTCGTACTCCGACTCGGCGCTGTAGTCACGCACGTTGATGGCCGGGGCCGTCACGGGGTTCTCCTTCAGGATGCTCTCTGCCTGCCCGTCCCCGGAGAGCACGCTGCGCTCGGCGCCTTCCTCGTAGTTGATGACGAAGGACACGGCGATCCTCGCGTTGTTGGGCCACTTGAGCTGGAGGCCCGCCTCGCCGTAGCCTTTGAAGTCGCGGCTGAACTCATACTGGGGGTCGGCGTGGTATGCCTCGGCCATTGATTCTTCTCGAAGTGTAAAGGGAGTAAAATATGATAATATACTTCCGTGATGAACTTGGTTCCTGTGTTTTCGCCCAAGTTCCCGAGGTCCCACAAGCTGGGGAGCACAAGAAGCTTAACAGTGTCGGGGGCTTTGCGATATATAATTGCCAAAGCCCCTTGTCCTCGCGGCCTGCATGTATGATCTACCGGTGACCACCAATAAGTCCCATTGCCAGCCACCCCGTCCCCCGATGATAGCCATCCGACGACAATCTCGGTAGGGCTCGGCGCGGATGCACGAGTCTTGGAGCTTCCCGACGTGCAGATTCCACCTTATCACAAGCGGGGACCCGCCCGGGGGGCCAATGGTGAGGACATTTTAGACGATAACCATTTTCCGGCGCCCCCGGGCCACGAATAATTGCGCGTCGGGGCTCCAGGCCGAGCCCATGTGCTTACTACATGACCGCAGAATACGACGTCACTCCGTGCATCTCCTGCAGGCGGGTCAAGCGAGGCCCACTGCTGTCTAGATCACTGATATGAGAGTGTGATCAGTCAGATTGTGATGCTCGGTGCAGCGTCATCGCAGCACCCTGCGAGGCGGGTGAGGTCAAGATGCTTCCGGTCCGAGCGGTAAACATTTTGCGGCCCACCGGGGCGTTCGGAATGGACCTACCGAGACCGACACCGGGGCAGACCCCGCTATCCCCACCCGTTTGCGCCGTGCAATGCATGTCATGGTCGAGGACATGGCTAAATACACCTTCCCCTGAAACCTGGGCCGGTCAGATTAGGAAATACGCCGAGGGATTTCTTAACCTCGGCCTCCAGTGATTGGGGGTTATCAGGGTGCTCGGAATATCTATACCGTCTAACATCTGGCGATATCATCTGCCGGAAGCAGTCCTGGCGCCGATCTCATTCGTCTTCATCTCAACACGCCTCTTCCCGCCGGGACTCCAAGATGGCAAGCAACGAATTGTATAGGCTGACCGCCTGTCAAGTCGCAGCGGGCACACGCTCCGGCTCATTCACCGTCGAGGAATATGCAAAATCGCTGCTGGCCCATATCAAGGAGAGGGACGACGCCGTCAAGGCCTGGGCATACCTGAGCCCAGAACAGGTCCTCGAACAGGCGAGACAGCTGGACAAGGTCCCGCCGGAGAAGCGAGGCCCCCTCCACGGCGTGTCCGTCGCAGTCAAGGATGTCATCTACACCAAGGACATGCCGACGCAGCACAACTCCCCCCTCTACAAGGACAGCAACACCGGCGTGGACGCCGGGTCCATAATGATCATCCGCAACGCCGGCGCCCTCATCCTGGGCAAGACCGCGACGACCGAGTTCGCCGCCACCACCGAGGGCCCCGCGACCTGCAACCCCCACGACACGAGCCGGACGCCCGGCGGCTCCAGCTCCGGCTCCGGCGCCGCCGTGGCCGACTTCCAGGCGGCCATCGCGCTCGGGACGCAGACCGGCGGCAGCATCATCCGCCCCGGGTCGTTCAACGGCATCTACGCGCTCAAGCCGACGTGGAACGCCATCACGCGCGAGGGGCAGAAGATCTTCTCGGTCATCCTCGACACGTTCGGGCTGTACGCCCGCTCCGTGGGGGACCTGGAGCTGCTGGCCGACGTGCTCCAGCTGAGGGACGACTCGCCGCCGTTCCCGGGGTCCGGCGGGCAGCTCGAGCTGAGGGGGGCCAGGCTCGCGTTCGTCAAGACGGTGGTGTGGGACGGGTTCGTGGAGCCGGGCACCGAGTCGGCGATGGCCAGGGCCGTGGAGCTCCTGAGGGCCCACGGCGCCGAGGTGGAGGAGATCGAGTTCCCGGAGGAGCTGAAGGCGCTGCCGAAGTGGCATATGGTCGTCTTTAGGACCGACGGCCGGACTGCGTTCCTCCCGGACTATCTTGTGGCCAAGGACCAGGTCCACGAGCAGCTGCACGAGCATGTCGAGAACGTACACAAGCACACCCACGCCGAGCAGCTGGAGGCGTTCGACCGCATGGCTGCGGCCAGGCCAATCGCAGATGCACTGCTGTCCAAGTACGATGCGGTCTTGACTCCGTCTGTGCCGGGAGAAGCTCCGGTCGGGCTCAAGAGCACGGGCTCCGCCATCTTTCAGTTGATATGGACGGTAAGTTGACCACAATCCATTCTTCAGGCACGATGCTGATCTGAGTCTGAAATCGCCACAGGCTCTTCATGTTCCAATTATCAACCTTCCTGGCTTTCAAGGAGAGAATGGTATGCCTGTGGGAATCTCAGTCGTGGCGCCGAGGTACCGCGACCGGAAGCTGCTGGCAGCGAGCAGATCGATTGGAAAGATTCTCGCGGAAGAGGGTGGTTGGAAGTCGGGGCTGTAGCAGACACGACTCTTTATGGCTTGTGAATTCCCCATTTTAAGACTTCAGTGTATTGTATACCCAAATGTGGACAAACTCGCCCGGTCTAGTCATATCCGGGTTTGGGGAAAGCCAGGATGCACGTGCGAAGTCATTGGACGCGATGATAGATAGTCCGGATCAACAATATTACAATGCACGGAGTGAGAACTGCACACTGTAGAAAGGCAGGGAGGCCAGAAGGAATCCAGAAACATTACCTAGTTGTCCGGTGGGACTGCTCTGAGTCCCGGTAGTGTACCTAGGTAGGTATATTACGTGACTTATTCGGGCGAGATCGATATCACGACTCGCTCCAGGGCTGAGTGCTGGTGACCGATGCGATGCGCCTTGTCTTTTGTGGCGGCACTCGTAGCCAGTGGGCTTAGTGCGGATATAGATTCATACGCGTACGAACAACATTGTGATCGACGTCACATTTACTCACGACGAATTGCCTACGCGCCGGACCGAGGCTCCACTTCAGCATCCGCGTGATCGCCGACCGCCCTAGGAACACCCCGAACGCGGGGACGCCAAGGTCTCCCGTCACTGGTCCGCGTAAATGACTTGACTCTCGACAGACTGCTGAGAAAACAAAGAACGCTCATTACGCGAAGATCCGTGCAGCGGCTTGCCCTTCGATTCGGGCGATCGTCCGACGAAAATCTCTTGGAACCCAGTTGCCAAGCTCACCACTCGGATATCCGACGAGGTTAACAATGGATCCCGCCTTGGAATTCGACCTTGTTCAAAGGCCCCAGGTGACATGAGGGGTTCGTGCCTCCATGGGCTCATATAATTATAAAGTGCCACTGGGAGGGACGCGGCTTCAATTTTCTCTGCGTGACGCCCGTTGAGCAAAGCCCTCCTGCGAGCAGTCGAGATGCAGATGTTGAGTACTCTTCTCACGGCCTCGTGCCTATTCACCGGGCTCCATGCAGCCAACTTCACAAACCCTCTGAAACGGCCGCTGGGGAGTGACCCTCACATCGTTTTCGTCGACGGCTTCTACTACCTGACGACAACCACATACGAGAACGTCCAGCTCACCAGGGCCACGACCCTCGAGGGCCTCAAGACGGGCGAGAACAAAATCATCTGGACTCCAGACGACCCATCGCGAAGCTGCGAGCTGTGGGCCCCAGAGTTGCACCAGGTGGATGGCGTGTAAGTCACCTTGTGGGACGCGTGGAGTTCGAATGGCACGCTGACAAGAGACAGATGGCACCTCTACTTCACAGCTGGGGCATGTGGGCCCTGCTGCGATACCCAGAAACCTCAGGTCCTCGAGGGTAAGCCCGTCATGTGCGAGGATTTGCAGACACGCTGAACTAACAACAAGACAAGGTGGCGCGTCGCCATGGGACGACTACACGTACCTCGCGACCCTCACAAACGAGTTCGGCATAGACGGCACAGTCCTCACCCTGAACGACCAGAACTACTTCGTCTGGTCGTGCATCACCAGCGACCTGCAGGGCCTCTGCATCGCAACGCTCGACACCCCGGGCAGCATCGGGCCCCGGCACGAGCTCTCGCTGCCCTTGGAGTCATGGGAGGTCGACGGCTTCGGCGTGAACGAGGCCCCGGCGCCGCTGTATCACGACGGCAAGACCTTCCTCGCCTTCTCGGCTAGCTACTGCGGCACCGCTAGCTACCAGCTAGGCCTCCTCACGTATGAGGGTGGCGACCCCCTCGAGAAGTCGTCCTGGACCAAGACGGGGCCTCTGTTCAGCTCGGCGAATGGCAACTACGGGACTGCACACAATGCGTAAGCCTTTCGATGCCCAACATCCCCGGCCCTTATTTTGGCTTCTAAGTTAGCGAAAGAGGGAGACAGAAGTGCTAATAACGATGTGCAGTTTCTTCAACAGCCCTGACGGCACGGAGACGTGGAACGTCTACCACGCAACCAGCATAAGCTCTGGCCACTGCGGCCGTGAAAGATACACCATGGCTCGCTCGGTGGCATGGGGTGCTGATGGCCAACCGATTCTCGGCCAGCCAGACGCGTTGGGAGCCCAGCTTGTTGGGCCTTCAGGAGAGCCTGCATGAGGGCGTAGGGCCTGTTCATGCCATCTGATATTTGAAGCGACTTTGTAAATAATGAAAGGTATTCACAAGGGAGACAAAATCCTAGCTCTTCCGCTACATCTCTCCGCGGATTTGAAGACGCTGAACCCTGCTGAGCGGTGCATAAAGTAGTACCTGGTGCGGTACGAGGCTCAGCCACGTGCCCACAGACGTACTGTATTATCTTTCCACTGTTATTGGCACTGTATTCCTTCCAACGCTGGATCTTGAGTGTTTACCACTATATGAAGGCGCCACGTACATTTTACATGTATGGGGATTAAAAACGAAACCACAAAGTAGTACCTGGCAGAGGAAAATCAAGCCCTTGACCACGGAAGTATGCTGAAGAGCCACATCCCCTTGAATTGGAATAATTCAGCAATGCCACCGACGCCTGTTTCTATTTAGTACTGGAGGCGGGTCATTTCTCAATTGCAAAGTGGGATGATTCGTATAGTTAAGGCTTGCTCGCGTGATAATGCGCTGCGGCCGTTGGGCGGCCTGAGGCCATCTTGTGGGGCCTGAGGCCACGCTCAATGTTATTTCCGGCTCTCGATGTATATAAGAAAGCAAGCTACTGCCGGTTTGTATTACCTGAACCAGCTCAGCCAAATTAACCTGTTCACTTCCATACACAGCTATCATTCCAGATTCCTTCACATTTATTCATTCCTAACAGCCTCAGACATCAACTACACCATACCGATTATCGCAATCATGCATCTGAGCAAAGCCGACCCTTTCGCATTAACTCCCGCCCAGGAGGCCCGCCGTAGACGAGAGAAACTCATGCTACAGGACACGATAACGAAAATTCTTGATGAAGAGAAGAAGAAGCCTGGACAGCAGGAAAACGCGGAGGCTGCGCAAAAGCTTGTCGATGCTTTTCAGCTTCCTGATTCGAGGAGGGCTGTCATCTATGCCATTGGTGGTAAAGCGGGTCTTGCAACAGTGACCCAGTTTGGCCAGATCCTTAAGAATAAAGACCCGAACGTTGAATTGTGGTATTTTGTAGGTGGACGGGTCTATCATGAAATAATTTCTAAATACTGGAAATATTTACTAACTTTGTGTCAAAATCAGTCAGTGGGTTACTCGTTGAGCTGGTGGAGAACAGGCTCGGACTGCTCAAGTGCTGCTGCGACCCCCTAAAGTCAACTGTGGCCCATGTCAGCTGAGCTCCCGTTGAATCGACAAGAGCCCAAAATGTATATTGAACACAGAACCCTAGGGTACTGCAGCACAAGGCGAAGGCCACGTGTCCAGGCCGAGTCTTCTTACACCATTGTTGGCATCGTGCGTTTTTTTTTATACGGCTTGATCTTGAGAGTTCACCACTGGATGGAAGCGCAGTGTGTGGCTTAGGACGTGTACGGAGTAGAAGGAAAACCAGTCAGTAATATTTGAATTTACATCAATGACTTGCATCACCCTCTTGAAGGGTTCCAATACCCATGCTGAAGATTGCTCAGCATAATGCCCCGAAGATTTGTATGGAAACCGCAGACCTGGGGGTCGGTTGATAACTTAGGGGTACGTGTTACATTTGTTTAATAAGAAGGCATGCTATCTATATAACAGGGACATTAATGTTAAGCTTTCATATATGTCCTCAGACGTATACGGAATAGGAGCGAAACCATCTAATGTTGAGTTACCATTTTGTATTATACAAGTCTATTAGGTATATTTTCAAAACCCTTGAACGCGCCAGAAAAAGAATTTCCGTTTCATTCCATCAATTGAGACCCATCAAATCTATTACTAATTTCCTTTGCTGGTTCAGTGCACAGGTCACCCCTTAATGCCCTCCACTCGAGACCGCATCGTCCACGTCCTCGGCGGCTATCTCCATTCCCTTGTCGTATCCAGAAAATGACACTCTCCACGTGTTCTCACTCCGTGGACGCAGCTGTATATTGATATCTGAGTCAGGGACGGGCATCGCATTCACCAGTGACGAATTGGCGGTTGTGGGTTTGATCCACTTGCCATCGGCAGGTTTGAGATCAAATCGGAGGACCAGCAGGGCCGAGAACATGAGGATCTCGGTGGACGCAAAATGCCGTCCGGGGCACAGCGTGGTCCCACCGCCAAAGCCACGGAATGCGACCGGGTTGACGCGTTTGCCCCCCGGGACGAACCTCTCATGGTTGAATGTGTCGACCGTGTCACCCCACACCTCTCGGTTGGTATGCTGTACTTTGGACGGCATCATGATGGTGCTTCCTTTCTTGAAAAGGTACTTGTCGCCCAGGCGGTAGTCCTCCATGGCAATACGGGTAGCCGTGCTGGTTGAGTGCAGACGCATCGTTTCCTTGAAGGTAGACAGCAAGATAGGACAAGACGATTTCACATGGGTCATGTCGATGGTACAGACACCATTGTCATCCTCCCGCACTCCTTTGGTAAGCTCATTGCGAATGGACTCGAGCACCACTGGGTCAGAGAAGATATGGTAAACCAGCCAGAATGCGCCAGGAAGAGTGTTGGTGATGATGGCTTGACTCCCTGCAACCTCGATCCTGGCCGTCTCCATCAGGGAGATACCGAAATCATTGTTGATTTTCGCGCGGGTCTTTACCAGTTCGGAGCCCTGGAGGTGCGAGCCAGTGCTGAAATATTTCTCCCACACTTCGACCATATATTCACGTGCTTTGAAGCTGTCCCTCGCGGAGAACTGAGGGAAGAGCTTTAGGATGAACATCATCATCTTGGGTTCGAAAGTGCTGTGATAATTAGCGAAGGATCAAAAGCAGAGCTCAACGATCACTTACTACCATGCCTTCTCCATCTCAGGGTCACGAAACGGATTTTTGGGCCCGTAAACGCCCTCTGTCGACGCCATGAGCAACTCGTGGCGAACCCACTGCCACAGTTGGATTTCGGTGGTCTTCTTCTGGGCCCATGCGTCCAGTGACTCGGCAATGACTTGAATCGCTCTCCTGTTCATGGCATCCAGTGCAGGTCCGGCACTAAGGGCCGTATGGACGTATTTAGGAAGAGAACGGATATTCGCACCCACAAAAACGGATGGTATACCTAAAGATATACCCCTAGTATACCAACCTTAATCTACACCACTAATTCGCTATATAAAACTAAAATTTATACTTATTTACTATATACTTTCTTATTAATTTTTAATTCCTTACCCTCTTATTATTACTTTTAATTTAGTGTTTTACTACTTTCTTTCTTTTTATTGTTTAGAGTATTTTAGTAAATACTTAAATATTATAATTTCCTTTTAAATCTCTTTTTTATTACTAATAAGGTTCTTTATAATTAAATTAACTTATAATAGCTAGTTAATAATTTTATAAGCTTTTATATAAAGTTTTTAACTATTAATTTTAATATTAATATTATTATTATTAATAAGGTTAGTAAGGCTATTTTTATATAGTATTACTTTAACTATTAGTAAGTTAGTAGTTATATAAACTTTATTATTAACTATTAGTTTTATTAAATAGTTTTTATTAGATTTTTATTATACAAGTTTATTTAGTTTAAGGATTAAAGGGTTTTATTATTTTACTTAAATATTAAGTTAATATATTATATAAAAGCTATAATTATCTTTATTTTATTATTTATCCTATTATTTAAACTAAAAGTTATTAAGGTTATTTTTATTTATAATTAACTTTTATAGTTTATAAGGATTTCTTTTATTTATAATAAATATAGCTATTTTATAAGGTTATTCTTTTATTATAGTAACTTTTATTAGTAAATTAATTATAAGGAGAGAATTTACTATTAAGAGATTATAATTTAATTAATAGGATTTATATATATTCTTTTTTAAAGGGTAGTTAACTTTTTTATAATTAGTAATTTAATTTATATAGGGTAAGTTAAATTAAGTATAAATAGGGTATATATAACTTATAAATAAATAGTTATTTTATAGAATTTATTCTTTAAATATATATATTATATAACTTTTATTATAATAAAAGTTTAAAGACTATTTATAAAACTTAAAGTAGAAACTTATTAAATTACTTTTATTTATTAAACTTTTAAAAATAGCTATTTTTAGTATATTTTTAAGATATAAAGTATAAAAACTATTTTTAATTATTTTATTAATAATTTTAATTAGATAGAGAATATTATTTATTTTATAACTTAAAAGATTTTTAATTTTTAATATATAGCTTTTATAAAGGAGGTTATATATAAATTAAAATTAAGGATTTAATAAGTCTTATAGGTAGTTTATTTAGTAATAATTTTTTTATTAATATATTAAATTTAAAGGTAATTAATAATTATTATTTAATTTAAAATTTCTTTTAAAGGTACTATTAAGTTATATTATAAATCTTTTAATTAATTAAATATTTTATAAACTTAAAAGTTAAATAAAGTTTAGTAAGTATAGAGGATATTTTTAAAATTAAAACTTTTATAGATATTATAACTTTATTTTTTAGATATATTAAATAAGGTTAAAGCTAGATTCTCTCTTTTATTAGCTTTTTTTTAAAATTATTTCCTTCTCTTTTCCTTTATTACTAATAGCTTTTTATTTCTTTTAATATATAAAATAATATTTATATTTATATAAAAGATATATAGTTAATAATATACTTTAAGGAATTTATATTTAAGAGTATTAATTAAAGTAATATTATAATTAGTTATAAAGATTATTAGATTATTAGTTTAATAATAATAAAAGGTTATAAACTTATTTTAAAACTATTAAAAGTTTACTTTTTTATTATTAATAATACTTTAAAATAAAAGTAAGTTCTTTCTTATATAAGTTATATAAATACCTTAAAAGTATAGTATTTTTTATTATTTATTATATAAATATAGTTTAATAAAAAGTATTATATAAAGTAATTCTTTTAAATTTATATAATTTACTTAATAATATACTAAAAATACTTATAATATTATTTTTATTATTAATTAAAGTAATATTAATACCCTTTTTTTTTTAAAAAAGTCTAGTAAGGTTTATATTAAAGTATAGATTTTAGTTTTCTTTTTTTATTAGTTTATTAATTAGTTTTTTAGTATATTTAGCCTTAACTTAATATTTAGCTATTACCTTTAAAGTACTTATTTAAGTTTTTTTAGCTTAATTATAGAGGGATTTTAGATTATATAAATAAGGAATTTATATTAAGGATCTATTAGTTTAACTTAACTATACTAAATATTTTTAACTTTTTAAGAATTATAATAAATATACTAACCCTTTTAAATAATAAGCTTTTACTTTTTTATTAAATTTATTATATAAATAAGTATATATTATTTATAATTAATTTTAATAGTTATAATATTATAAATTATAATAATTAAAAGTTATTAACTATTTTAATTATAGCTTAATTATATTTAATTTAAATTAAACTTTTAGATAGTTATAAGAAATTTAATAGATTTTATAATTATATTAAAATTAACCTTAAAGTTCTTAAAAGTATTATAATTACTTTAAAAAGTCTTAAAAAAGAAGAGTTAAAAAGAGTTAATTAGTAACTATTTATAATAGTAATATTAGTATTTTAATTAAAATAGTCTATTTATTATTATACCTTAAGGTTAGAATAATTTAATATTAGTATTATTATTAAAAAGGGTATAAAATAACTATTTAAATAAATAAAAAGTATCTTTAATATTAAATTAATTAATTATATTAAATTCTTTAAGGATTTTACCTAATAGTTAGTAGTAGGTAAGTAGTTAAGGTTATAGGTAGGAGGGTATTTAGTAGGTAGGTAGTTAAGGCTATAAAAAGTACTTTAGGTAGATAGGTGTTAGGGTAATGTTAAATAGAGCTCTCTAATTGGTTATAGCCCCTATAGGGCCCCTAGTGGGCTAGCTTGTATGGGTGTACCATCCGTTTTTACGGGTGTGAATATCCGTTCTCTTTGGGAAAGCTCATCAGATATCCGTGATCCTTATTCACGTCACGACCTATGATGTCGATGGTCTCCTTTTTGCAACCCAGGAGATTGGCGGCTATGTTCGCTTCTATGGCGGTGAAGGAGAGGGCTCGGAATTGAGCTTGGATTGCCGTGATAAGAGATGCCGAGTTGACGATATACATGCGCGACCCAGGCAGTCGCAGAGTATAGATGGGCAGATTATATTTGTCCCTAAGAACTGCCTACCGGGGGGAGGGGGGTAAATTGAGTGAATAGTACTATCATTTTAGAACAGTATTAACATTCTCTCAAAATATAAATACACTATTGATATAACTATATAATATTTAAATAATATAATGCTTTTCGGTTTAATATGATTTACTTATTGAAATACTCTTAATATACTATTAGAGGCTTGATATATAGATAAAAAGGGAGTTTAATTCCTACTAGAATTAAGTTTTTTTTTTTAATTTATCCCTAACCTAACTATTTATTAGCTATTATTTAACTTAATTATTACTATATATTAGGTCTATAAAGCTATAAAGTTAAGGAAATATGGAAATCTTATTTCCTTATTAACTTATAAAATTCAATACTAGTAGATTTAGAATTCCTAATATATACTAACATAATATTAAAATCTAATATATAATTAACCCCTTAACAGATTTTACCTATAACAGTATTTTATTAGCCTTTTACTAATATTTAGTTATAATATCTAGATTTTGTTTAAATATTAATTTTTGACATAATTATATGCCTATGTCAGGGACCCCCCCTCCCCCCGGTAGGTGACATTAGGATCACTTTCTTCCGGTTACCGTGATGTTAGCACGCAGACTAGGCCTTGCCATATTTACCTCATCTGACGGTGAAATTCGCCACCTTTCAATGTCATGTTGATGATAGGCGTAATGAATGGGATGGTATCGCTGATCGAAGTGGGCTCCTTTCCATCTTGCGTGAAGCGGAGCAGAGCGACCAGCAGCACATAGGTTGCAGCAGCAATGCCCGCGACGACTTGGATCAGAGAAGACATCCTTGTGTTCAGCCTCAGAGTATGTGAACGATACCGACAGCGAAAGGGGGAAAGGGAGCGTGGTATCTATGGAAAAAGACACAGAATTTTGGCGAAGGGATTCGTGGAGGGCCGTTGGTGAGAAGTTCGCTGCCCAGGTCACGGTGTTGGCCCGTTCCGCGAGTTGGGCCTGGCCGATACTAGCCCACCCTTGTTCAAGGTTTCCAGCCCCACCCAACCCGTTGGATTCTTCTCAACGGTCCGACCACGACGCTCGATGCCCCGTGATGTTGGTCGAGCCAAGATGGACGTTGGCTGAGCCAGCGCCGTTCCAATGCAATGAGCGAGAAAGCCTTGCGGGACCTTGGCCAATAGCAATTTTCTGGGCCCCGCCCGGGCGGTGCCATCCCATGTGGATCCAAACTTTAGAAATAGCTGTTGGTTCTTAGCTCTGTGCTGGCTCAGCGACTAGACAAACTCGGCTACCCTGGGACTACAAGGGGCCATGGATGCCTAGGACGCCATTGATTAACCCCATTTGCATATTCTTGTCACAGTCTTGTCACAGGAATCCCTCCAGGTTGGATTATGTGCCGTTCCTTAAACGTGGTCTGCTAAGTGCCACAGTCTGTCCGCAGAGATCGAATCTATAAAGAAGCAGACTGTACATCTACGAAGGTATATATGTTTAGAGTTTTTGGTAAGCTTTTCAGTATCTAAAACTCTCTTAGAAAGGGCCCTTATCAACCACCCTCTACACAGCCACAGGATCTACGTGTTTATTGATGTTGTTACTTCGCGAGCTCGGAGACAACAGGACTGTGGACCATGATCACCCTACCTAGCCGGCTTTGACTACTCAAGGCCGGCCACATTTGTATCGATATCCGAGTGGTCGGAGATATCTCTTGTGGACGATCTTTACAGCCAAGCCAATGTGCATGGCTTCAGTGCGAGCGCAGCAGGCCACGGCTCCCGGAGCGACATGATAGCTAGGTATTTATAGTCTAGCTATGTTATTGATCAAGAAAGTTCACTTAAAATCTTTGAAATACGGGGTGGTCCCTTTATTCTCGTCACAGAGCAAATTCTGAGAGGCCGGGAAAGGATCCTTACAATAAATTTAAAGTTTATATATTTATAGAGAAATGCTACTAGATATAGAATACTTAAAATCTAATAAAAAGATAATATTAATAATTATAAGTATTAATAGAATAAAATAATAAAATTGAATAGTAAAGTTAAATAATAAAATTAAATAATAAAATTAAATAGTAAAATTAAAGAATAAAAATAATTATAAAGTTAAATAATAAAGTTAAATAATAAAGTTAAATAAGAAAGTTAAATAATAAAATTAAATTATAAAATTAAATTTACTCTTAGTATCTAATTGTAGTGTTATGTTTGAAAAATGTAGGTTAATGTTTAAAGGATATAAGGAGGCTAATTCATTGGTAGGAAGAAGGTTATATTAGAGGAGGTTTGAAGTGCCTGTTCGATAAGAATTAAGGGGAGATCATGTACACCATTGGTGGCAGCGGGCACCTGGGCTCAGCAACGTCAAAGCCAAGGGCGTCCTGAAGGTTCGCCAGTTACTCCTCAGCCAAAGCCACATGGAGAATTTTGGAGCGGGGTAGGGAGCATCATATTACTGGTCATCTGCAGCTCTTGGATGGTTTTCCCACATTAAGAAAGCCACATAATGACACTGATGGCACGTTGGGGCCGAGAACTTGGAAATGACATCCTACGAAGCGGCTGTTCGGCCCTTCTTATCTCTTTTGATTCGATGGACAGGGCAAGTGAATGACATCAAAGCATGCTAGAGGTTGTATTCTCACTACTATTCTAACTTTGGATAACGTAGCGCCGTCGGCACGTCACATGCATGTATTGGACAGTGACCTTCCACTAGCGGAAGGCAACAATGTTGCCTTGTTTAGCGAGGATCACCTGGGGAGTTAGTTGGGCTGGAGGGAAATTCTATTCGTTGAACGTGTATCAGGAGGCGTAGAGAGACCACTCACGGCACGGCTCGCATCAACATAATAAATGGCAGCGGATTCTTGTGCCATTAAATCAGCACTCTCGACAACACCATGCCGGCTTAGAAAAAACACGCTGAGAACATCAATCATGACAGACTCCGAAATGAAGGTGGCAATAATAACCGGTGGAGGTGATTCAAGTCCTTCGAAATAACCAACACACCGATTAACATTCTCCTTTAGTTAGTGGCATAGGACTCGATGTTGTCCAGGCTCTCGCAGCAAGAGGAGGTTGGAGGATCCACGTGTTCGACATCAAAGACGACGCCAGCGGCCTCCCATCGAACTGTTTCTATCGAAAGGCCAACGTTGCTGCCTACAATGATCTCGCTGAAGCCTTCAAGGCCGCATTTGACGCAGGCGGTCAGCGCCTGGACTTCGTGTTTGCCAACGCAGGCATCTTTGACCGGGGCGACTGGTATTCCGCACCCGACGGGCCCGACGGACCCGACAGGACACCGCCCGAACCAGACTGGTCAGCTTTGGAGACCAATCTGAAGGGGTGCATGAACACCGTCCGCATTGGGAGACATTATATGGCGCAGTCTCCAGGGCCTGACCGAGGCTCCATCATCGTCACTAGCAGTATCGCCGGGATCTGGCCGAGTTACTTCTCGCCCATTTACACTGCTTCCAAACGCGAGTCACATTTCCTTTTCTCTCTTGTTTTTTAAGTCACCTGGTGCTGATTCCCTCGCAGATGGTGTCCTCGGCTTCATGCGCACCGTCGCTGAATGGTATTACACCTCGGACGGGATACGGGTGAATGCCCTCTGCCCTAGTATCGCCCGCACTGAGATCCTACCCGATGCTGTCTGGAACAAACTTCCCGAAGATGCCTTCACGCCATTGAATGCTGTGACAAAAGTGGTTCTCATGCTCCTTGACGGTGAAACTATTACAGATTCCAATGGGATCACAGCCACACGCGTCTATGGCCAGGCAGTGGTAGCGAGCAGTGATAAGATCTATCTGAACAACATGCCGGACTTTTGTGATGATTTGCACCGCTCAGTGGTAGAAGGGACACATGTGCGGCATATGATCGGCTCTCGGGAAAGAGTCTGATATGATGATTGTGTGAATGAACCGTCCGGATGCACTTTATGGCTGACTAGAGTTGGTATTCCTTCGGTGGGGACATTCGGCTGCATGAACGCATACAAAATCAAAGACTTCTTATTCCGATCGTTGTGGCAAAGGTCTCAAGTTCCTTAAAAATCAGAGAGTTTTGTCACAGAAAAACCTGGAAGTGGATCGAAGAGTCAGAGATTGCGGCCAGTATGTCTCCCCAGGGTGGCGCGGTGTTTTTGGTGCCTCTTGTCGTTGGTGCAGGCCGCCAGAAAAGGTCGTAGCACAAAGCATAAAACCAGTGACATTCATATCTGACGGAGACAATAATTGGTTTATCACATAACAATTTAACACTAGCGCCCAAGGGCATTAAGAATTCGAAAGGTCTAATAAGTCATTATCATTTCTGAAGTCAAGTCTGAATTGGTATTGAACCCCCCACTGCCATCAAACGCCACAGCCGAAGCAATACCGAAGCGAGTGGACGGTGATCAAGCTCAAGCTGTAACATTACCCGCAACCTGCTGGTAACAATATCCCCGAGTAGCAACCATCCTCATAGCCTTCCACCCTTCGGCGCAGTCCGCACCGCCGTTCATGATCCACTTTGCGATCGACCCAGCGTCGATCGTCACGTTCACCTTAGCCCCGTTGGTAGCCACCACGTTCAGGTTCAAGTCTCCGATATCCAGCGAGTCTAGTCATTCGACATTCACGCTGACCTCACCATCGTCCAGTGCTACCGCGTTGATGTTGGCGTTGTTGTCATCTGACTTTGACCCGTCGACCTTGACGTCGGCCTTGCCACCTGATGCTGCGATAGCTTTAACGGCAGCGTTCTGGTCGCCGCCCTCATTGTTGTTGTTGTTGTTATTGTTGTCATTGTTGTTGTTATCGTTGTTGTTGTTGTCCTTATTGTCTTGCTGCTGCTCATTCTGCTGGGCCTTCTCGTCCTCTGCTTGCTGCGCGGCCTCCTTGGCGGCGGCGTCGTCTTCTTCTTCTGCTGCTTGATCGTTGGCCGCTTGTCCGTTGGCCTGAGCAACTTGGGCGAGGACCTCGGCTTGCTGGGCCTCATCTAGAGCGTTGAATGAGTTGACGACGTCCTCGACGGCGGCGTCCTGGGCGGCCGCATCCTCTTGGGCTGCTGCGTCTTCCTGAGCAGCATCCTCTTCCTGAGCAGCCGCATCCTTACCGGCAGCACCCTGTTGCTGTTGAGCAGCTGCGGCTTGTTGTTGTTGCTGTTGTTGACCAGCAGCGGCCTGTTGCTGTTGGGCCGCTGCACCCTGAGCAGCTGCTATCTGGATAGCATTCGCGTTCTTCAGCTGCTGCTGCCGGGAGAGCAGGGACGGGTGTGCAGCTGCAGCCACAAAGAAGACTACAAGAACGGTTGTGTACTTCATCTTGATGGTCTCTTTTTATGGGAATGACTGTACAGCAGAGATTCTTCTGTTGGTCGGAAATTATTATGGGGGTATAAAAAAAGAACGTACAGCTCAGCTGTCTCTGGATTCGAAATTGAAAGACCGTGTTCTAAAGTTCTGCAGCCGGACAGATGACCAGACACAGAGGCAGACGAGACACAGAGGAAGTCGATCCGCCCTTATACCATGGCAACCGGCGATGCCAATGCAGGTGAAGCCTCGTCGCGATGATCAGTAACATGGGCCCCTTTGTCGTTCAGCCTCCGTCCCAAGGCTTCTTCTGCATCCGTCTTGGCGTGGTGACCAAACACCCTGTTTCCTTATATCAGACTAGATCAACATTAGTTGAGAGTTGTCCTGTGTGGATTGCTCCGGGCCTCGAGATGTAGGAATCCGTCTCAAGCTGGGTCTGATCTCCACAATCAAACATCAGTTGACGTACGCTCCACCTTGGCATTGCAACTGAGCCTGCACGCCACGCCAAGCAGCTACAAACATTCTACCACTGTGGTTGTACGGGGTGCTGAAACAGGGACATTGGGGTAACTTCATATGGTAAGGATAGCCATTTTTATCGTCCGTCCTCTACACCGAATCCTGCCTCGTTCTGTTTACCAGCTTGGGCTTCACAATGTCTTGGCCACACCCGACAGTTCTAGGAACATGTCCTTGTAAGCATTCGGGGCCCGAATCATCCGAGCAATTATCCACAACTAGATCCTGGGCTACATAAACATCAGATAACCTTTTGCCAGGATGCACATTCTCCAAGCTTGCCCCATTCGGACAGCTGCATCCAACCTTGCTACCCAGGCCCAACGATAAGGGAGTCACCCCTGCGCACTGACATTGAAGGGTCACCTCTGGTGTTGACGACGTCTCAATCGTCTAGAGTGTGATTTTTGGGTTGGACTTCTCACCGTACTACGTGAGCGCGAAACGCAGATCGTCGCCTGGCGTCGTGGTGTCATGCGACGCATCAATGTAAGCCCATGAAGATTCAACAGCGGACGAACAGAGAGCCAAGAACGAGGTGTTCCACGGATCCTCGTTTTGCATGGGTGAGAGGAGGCTAACTGAGGGGGCGTCCGAACTTCTAGATGCTCGTGCAAGCACACGCTTGTTAGCCCGAAAGTGTTCCACACAGCCAAATATAAAAAGCGTTGATCTACTGTATTCGGACTACCAGCACCTAGGCGGACATTCCCGGTACATTCGGCTTGGCGGGCGTTTGTCTCGCGATGAGGTGTAGTGATCAGGTACGAAGTGTCCTCGTTATGCATAAGTCAGACAAGCTAGCTGGGCCCCGTATAAATGCTCCTAGAATGCCGTTGATGATGATAGGTGGCATCTTGTGGACACCGCGCTGGTAGGCTTCGAGTGCTCCTCACACCTTGATACTTTTAGCTATCCTTTATGGCCAAAGTTGCAGAGACTTTTCACGGGGTGATTGCATCTCACCTCCATGCTAGCATGAAAGTGCCAATAACGCCATGAATTCACCTGGGCAACACGCCATCCTGCTTCTGAACCCAAGTACCACAGGTATTTCGATTTCGGGATAGAGAGATAAGTCCACGGATATCTGGTCTGTCTTCCACATCTACCCCCTACATGTGGAGCCAAAGCGCCTGGCTGTTCTTTATTCGAGAATATAAAATATCAGAACTAAACTTACGGAATACCCTAACACTGCCAGCTACCGCGAGAGAAAGGAAGAAGGCACCTTTCCAAGTACTGTATTTTCCTTACATTCTGACCAAACCCTCGGTCTATTACAAGTATATTTAAATTGAGCAAATCGCATTCGTCTTGACTCAGGATACGAGGCAACCTCAGCAACGAAAGGAATACAAGTATTCATATATGCGTAGCGATAAAACGAGACACTGGAATACCTTTAATTTCCCGCTAAATGTGTAACTCTGTTGAGTCGTCTCACGTAATGTTTTATGAGGCCATACTGTTCAAAAGCCTCACACAGTCATACCATATTAAAGCTTAGTCAAGTATTACTTAGAATTAACCACATCCACCTGCGCCTTCTTCACCTCCTCCAACGCAGGTATACCCCAGTTCACCATCCACTCCGTCTCGAGAACCTCCACAAGAGATATTCTCTCAACAGGTTTATACTTAAGCATGGCCTTAAGCATACCCAAAAGCGCAGTCGTCTCCTCGGCAGCCCACTCATCCGTACCTTCCTTGCGCCGCAGCGCCTGCGATCTCTTTTCAAAGCGGTGCTCGATCGACCCACGCACATCATCATCGCTATGGTCCAGCCTCTCGCCATCCTCCGAGAAAGACTCGGCCCGCGCGTCCCACCGAGCCCACCAGTCATCAGGGAGCCTGCCCAGCGCGTCAACCCAGTCCTCCGTCACCGAGTCCTCAGTTAGGAAGAAGGACCCGAAGAACAACGGCTGGGCACCCGCGATCTCGAAGATGGCGCATGCGAGCGTCCAGACGTCCGACGCGGGACCCAGCTCCGAAGGCGCGAAGCGGGCCTCGGGCGGCCGCAGGCGCTGTGGGGTGTGGCACTCTGGTGGTCCCTGCTGCTGTCCCTGCGGCGTGACCATATATGCCTCGCCAAAGTCGGCGAGGGAGATGGCGCAGTCGGCAAGTGTGATTTTCTCGCTGGCACAGCCGAGCCAGGCACCTGGCATGACCTGCTCGGGCACGCCGGGCCGCAAAGGCGCGCCGTCAAGGCGCTTGACGGGATAGGTCATGGGCTGGCCAAACGTCTCGTAGAACGCGTCTTGTGAGAGGGAATTGATATATATGCTAGGCGGGAAGCGGAACATGATGTTGTTTAGGTGTAGGTCGCCGTGGACAATACCATTCTCGTGGCAAAAGGCAACGGCATGGATCAGCTGGGCTATGATAGCGCGGGCGGTGGGGATATGAAAGAGCCCGTAACATCTCGAGGTCTCGCGCGTATCTGGGATGCTCATGCGTGTTGGCATAGTAACTATACAAGCATGCCGGCCGTTGGGACCGTCCAGATGGAACTCGTCTAGTAGGGTAGGGACCATGACGACCCTCTCGTCTTGACAGTCCACTCGCACCTGATGTAGGTAGCGGAGTATTGCTCTCTCATGGGATGCGCCACTGCTATCTGCAGTGCATATCTTAACCGCAACGTATTTGTTCCTGCCTTGGTCTCGTGCCATCCAACTGGTTGAGTAAGTGCCGTGGCCAAGTTTGCTAATAATTCGATATCGGCCCTCGTGTAGCGTGTCGCTGAGTGTAACGGGGTGGTAGCCTCCAGGTTTATATCTTTCAAGCTGTTCAACCTCCTCTACGAACTCGTACTCGAAGTCAAAGGCGTCCCCCTCGGCATTGTTAGCTTTGGCCCCAGCGTCAGCATCAGGGCTGAGCGCATCAGGGCCGTCCTCAGCGGCGAGGTGACTCATCATGACACGGGACTTGGACGTGAGAGTTCGAGACAGCGGTTGAGGGCAGGGGTAATTGTAAGCCCATGTCCTTCTGGGGTGATGTGTGGGCCGAGCTGAACTCAAGCACAGTGTTGAGCGCCCTGACAGAGCTTGAGCGCGCTGTGATGTCGAGGCGAAAGAGCGGATCGGTTGCCCGAGTGTGGTTAAGACGAGGGCTCTGGATGCAGGAGACGACAATGAGGAGGCCATTGGGGAGTTTTCAATGTATAGCAAATGACTGGAAAGATTGACAAGCAGTATGCCTTATGTGGCTGTGGCCCGAGGCTGCACCGCTCCATATACCTTTTGGGCTGAGCCTCAACGGATCCTGCGACCCCACATCAACAGGGGCAAACGTCTGCCCACTCAGCCATTGCTATCCACTCACCTAACACCTACATTTCTGAGGAACTGTTTTCGCTTTTATTCCGCATACGTCCGGGGACATACATGGCGCCTTCATTCGGTGGTAAACGCTCAAGACCTTACGTATTTTCTACGGTAAGGGTTATTATGAGGCGGAGGATGTGTGTTTAGTTAGTGTGGGTGCAATAACTAATAGCTAGAATGCGGGGCACAATAGTTTCTTGGCCTCTTCTAGCCTGCCGTCTTTCTGCACTCGCTTTTCAGTTTCCCAAGAGTTCTCTTCCCAACCACGGTCGACTCAACTCTTGCCCAGGTGGTCAGCAAATACAGCTCTATACAAGTCCCGAGACCCCGCTGGCATCCTAGACTACAACACGAAGACGAGATGCGGACGCTTGACCAAGTCGAGTACTCGCAGGAGGCCACGGTCGCCGCTGTCACCGACTTCTACGCCTTCTTGATCAAGATGTACCTCCCCGAGTCGGCTGTCGTGCACCCGCCGCCAGGAGGGTGGCCGACGCTGGCGTCTGATCTACGAAGCCTGGGCAAGTCGGACGAGGTGCTGAGCCTGCTCTCGCACCTGCCCTACGTCCGCCAGGATCTCGACGACAACGAGATACCGCAAGTCACCCCCGGGGGCCGTTGGATAGACTGGCGCACCTCCGGCCGCTGGGTTCGCGAGGGCGGCAGCGACATCGACGAGCTCCGCACCATAACCGAGGGTCCCGCCATCATGGAGCACGTGCCCGAGAGCGTCGTGGGACTGACGATGAGCGAGCACCACGTCTTCCTGATCGACACGGAGCTCGGCGTCGTCTACTGGCCCGACTGTCCCGGCCGGCTGCGCGACGGGCCCCGGTGCATCGAGGACGACCCGTACGACTACTGCGACGACGACGACGACGCCGAGTGGCGTGCCGACGGCGCCGCCTGGCCTGTCGCCGACTTCTTCAAGGTGCTCAAGGCCGAGTACCGCTCGCTGCGCTGGGTGCCGTGCAGCGAATACGAGGTCTTGGATTCGGAGAGCACGATGACGAGGAATCCTATCCCGGCGCTCCAGGACGTTTGGCGGCGCCACGGCTGGCCTACTTGGCAACAGCATCGCAAGGAGGCGTGCCTCGAAGAGGCGAAGGCGGTCAGGGTGGCGATAGAGCAAGGAGGAGGGGAGGGGGGTGGTGTAGAGGGCGCTCAGAGTTCATGTCAATAAGGTGTGAGTTTGTGAATCAGAATTATAAAAATAATGTTTTTATCTTATGATAATTTTCTTTGAAAGGTATATAAACCTTTTAAGATATTATAATGAAATAACTATAGAATCTCTTAACATACTATTATTAATCCTATCTAATAGGAATAAGAAAATGATCCACTTTAGTTTGTTATAAATTCATTCTAGAAAAATATATTGAGTTAAGTCTAGTGTAGTGTTATGTTTGTAAACTGTGGGGTTCTGGCACCTACTGCGGTAGTTGGGTGAAAAGAACCGAGACCCACGGGTACCCCTGTCTGTGACAAGCAAAGTGATGCCCCCCCCTGGCTAAATTCGCACGTACGCACGTGCCACATAAATTCATTCACTCCCTTTAAAACTAGTCTTTTTTTAATAACTCTTTTATTTCTTAACTTATAATTATATAGAAAATATATTTATAATCCTTACTTAAAACTCTATAAAGCTATATTTTTATATATTTATTTTAATAGGTTTTTAAATATTTATATAAATTTTAAAAGTTAATTAATTAAATATTTTAAAAATATAATTTTATAGAGTTTAAAGTAAGAAGTTCAATAATACTTATTTTATAATTTTTAATAAAGATTTAATTATAGTTATTAAAGATTTATATATATAAATTAATTAAATTTAAATATTAAATAAATAAATATTTAAAAATTATATTCTTATTAAACTTTAAATAAGAATTATAAATATAATTTTTATATAATTTTAAGTTATAAAATAAAAGAGTTATTAAAAGAAAACCACTTTAGAAAAGGAGTGAATGGATTTATGTGGCACGTGCGTACGTGCGAATTTAGCCAGGGGGGGGCATCACTTCGCTTGTCACAGACAGCCACCTGCCTGCTAATGGCATGCCTTCTCGGGGCATTGCTACAGGCACCTTGTAGCTGCCTGCCTGTTGGTCACTAACTACAACCAACAGCATTGTTGCCTGGAAACACGAGAAGGTATTCAAGCGATGATGTGCTGTTTCCGACACAATATCTTAAATCATCCTTCTGCAACCCTCCAGCCGCAGCACCTACAACACACAAATCATAAAGCACAATGGGTGAAGGCCCTGTTGTTGCTATCATCCGTGGCCTTAAGGTACACATTCGAGTTCTCGACAGATTCTTGTATAACAATGGCTGCCACGACACCAAAGGCTACCCACCCTTCTACGAGGAAGATCCAGACGAGTTCTCAACACTTTTGCGTTCAAGACTCAGTGGAAATAACTCAAGGACAAGGCTGTTTATTCCAGCAAGAACAGACAATGATCAAAGCAAATTTGGCTATGTAGCCTGGGCCTACAACATGGTATATGCGCAGAAGGAGGTCCGTCTTGAAGAAGACCTCCCTATGGACCCTCCAGAGGGGTGGGATGCTCTAAAGGATGAAATTCTATCATTCAGTACTAGTGAAGACACGACTTTGGAGGCATTTGGTCACGGGAAAACGGGTATTTTCGTTATTGTCTGTGAGGAGAGGAGCTACACCCCACTTTCGATTCACCAAAGAGTACGTGCATTCCTCATACTTGGTTCTACTTTAAGCTTTCTTACTAACTATCAAACCAGCCTTCTCACTGTGACCAATGCGAAGCTGTACTGGACTCATTTATCGACCGCCAAAGCCATCGTATAATGGAGCACGGATCGGATGAAGGCTTCGACCCGTTGCCAGATGACGAATAATTACATCAACAGTGTGATCATTTTCGTTACCATTTATGGCTGCATGTATTCTACTATCAAATGACATATTTTCTACTAGTTGGTTTACATTAATCCGCCTGGTCCAAGGCCTCAAACGTTGCACCAGCTGATGACACGCAATGGCATTCATCACTACTCCTGACCGCCTGTTGATCACTTAGCCAGGCCAGTGGGCGGGATTTTAATCTGAATGACTTTCCGCCTTGATCTGTGTAATCAGTGATTCAAGTAACAAGAGTGACTTCAAGTGTGTAGGCACGTTCTGTTGTCCAGTCCACCAATCGAGGGAGTAAGCATGACTACTATCTATGTAAAGCCCTCCGCGTGAATCCGTTCTGACATGGTCCTGCTTAACCAAGACCGTCGATGTAGCACCACCTGGTAGTTCGGCTGTCACGTTCTGCTGCTGGAGCTGTACCGGGGCAACAAATTGGTGAATGGCCCAACTTTGGTTCTGTGCATGATCGATAATCCGCAGAGGTGGACTTTGATTGGACGGGTCCCATACAAATGGCATCCATTTCAGGCCGACAGCAAGGATGAAGTATATTTTCGGATGACCCAATCCACTTTGGGATGATGTGCCATGAGCTCTTTCGAGCCGTCCGCACACTTCATTCATCAATTCGTTCCATCCATGAGGAGTGTCTTCTCTTGGGGCTCTGGCCTTCAGGTTGCCGAGTTAGCTCAACAGGCCGCGGCAATTCATTGGTTAAACCATGAGACCTCCTTTACTCACCTCTACCCATAAGATATATCGTCTCCTTTGAGAGACCGTTTGGGCGTTCGAGCCAAGAGCCCTAACTTGCACAGTCTCGTGACGCGCACAAGTAACGATAGCCGGGATCTGGCTGCCGGGCTCACTTTGTGCGCCGGGATGCAACTCTCTCTTAGAGGAATATCCCGTGAACGAGGGGTTTCCTGGAATGTCCACGTCCTTGGGAAAATAAGAAATACATATCGCCAACCAAGCGTGGCAGACCGGTTCTTCGCTGTGGTATGTAGGCCCGAGTTGATGCACATGCTCAATGCAGCCTGCTGCATCATTATCGGTCCAGTAGTGGCCAGGGCCTTGCATAGACACCATGCAATCCATTTATAGGTAGAAATGTAGTTCGAGTGGAAATCGTGATGTCTGACATATGTAGAAAATAAAGTCTGATACGTGAAGGCCAACCGGGCGATGGCCACGACTGAGGCACCGTACATGTCCCTCGAAACATCCCTCAAGAGGTTGGAAGCGGTCTTCTGCCTGCAATTATACAGCCGACACAGCGACATTAGGCTACAGTCAACCCCAAAGCGAGAGCCACGTCAACATTATCCTGATGACTACTCCACTCATAGCGGAGATCCCAACTGAAAATAGACGTCTGCTACTGCACAAGTTGGCCATTGTGGAAACATGCCAACAGTCTTTCCAGGAAGAATCTTGTTGGTAAAGGCGGTATGGCGCAGTACGGCCCGCATTCATCATGTGCTATTTTGAGACGCCGAAGAAGTGGACCCTCTTCAGTATCTCTTCTCCACTGAATGACCTTGAGGCTGTCCACCTGAAGTCCAACGCCGACCAATGAACAGGTCCTCAATCCCACAGCCCCTGTAAACCCTTAATCAACTTCCTTCTCGTTCTTCTGTCCCTTCTGAGGCGGAAACTTCATCTCCGCAGCAGCACCAGGGCCCCACCCGCCGAATCCCTCGCCAGCAGCCATGCCCCCGAACCCAGACACGGGCCCGACCGTGATGCTGCCGGCGAGCTGGTTCCCGGCGACGTGGGGCCGGTCGCGCGCCCAGTCGCTCAGCTCGCCGCGCGTCATGCCCGTGTACTTTTTCAGCTCCTCGTCCGAGACGGGCGGCTTGTTGCGGCCCGTCTTGGCGTCCTTGTAGCGCTGGTAGAGGGATCTCTTCGGGGCCGCTGCCGCTGGGTTGTTCTCCGCCTCGGTGGTGGTGGTAGGAGTTGACTTGGGATCCATCATCGAGACTTTGGCTTGCGGACTTTGATGGGTGCTGTCGCTGTCTTGAGGCTTGGTATAAGTGAAATGGTCTGGTCCGAAGTGACCTGTTTGACAAGGGAAGGTCAGTTTGAGGCGCGATCTAAGACCTCTGGGCCGCAGCGGGTTCTTATAGCTTAGGTGGCCGCCGTGGCTGCGCCATCTCCGAGGTGCGGCATATCTCAGCCGCAGGGGTCAGCTGGTCGGTCTTTGTGAGCCAGCAGTGGTTTAGTGCCCTCCTGGGTGAGCTCACGCGATTGGCGGCGATGCGTACTCAGGGCTCTCAGCCCGGACTAGTGTATTATATCTGGTGAAAGGACGGAGACGGGTTGGATAGGGTTGATCCACGCTTGATTCAAGTTGCAAACTGGAGACAGGTATTGGCAAATTGTAATGACATCTGCATTGCTGACGGTGATCAAGTTTGCGGGTAAGTGGGAACTCTTGGAGTTATCATGTCCTTCAGCTAGCTTCTTTGATGAACCAAGGCAGAGTGTAACTGTGTGCATATGATGTGAGTTCTCCGGATGACAAGCCTTTTGCAGCTTCAATGCGTGCGGAATGCGCCAAGTAATGCATACGAAATTGTGAGGCCCGTGATGGAAACGCTATTTACATAGTGTATAAACGCGTATTCCGATTAAAACGTCTTCTCCGGGTAGTCCAATTTGCTCCTAGAACAGTTCCTGTGACTCTTGTAATCAAGGTAGTTCTTGAACCTTTGCTTCCGTTCCCATCGATCCCTAAACACGTTCTGCTCGGGCATGGCAATCTCAGGGTCAACACGCCGACGATTGTTGCTGTCACCAAATATTGGGAGAGGGCATTCAGACATCTCATGGGGATGCGGGTCTGGCGCCTCGCTTTGCAAGAAGCGGACCAGGGTCGCTATCTGGTCATCGGTGAGTGCGTATATCCGCTCCGTGACATCTCTGTGACGTGAATGAAACCACACCCCATCATACTCCAGGTTTCGCGCGGAAGAAGTATGTTAGCCAGCCTGTTCTTGTCGGTTTGTTCGGCGCCTAGGAGCATGCACATGTGTGCGCATGGAATCAGCCTTACCCCTGTGCCGCTTTCACCTCTGCCGAATAACACCACCCCGCCAAAAATGAGACACTCCGCCCAGTAGCCGGCGAGATCAGCAACACCATCCGGGTATTGCTCCACGGCCGTGTACGAGGCCACTGCGAAGCTTGTTGGCCAAGGGGGGAAGCGACGGCGAACATAATCCTCATCGTCGGAATAAGGATCTTTGGCGGGACATGGGGTTTCCTTCTCGTGTGGACCGTGGGAGTCAAGCTTGACAAGCTCTACCGCAATTGCATGGACAGCGACAGCTACAAGCTCGACCAACACAAGTCCGGCTGCCCAGGAATCGGCAGGAACAATTTGGTAGCGTTCCAGTATCTATCCATCAGATGATTGTAAGCTTGATATATGGTGCGGCATGGGAGGACTCCACTAGACGGCATACATCGGTTCGCAGGACCATCAAAGCTGGGTCGAATGCCTGACGGAAAGCCTGTGTCTTCTCTAGGGCACCAGGGCACAGTTCTGTATGAGTTGCCACTGGGTCATGAATTGTGTATCTGTGAGCCGATAGGTTGAATGCAACATGCTCAAGGGGAAGCCCATCAACGATCTGGGCCAGTGTGGTCTCTGCCACTTCGGTTCGTAGGATGTTCAACAGTGCCGTAGTGAAGGCGTGCTGATGGTCTGTGTCCAGAACTTGGTTCACACGGCACGTGTCAATATGTGCCGGAGGCGCTACGGTAACATATCTTGGGTCCGGTTCCATGGTATGCTGGCCCTTTCGTTGCTGAGAATGTATCGGAGAAAGATGTTGGCAATTGTTGGAGGGTGAGCGTGACGGAGCAAGGTTGAAGTAGGTCTGTTGGCTCCTCAAGTACTTAAGTGCCTAAGTACTTAAGTAGTCAGGCTGCAGCCGGTAGGATTGGACTCGTATGTGGGGCCAAGCAGGTCACAACAATAGGTCTCGGCCCAGCGCCAACAAGCCTGAAGTGGTCGGTCGACCTGTTGGTGGATATAGGAAGCACAGCCACCACCCGAACGAGAATCCACCTACCGGATCGGGGCTTCATGAGTGTAGGCAACGGTTACACCCAGGGGCAGATTAATGTCCCAGAATTAGTGGTTTCATTTCTATATACTATTGTTGTATATCGTAAATGAGTATAAATTAAGGTTAGTGTATAGGTGGCATACTTATACTAGTATACCACCCGTTTCTTCTAGTATGAATATCCAATCTCTTAAATATAGTCTATTATTAAGTAACGTAGCCTTATAGGCTAGATATAATAGATCAATTGAAGAGGGAAGAAGAGAGACAAATACAGGCGGGGGACATACTTCTTTTTATCCGCCCGCTTCCGTATATAAAGATAGAGTCATCTGTGATTTAGGCACAGTGAAATGGCTTGCCACAGCGAAACAACTCCCCATGGCGAAAATACCGTGGCGAAACGAACGCGACTTGCCACGCACTCCTGGTATTGGATCTATCGCACGACACAACGCTTGAATATCGTTACATCAGAGTGAGAGGGGGTGAGAATGTGTGGCTAATCCATGTCTATCCCTCGGCGACAACTAAAACGCCAGTAGCGTATGATAGATATTGTGCACACATTACCCAAACATGTTGCTCCATGCGCATATATTGTCCTAGGCTTGTAGCTTGGACATCCGTATGGCTGCACCGTTCCCTAGGAACAATCCCAGGCCCGAGTTCCTACGGATAGCCCCAACCTTCAGTCCGCCTTACAGAATCTCCGTCTTCGGGATTATATTCATATAAGGTGTGCGGATCTCATTTTATTAATGTAACCTATTTTGAACATTGCAAAAGCGGCCTTGCAGCGCTGTGGATTGTATACCGCGACTAAAGCGGTCACAAGCCTACTAAGTTAACCCACTTACTTTCTCCTAGTGGTATGTAACAGTGAGCAGAGGCAGCAGACCTATAATTTGTGATGATAGGTTGGCCGATTCCTATTAGAAAGGCACAATCCTCGCAACGTTTTACTGATTAACAACATTTGAACAATAGCGTTAGGAGAGATAGGATTTACATCCGAAAAATCAATGAAGACTTTCCCTAACATTCTTTACCGAAGCGCATGTGCTATTTAAGCTTAGGTGTATTTATAGCAAAATTATAACTCTCTATATATAATTTACTACTTCTTAGATTATATAGTAGTTATAGGAGGGGGGCTTACCTTATAAATATATAATCTTACCTTCCTAAGAGTTTTATTTAGATATATAAGTAGCTAAGTTAGTATAATATTATATTAAGTAGGTTCTTTATTTATATACTAGTCTAGCATAGGTTTATAGACTCTTCTCCTCTATCTATATAGTAACATAGCAGTAATAAGGATGACTATAAGAACTATATTGATGAGAATAAAGATGACAATAACACCAACCAACAACACCAATCTACAACAGTAGCAGCAGTAGCATAAAAGCCCTTCTTACTGCTGCTGCAATCATTATGCTCTCATTAAAACTCTGATAATCATATAAATAATTCTTTACATCGACACAAAGTGTGTGTAACTCGGGCTGTGTCGAATTGTGAATTTCCATATTTTCTCCATAAAACTAAGACAAGAAAGATGAATCTGCCACGGCTGAGAAACAAACAGGTACTTTCTTAAAGTCTCATTTTATGAGGGCCACTAATTCAAGAAACCCATCTTCCTCCACTCAACTATATACCTAATAGCCAACTCAGGACTGACGGGCCCCACGCCGGCCATGGTCACGCTGTGTTCCTTGGCCCTCTCGACGTCGAGCATCAGGCCACCGCACGACCTGCGCTCAAAGCGAGCGCCCAAGAACCCGGCCATGGCCTGCCGCCCCGCCGGACTGTCCGCCTCAGCGAGCGGCGACGTGCGAACTCGCTTGATTCAGCTCTGGCACGGCACGACGTTGGACGGCGGACGCCCAGGGCGCAGCACAGCACGGGCGACATTCTCTCCCAGAGCTGGCCACCCGGGTTGTCGAGGTGGTAGACAGGATACAAGGCGTGGGGGTTCAGCACGAGCTCGGCCGCGGCGGCGGCGTGAAGGTCGACGGGGATCCACTGCTGGGTGCCGGCGAGGTGGGGCCACGTGCGCAGGCTCTGGGCCGACTTGGCCAGGAAGGCAAAGTGCTCGACGGGGGGGGGGGGGTTTCCAGTAGCCGCTCGCCGAGGAGCCCACGATCTGGCCCGGGCGCACGACCATGGCGCGGAAGAGCCCTGGGTGGTGGTTCAGTGTCTCGTCGAGCAGTCGCTCGCACACCCACTTGGCCTCGGTGCCAGTGTAGCCGCTGGGCCGGGTGGCCTCGAGCGGCACGCGGCGCTCGGGCACGCGGGCGTCGTGGCTCAGCCCGATGATCCGGCCCTGGGCGTTCGAGTTGGCGCTGCCACGCCCTCCTGGCACTGTCGCTGCCTCGCGCACAATGTCGAGCAGGTTCCGCATCACCTGGAACTGGGGCTCGTAGGCGCCGGTGGGGCGTGTTGCGCTCATGGGCCAGGCCTTGTGCACGATGTGGGTGACGTTCTCCACGAGCCAGACGGATTCGAATGCGTGGTTGATGTACTGATGTGAGTATTGAGATGTTCAATCAAGTGGATTTAAGGTGCCGCTCGAGACGGACCGATCGAATTACCCTTTGACGCAAGTCTTTTGGGAAGGACAGCCAGCCTTGCCTCGCTACTAGGGCGCGGCCTTCTTTTCGCTTACGCCCTTGCTCTTAACTCGGCTGATCTGAGCGATCTTGAAGTCGCAATCACCTATCCCTCCCATGTAAATAAATTGAAGCTGATCACTCCGTTCTCACCGGCCTCCACCATGGTGATGCTACCTTTCTAACCTCTGGGTCCTGTGCATCATAAGGGTTTCCTGGGCCGGTGATGCATCAACACTTAGTCACCAAGGATTAGAAGTAACACAACCCTGAATTGTGTTAATGCATGGCTGGACTCCATCAGTGTACTTATGCCACGTCAGAAGCCTACTGCAGAAGTCACAAGAGGCCATGTAATGTAAAGCAACATCAACCAATGTCGTATTTCTATTTGGCATTCACTACATATGTAGTTCCGCCAAGAATAGACAGTTACTCGTAAGCTAATTAAGCATCTATCAGCTGACCTGCAATCTATTACCTAGAAGCTACAGTCACATTAATCAAGTCCAGAAGAGTTCACATCATCAACTTGTCTTCGTCATCCCATGAATATTCGAATGCGCTCTGGTTCTTCTAGTCACTGACTACGAGTCCCAAGTTGTCAGCTGGCATTGTCTATATGGGAGACCAGGATTTAGAAAGACATGGGTGTGACCAACATGTTGAGACCCCATTTTGGACTTTTGAATCAGAACATGGACTTGACGGTCTTGCCACATGAGAATCACAGGGCATCAGGGCTTCAATGACTTGGACCTCAAAGTGACTTCACATGTATCTTTGGAACCTATAAATATGGCCTTTTTGTCCCGCCCTGGAACAGTTCGAACGACATCTCCAAGAGCAGAACACCAAGAGAAACGGCCCACAGAAATCAAGCATCAACAAAGCAAAAGAAACTAACAGGGAGCAGAGAAAACCTCAAATCCGAAGCACACCTCGCTAAGAACACAAATTCATCAACATTGTTCGGCAATAACCTTATCCCCACAAACACTCTTCGACCTTCCGAACGATATGCCACTCGCTCGCAAATGCACGACTTGTCGCGGAAGCATCAACGAAAACGCAAAAATTCTTTACAAAGTGTCGCTTTGTGGGTTCTGCCTGGGAACAAACCCCTATTACGATTATGTCAAAGCGGATTGGGTGGACTGTGAGACCTGCAGCGGCGTCGGAACGCTCCTTGATCTCACTAAGCCGGTGATGTGCCCGGGGGACACTCTGCGCAGGGGTCGCCACGGTAACAGACGTCGTACACACCCAGACAATCCCAATCCGACAATCAGTGCTGATGAGGTCAGGGAAGCACCGGCATCTTCGCCACAGTGAGTATGGCACTTTGGTTTGAGCCAGTGCCTAAGGCAGGGGAGGGCCACAGCGATGATGGCGTTTTGGTTTGAGGCAGTGCCTACATAGGTACCTAGGTACACCAATTGAAATTCATGTCATTATTTGGAATTGCATCAAATCGTGAGCGGAAATTTTCAAAGTTGTGGGGAGCACTGTGAGCCAAAACCATTATACTGTAATGATTTAGTAGATGCTTTTTTCTTTTTGGGATCCCTTCGAAAATTCACAAATTTCTGTCCCCTGGCCCTCTTCCCATGCTTAGCGACATACTAGTCAGCGTTCATTCCAGTCATCCGGCCACCAATCTGAATTACGTCGATATTCATGGTGGAACTGGTTGGATGTGGATGATATTTTCGACAAATATCTATATCATCTAATATCTTCTGCGGCACATGGGTTATCTTTTAGATGGGTGTGCTAAACAGAGTGCACACGGACTTACGCTTACATCATAACTTAATATATTAATATAAGAAAAACAAATATAAGAAGTCGTCAAGACGGTACCCCTTAGCCTTATCTGTATATCGCAAGGCTGAGGCCACAAGCACCTATTATATTATAACCATTGGTATCGACATTGTATTCTTTCTAAGCGCTGGGTCTTGAGTGCTTACCACCGTACGAAGGCGCCATGTATGTCCTCAGACGTATACGGAATAGAAGCGAAACCACACGTATCATTGCATTGGTCCTCTGCTGCGCGTGCCTCAGCCTGATGCACACGAGATTCCGAAGGATGCCAGATCCCCGGTAACACGGTATTGGACCGGCTTTGTGCATTGAGGCTTCCTGTAGCTTAGAGGGGCTTGGAGAGAAGCCTTCCCAAATAGGCATTCCCTGATCAGGTATTGAATTTCCCGAGACACCACTCCCAACACCTCAACACCTGCCTCAAAACTTTCCAGGCTAGATGCCATGTAACTGCCAATTGGTGAATTCTTGGCTTTTAATTGGCTGCTGACGGTCCCTGCTAATCATGGACGGCCGCTTCAAGTGTCAATTTTGTCATTATAACCGGTAGAGTGTATGTGTTATGTGGGTCTTGGTATTCACAGGATCGACCTCATCCTTGCTATTTGCACTCTGACTTGACAATGACAATCTATTTTTGGTGACTCCACCAAACGATAGTAATACAGACTGCTTATTTTGTTGCTGCCCAGATGTCAAAAGGGAAAATTTCTTGGATCTTCCCAATGCTGGTCTCTCCAGGTATGCAGCAAAAGCCGCCTAGCTGTGCTACCAATTACCCGCTCCCTATCCCAGAATACATAGCCCCAATGTCTTAATTTGTCCGGGATATCATCGCCATATCTGTTACTATAGGTCCCCCTCCACATCAGGCACCAGCCAAAAGGAGGTCCCAGCTTGGTGTCGAAGGAGTCACCCAGGAATAGCAGAGGCACCTGCTCTTTTTCGCGCACATCGTTCGGAGAGGGATGTAGATCGCGCCGCTCGAAGTTAAAGGAGGTTGATGATACTAACATCTCCTTGAGAAGCCATCTACCGACGTTGTCTACCACCGGTCTGAGCCGGGCATCTCGGTCGCCTTCTGGTATCGCGAGAAATTTGAGAAAGTACGGTAGGCCCCTGGAGACTGTACTCTGTATGAAACACTGTATGTGAACTACAATTTGGATCTTGTCAGACCAAGCGGTTCAAATGCTGAGGATATAACGCTCACCATCATAATCTCGAATATCCATGCAGTGAGATGTGAAAAAGGGGATCTCTCCTCTGTGCTGCTCGTCATAACGTAACAGATCGTCTCTCATTTCGTGAAAAAGATCGTTGATCACGCTTTTCATGTGCTGGAAGATACATAACATTTCCTCGACCTCCCACGGCTCAAAAGTCTCATGGAACATGCATGGTACCTCTTCCGGGGGAACAGACGCAGGCTCTTTATCTGGGTCCGCGCCGTAGCCGAAGATGTTGCACCACATCTGAACGTGGTAAAGTGCCCGGACTATACGAACGGCTTCAGAACTGCTCGGGGGTCTTTGGAGGTATACTTCGCGGCCCGCGTCAAGAGTAGCTTCATCTTGTGGTGCGCAACCATCCACGTGCTCTCCATATTTATAGGGTGTCTGCCAAGAGTTCGTGGAATCACCATCCGTGTTGTCAGAGGACGAGTCGAATGCGGAAGATGAAGAAAGGATGCTCTCGGGCCCTTGATCCAATTGTTGGCAAAGGTTGCCAAGAAAAAGGTCGGAGAAATAGGCAACCACCGGCTTCACTGTCGACAAATAGTATCTGCTCATTTCCACGAGATCGCTCTCGCGAAAGTGTTCACTGAGCAACGCTCCTTGAGCCCATGACCTTTGAAGATCTAGGAACTTTGTCATGCTGAATTAAGCAGTAAGCAGGAATTAGCTTGCCAATGATATGATGATGTTAAAGTTAAACAGCAGCTAATAACACAGCCTCAGGATCCACTTAGATGACATATGGCACTTAGAGGACATACAACTTAACGATTCTTTCACTCTCTATCTCGATGGACGGCCTTAATAAGTCGACATTTGAATTGCTAGTAGCGTGGACAGCCCACATAGCAATGAAAGCAGGCCCTAGGGATGTATCAAGAGCGGTTTGTAGCATCCGCCTGCGGTCAGCGTCCAGGTACTGTCGGTGTAGAGACGGCGAGGCACGTACTGCTGCACGCAGGTCCTCTATGCCGAGCCCAAACTCGAAGATCCTCAGGCGGATTTCAGGTGGGAGCCCCTCGAAGGTTAGCTGCAGGCCGTGCTGATGACTTGCGGGGTTCGGCACCGTTTCCTGCATACCGGACAGCGACTGAGAGGATTTGCCATGATCATGAGTGTGTGACTCGTGGGGGTTGCTAGTGGAAGACTCTGTGACCTCGCCTCCGGCATCAGCCCCAGAATGCTCGCTTGGCTGCAGGCTGGTCTGGGGGTTGGCTGTCGGTTCTTTTGCCCGAGAGCCAGAGCCATCACCGTTTCTGTGGCCGAAACGACGAGGGAAGACACGGCTCTTGATGAAGTGACGCATCTTTGTGTTGCCTTTCCCCAGATGTGATGCAGTCATTTTGGAGAAAGCCCGCGGATCGGAATGCGGCAGCCTGTTGGCGGAGACTGGGGCCTGGACCCCAGGCAACAAGCAGGGGATCACGAAGAGTGTTTATGTCAGCACAGTCAGACAAGTATCCTACCCTGGCCGCTCAGTTTGATTCCTGATATGCTCGTACGCCGTGACAAGAACCAAGGAAGAAACTCCCACGGCGTCTCACCGGTTTGAACCTTTTCATTTGAATCCTCATGTGAGGATCCAACTTAAGTACGGCCATCCGATGATCCTCAAGATAGGTACGTATGTTTCAGCCCGCTCGCCGACGCCTTGATCACGCGGCTCTGCGAGGTCGATCTGCATGGGCCCAGACACGGCCAATAGATACGGTACGTCTTTGCGAGCCGCCGGTTCCGTGAATAGATCCTCGATCTAATGGCTTTAATTAGGAATACGCATGTCTTGTCTGGCTTTCTTGACTACCTAGGTACATATGTAAACCTCTAAAATTTTCTCTTTCAGCCGACCACTCGTCCATACAAATACTTTTACACAATACCCTGGCCAGAGTCATTGACAAGAAGTTGGAGACTTTGCCGCCAGTATCTCCATGTAAACCTGTGCTGTCAACATTGAAGATACTTGGTATTCCAGGGATACATACTCGAAGTGTCTAGAGGAAACTCAGGATTCCCTAATTCGAGACACCGGCCGTGGTCGTCCCTGACAATTCCTAGGGTGAGGTAGTTGGCACATTCATGCAGCGTCACACTCCTAAAAACGATTGCACCGTAGATTTCAGGAGAAAGCAACTCGAGATGTGGCTTCGCAGTCCGCTTGCTCCCGATGGCCCATCCCCCCTCCCCGGGAATTCTTTGTGGCTGGGTGAGGAGGATGGAGTTTCTAGGGAATTCCCATTGATGGAAGATCACGAATCCAGAATGCAGGACAGTCGCAGGCCGGTGGTTTGGTGGCGAGAGATGTTCGCAGTTGGCAACCATAGTCAATGCATCAAGGAATCAAGCATGTAATAATTGTGTGCGTCGGGCTGGGATCACGCCATAACCGAGCTGATTTACTCACTCGTAGAACGCCTCAGCAGTGGCGTCTGCGGAATTGGGGGATTCCACCACCTTTCGTGCGCCAGTTGCCGGCTACACCTTAGCTGCAGTTCTCGCACAATGGTGATTGGACTCGCCAGTGACTTTTAGATATGCGTGCCTGTTATCACTGTGAACAAGCAGAGTAAGTAATCTAAGGCAGAGCTGTCGCGCACCTTTTCCTTCGAGCACACTACCTAGGTAGGTACATTCCTAATGTCGCCATGGGACCCGCCCAAGGCGACAACCATCCTAATGGGTCTGATATTTGCCGGTGCACAACGAGGGGAGATTTAATCATTCTATAGGAGAAAGATAAGATCGAGTCAATTCCTACATATGTACTTACTTGTACATGGAATGAATTTGCGTAGTATCGTTGATACCCATCTATCTATCCGCACAGGCCTCGTCCTGCCGAGATGTCACAGTATCAGGAAAAAGACTCAAAAAATGGGGTTGTCGTCGCCGAGAGCAAGGGTACTGACCTGCCGGGCTCTGGTAGATCGCCGAGTGCAGAAATAAACGGGCAGCCGTACGCAGAGCCAAAGAAGACGTGGAAGTCATTTTTCTGGTCCAGTGAGCACCCAAACATCAGGAAATGGAGGACGACAGCTTACTAACAGGGTCAGCGCTCGACGTACCAAGCGATGAAGCCCGATTCCTCACCAAGCTAGACCTGACACTGATCTCCGCTTCCGCACTGGGTGTGATGTGTCGTTACCTCGACCAAGTCAACATTACCAATGCATTCAGTACGTCATGACATTCACACTCAAAGACTATCGCTAAGACTTCCTCCAGACAGCGGCATGAAGGAGGATCTCTCCTTGTACGGCAAAGAGCTCAACTACGCCACCGCGATATGGAGCGCGGCATATGTCTTTGGACAGATCCCATCGAACCTGCTCCTCACACGAGTAAGCTAGTTTATCGTCCACCCGGTTAGCCCTGTGTTCAGAGTGTTGACACGCAGCAGGTCAACGCCCCTCTGTACATCGCATTCCTGGAGTTTGCCTGGACGGTCTTCACATTCGCCCATGCCGGTGTCAAGAGTGTGAACCAGCTCTACGTCTTTCGCTTCTTGTAAGAACCGCTTGTTGTCCCCCCCTTGCCCCCCCCCCCGCCCCCTTTTGGCTCTTTCTCATTATCTGACACCCTTGAAGCGTAGGCCTCTTCGAAGCCGGCCACTTCCCGGCCGTCATGTACGTGTGCTCGAGCTACCACAAGCCCCACGAGCTGGCGCGCCGCAACAGCCTGATCCAGATCTTCACCTCTGTCGGCCCCTTCTTCTCGGGCTTCCTCATGGCGGCAGTGCACGCCGGCCTGGATGGCTCCAACGGACTTGCCGGATGGCGGTGGATGTACATGTACGTGCGAAAGGGCTCTATTTACTGCGCCGGACGTTGTTTTCTGATACCATTACAATAGTGTCTGCGGCTTTGTCTCGCTTCCCTGCGCTATATGGACGGCTTTCGCGATGCCACAGTTGCCTTCTAGGGCCAAGGCGAATTGGTTCGTTTTTCCTACTACCTAATTATAGAAGTAAAAGCACATCTGGCCTGAGCTTTTCTCTTGCACCAGGATATTTAGCGAGGATGAGATTCAACTTGCGCGCTCGAGGATGCCAACTGAGCGCAAGTTCCTGACTGGGCTGTTCAAGTGGCAGGATATCAAAAGATGGCACACAACGTGGCCTGTCTATCTATGTGAGCAACTCCAACGGCGGCTCGGCAGGATACCAGTCGCTTGGTACTGACAGCTCGAAGTCCCCATTTTCTTTGCCTTCTCAGCCCAGACAGGCCAGTCCGGAGGATCTAGTAAGCAGTACCCTTTTCTCACCACAGCGACATCAGAATTAACAACCAACAGTGATCTTCTGGGTCAAGAGCTACAACGTCCCGGGGAAGCCAGCTGTGTTTTCAGTAGCCGAGATCAACATCATCCCTCTTGGTGTAAGTCATGTCCATGTTGTACCTACTTAGGTACCCAGGCAGGGTAGCTACCGACGGACACCAAGCTCACACACCAGCAGATCAACCTCATAACCATAGTCTGCACCCTGATCAACTCATGGGTCTCAGACAGCCTCCCGGGCGCGGCCAGGTGGCCGGGGATGGTCTTCGCCAGCGCCATGGCCATCATCTTCCCCGCCGCCCTGGCCGCCACCCCCGTGCACCCGGCCAATATCGCAACCCGCTGGGCCCTCTACTACCTGACCGCGCTGTCCGGAACATGCGCGGGCATAACCTGGACGTGGGTGAACGAGACGACCCGGGATGACCCGGAGAAGCGGGCGTACACATCTGCACTGGTTTGTCCTGTCCCCCCCCCCCCACCATATATCGTATCTGTGCTAGTTACTACGCACGAGTCTCGCAGTGATGCGTAAACTGACTGACTGACTGACTCCACACCGCATCCCAGATGAACGCGTTCGCCTACGTCTTCACCGCCTGGGTCCCCATCTTCACCTTCCCGGCCAACCTGCAGCCGTACATCGTCACGGGCAACTACGTCACGGCCGGGTTCGGCGCCGCGGCGGCGGCGACCGCGCTCGTTATGCGGCATTTCCACAATCGGGATCTAAAGATGCAGTCGCGGGGTGGCTCCAAGGGTGTCTAGGAGTGGTAGATTCATCTTTGAGGTCGTTTGAGGGCGGGCTGGTGGGGCAGCAACGGTGGCGCGGATATCCTTCTCTAGCGCAGATGGACTTAAAGGCTTTTCCATGTTGTCTCTTGTGTGGCGTCTGTCTGGTAGTGGATCGAAGGAAGGTGGCGTGATGGTTGATTTTCTCAGGAAACCCCCACGCTACTTCTGATGGAAAGGAGTCCTACCAGCCCCATCCCTCCACTAATGCATACGTGTTCACCGTTATGATTTAGCTCTCATGCACAAAACTACTTGTTGGTCTGCGGGCGTAGAATCGATGTGGTCGTGAACCTGTGATAAATGACTGGAGATACAACAGAAACCCCAAGAGACGGGGAAATACAACTACAGTTTTAATATTTATTAACAGACCGACGCTGCGTCCATGTCATCGTCTCACTCCTTTTGATTAACCAGCTGCATGCAGACATTACTTCCGAAAGGACAGTATTGGGTATCTCCTACGAGCCAACCTGGAAAAAGACATAGGAGACCAAAAAAACAATCATCAAGCGAGTGAACCGTGGACCACCATTTCCGCGTCCAAACCAGCCCTGCTCCAAGATCACCCACCATCTATTAGTGAGCTCCAGCAGAATCAACCTGGCAGGGTATGAACAAGGGGGGGTGAACCAAACACCAACACCAACCAACATGCAAAAAGTCAATGCAAAGAACGCCAGGGAATGAATGAAGGAAGCCAGAAAAGAAAGACCAGAAACCATAATGCACCCGGATGGATGGATGGATGGATGGATGGACGGACGGATAACCAACCACCCACCCGCCCGGGCGACCCACCGACCCTCACTTCAGCCCCGAGACATCCTGCAGCCCCCCGAGATCAGCAAACTGATCCCACGCCCAAGGCGGGCTAACATCCCCGCCCGCCGGGCTATGCACCACAGACTTCTCCCACTCATCGCTGGAATCCCTCCGCTGCGCATCATCACCATCATCATCATCACCTGCACCAAGACCAACCCCCTGCTGCTTGTTCCCACCCGCCGCCGCCGTCCCAGGCCGCCTGATAGCCTTGGTGATGCGCAGGGGCGACGGCGCGAGCCCCCACGTCGCCTCCTCGCCCTCCTCGCCCTCGGCATCGCTGTCGGCCGCGGAGCTCCTCTCGCGCAGCGACGAGACCACCTCCGCCAGGCTCCAGCGCTTGGACGGCCCCGCGCCGCCGCCGCCGCCGCCGCCGCTCGACGACGAGGGCTTCCGGAAGCGCTTGCTGCTGCGCCGGGGCAGGGGCGGCGCCTGCAGCTGCGGCTCCGCCTTGGGCGTGGACGCGAGCATGTCGTCGCTGGAATACATTGCGCGGACGGACTTGCGGGTGCGGTGGCGGCGGAGGGGGAAGGTCAGGTTGTCGTATTTTGAGGGCGTTGTTTGATGTGGCTGCGTCTGCGTCTGCGGCTGTGGTTGTGGTTGGGGATTATTCGTGTCCGCGAGGACGGTAGGTGGGGCCTCGGGGGATCCTGCTATATCCGGGAGGGTGCTGTCCCATTTTTGTCTAAAGAAACGTGTGGAGCTTGGGCTGCCGTCCACGGTGGTGGGTGTCGTGGATGCACTGCTGATAGTGTGGCTTGTCGAGGCTGATGATAGCGCTGAGACATAGCTGCTCGTTGAGCTTGTCGAGGCGGATCTGCACGTGGTTGTATTTTCAGATGGTGTTGTAACTACTTTCAGAGAAGGTGTCGGTCTCGATGACTCTTTTATGTCGGGCAAGACCTCCAAGTTTTCTTTGCATTTTGAGGTGTTAGTGACGCCGTTTGTGCCGTTTCCGTATCCCTGAACGACGATTTCATGGTACACGGAATTCCGACTAGATGGGCGTCGAGTGGGTGTCGATGGCTCGTGCTCCACAACTTTTGTTTGCTGGCTTGGAGGACTGCGAAAAATGCTCAGCGATCGTCGGAGAGACATGGCTCTCGTGAGGCTGCGAGTCCTGGAACCGGAGCGCGCCAAGGGCGTGTGGGGGTCACCCTGTTTTCCTCTCCCGATGGACGGACTTTCATCACGGTGTGTCAGCGCGAAGTAGTCAATGTCAGGTTGGATCTCGGTGCTGCTCGTCTCCAACAGGGAACCCTTCACGGGGGGCAAGACGAATGAGGTTGCCAGTGGGATCGCACTGATGGATCGACCGCGCGCTGCGAATGCCAGTGGGGGATTGGCTTTGGAGATGGCTCCGCTGTAGCTGGCCGACCTCAACGCAGGGGGAGCAACACCCTGCTCCCGTGTCTCCCACGGCGGCAATCCTTTTGTTGAGACGGCGAGGTGGTAATCCACCCTGTCAGTGAATTTGACCTCCCGCGGCACAGTTGCACAGCTTCGGAGTACCTGGTGCATTGCGTAGACGAACAGCCACCGCACCTTGCGGGCATCAACCTGGGAGACTGCCCGATTAGCTTTATGCGGTGTGAGCACCGAACTCTCCTCGAATTGGCGGTACGCCAGGACCAGTCTGTTTTCCATGAGATGTACTTTGCAGTGATTGGTCGCTTTCATCAGTGCAGCGTGTACCATGAGGCGCTGGTCGGGGCGCAGCTTGCCGTCGCCTGCCCTGGCAGCTGTGACAAGGTGCCAGGGCATCGAAATTCTGCGGGATTCTTTGCTTCTTGTTGTTTCTGGCAAGAGTGGTAAGGGATGGTCCAGAGGAGGGAACTTATTTCTCGAGTCGAATGCCTGCACACTCTGAAGCGTGCATAGCCCTCCTTGCGCCCCAGAGGGGCTATTGCTGTGCGCCGTGAACCTTTCATCGACAAGGTATTCGTAGAGCGCCTCGAAGTCTGCGCAGAGAGTGTGATATACCTCAGGTTTGAATATCGTGCTGTGCCCTGCTTGGGCAGACGGCGGTGGAAAATAACCGAACTTGGTGGCATAGAACCCTTGGATGTAGCTCCTGAAGCGGTCAAGATGGGCTCGGGCTCCAGTTGACAAGCCCAGGTGGGCTTCCGAAAGTTCGGTTTCGAGAAGATCTCCCAGCATTGCGCCGGCGCGGCTGAGCCGATTGTCCAGATCAACCCTAGCCACCCGGATAAGCTTCCTTGATACGACACTGATGCGCTGAACCATACATGTCAGCACATGCGATGCCAAGTAGTCGGTAGCTTGGGATTGGTGGCCTCAACAGACAGGGATTGGGGTTTGAGCTTACCGAATACTCTGGACTCTTGTACAGTTGCTCGCTCATCCCGACACAATGCGCAAACGCATCAATGTACAGCTCCCTCAACTCAAAGTTCTCAGCCACATGCAGGATGGCAAGGGCATGATTGGGCTGATGTCGGGTATCTAGATATCCCTCTTCGTCAAGGTAGCTCAGCAGATCTTGCTTGTTGTCAACACCCGCGTCGCGAAACTCATGCATGCTGCTGAGTAGGGCCACCAGTGCGTTTCCAAGGTGGTTTCCAACCATTGATCGCCTAAAAATCCAGGCGAAGAAATTCCTGGTCGCGATGTGATACTGCAGTGACTGGGAGCGAGTCGCTATCGGCGGCGCGGGGATATAAAGGTCGACACGGCCGTTTTGATGAGCTTCTTCCTCTGATACCGATCGATCCACAAACATTTCGATCAGAGGCGTGCACTGGGCGGAGAGGAGACATGCGAAAGGGACCTTGAAGGCGGGACCCCGTTGTGACCGGCCCTTCTCGTATAAGTGCACGAAGCAGTCACCGTTCTTGTACCAAAGTTCCGGGTCCTGGCACTGTCAGCGTACATGTTCTGGGTCTTCTGGGTCTGGGAGTTCAGGAACACCAACATGGTGTCGACGACTCACCTTTCTCAGGTTGTCCCAGCCAGACATGATCCTGGCGCTGCCGTCCCATCTCTTCACACTGAAGCCGCGCTGCATCCTCGCGTCTGCTCCAACAAAGTCCCTTGACCTGCTCGACTTCCAGCCCCGTGACCGATCCGAGATACCATTATAGAGCATGCTGGCGACATCTGCAGGCCTCGAGTCCGGAGAAAAACAGCGCAAGTCCAGAGGACCTGGGTCTAGAGTGGCCATGATGGGTTCTTTGTATGTGCGCCAGCTTATCCAGATGCAGTCGACGAAGCTGGGTTAGTCCCTGTTGCTACTCGCCCAAGCCCCGGCTGGTCGCGGTAGAGCTGAGGCCTCTGGTATGTGCGAGCGGGGGCCAGGCTTGGTGGTAGCGGCTAGCGATAAGCAAGGCAAGCCAGCCTCCAATTAACAGTGTTAAAGTTTTGTAACTGCTGGGATGCAACAGGACGATGGACCAGTGGACGGCGGAGCAACGTGTAGCAGTACGCATACCCTGTTTCTTACACTGCATGAGGAGGACCTCGTGTTCAGTGAGGGGATCAGATCAACAAGGCGAGAGGGAGGACACACAGGCCTTTGCTGTCGCGTTGTCAGTGAGGGGAATCGGTCATCTTCCAACCAAAAGGCCGAGAGGTGGCAACGCTGAGGTGCGGAATGCAGGCAGATGGCGACATCTCCTTGAAACAAGCCTGCAGCGAGGTAACAGCGGCGAGAGCGTGAGGGAGGATTCCAGCAGGAGGCCTAGTAATAAGACGAGTTGCGTGTCTCAGAGCTGGGCATCCGCAAGGGCGGTAGCGCAAAGGCGGTGCAACACCATGGCCCGAGCATCGCAAGGCAAGCGGGCAATAAAGAGGTTAAAATGCCTAAATGCACGCAAGACCTGTCGTCAATAATGAGTGGCCGGTCCTGCCAGTACCTTGGCAGGTTGGGGACCCTGGGAGGACGGCGGTGGACGGGTTCCTGTCGTAGCTCATACGCCCATGTTTTGGACCGGAATCCCGTATGGATCAACATTCCAAGGGGCTACCGCAACGAGGCCGAGTGGGGGGCAACCTGGCAAGCAGCCACCCGTATGCTGTGCGCGGCCAGGCGCAGCTCTAGAGACGACCAGTAGCTTGGCTCGGCTCTGCTCTTTATTATTATGCTCTGCCTTGGGCGGCCGGGCTGCTTGGACGGGCCCCTAGTGCCCCAATGCTGGCGGTAGCTCCGGAACCCCAGCAACGCTGGCGACAAGGTCGTACAAAGTGCGACCTCATTCGCTGGCGGCGGCCTTGATCATGGCCGCCAGCCGAACATGCTGCCCGATGATCGACGAGCTGTGGGGTCTGAGAAGAACATGCGAGCTGGCGAGGTGGCATCGTATTGTGTGCCGGATGATCAAAAAGTTTCCAATTGAGTTCAGTCGTATCGTCTGGTGCGTGCTTCCAAAGTGTCGGTATCACCAGCATCGTTGCCGGGGGCATCCCGTTTCTGCCAGGTTGCGACAAGTCTTTCCAGGAGAGCTTCGCCGATCCCAATGACGAGGTGGCTCCCTGGCTGCCTGGCCGTAACACGGAAGCAGAGGATCTCCATTGGGAGTACCCAGGGCTGAGGGGCGTGGCTTCGCCGGTAGTACGGATTTGCTAGAAGCGACGGCAGGGCTAGGACGGCATGGCCTGCAGCCGAGATGGAAGGGCTCGGACCTGTTGAGCACGGCGCCAGGCCAGGGTCACCGGCCGTGTGCGCGACGAAACGCATCTCTCGGCCCGCACAGCTGTAAACTACTTAGTAAACTTGGGCTTTGTTTCCGGTAGCCCCTCCTTTGTCATTGACAATAGCGGTCGCCACAGGGCAGGGACTCAGGACTATGGTAGTGCCATGATCTCTAGTCGACGACTTGATGGACGGCTTCTTCCCGCGTTCCCCGTGTTAGACGATATGTCGTCGTCGATGAGTCATGAGGCTGGCGGGAAGAGCCGTCACAAGAAGATGCACTCCTTGATGATCGAGCAGAGGAAGTCAAGCAGGCCCGGCAGGTAGATCCCATCGTGAGCTCGGCCACAGCCTGCAGGGATCAAGATTGTCGATTGGTTCGTGTGAAAAGGCTAGCGGTGACGAACCGTGCTGCAATATAAGAACCTCGTGTGGGCGTCATGCTGAGCCCTCGGATACATTTAGCCGGAGGTTCAGATGTTAGTCCCCAGGACAGACTCTCGTACTATCATCCGTAGATCTTGTGTTGATGAGCAACCTCGCTTCGCTTAAGGTCGGTCAGTCAGTCAGCAGTCACGTTAAACCCAGCCCAGACGCTCAATCTCTCGCTTCATTGTGAGCAAGGATGGAGTGAGCTTTGGAGAGAGGGGGAAGCAACAAGACATGCATGCATTGTGCATGCACTTGAACTGCCGTCTCACCGTCGGCACTGCCAACTTGGCAAGTTGGATCATGACTGAGACAGATGCATCCGTCGTGTCTTTTATCAAGTGCTCCGATTCGGAGACGAGCTGGTCTGCTGGTCTGCTGGTCTGCTGGTCTGGGCTTGCAGAGAGGAAGGACGAGCTGCTGATAAGATAGCGAGATCTTCCAATGGGTACCAAGGTACCTAGGTACTCCGTACCCCCACTTTCCTCTGGCATTTGAACGACCATGTACCCAAGTACCACTTCGCGTTGCGGCTCATCTTGAAGCTCATCGACGTGACCCGATGTTGGGATAATGCGTGTTTGTCTGCCTCAGGAGCAATAGACGGTCTCGACTTGCAATTTGAGGAGCGTCAAGACTGGAATTCGGATCTGTGGTTTCGAAGAATGGACCTTGGATAACTCTTGTCCCATCTCTGCCTAGCACGCGTCGCAACTCGCCTCTCCTCCCAGCCCACCGAGCGAGCGCCCTTGGACGATGGCTGCATTGACTCCGTATACCTACATCCAGTGCCCCTGTTCGGATCCTGCCAACCTCGCCCGCCACAGCCACAGCGATCCCACCACTCCCAGCGCGACAGAGGAGCTCGACGCCTTCGAGCGCCCCTTCGACCCGCGAGCCCCTCGTGCTGCCTACAGCCTCTACCCCCTCGAGTACCTGCTCTACTGCGAAGACTGCCACCAGATCCGCTGCCCAAGATGTATCGCCGAGGAGATTGTCACATATTTCTGCCCAAACTGTCTGTTTGAGGTGCCGGGGAGCAACATCAAGAGCGACGGCAACAGGTGCGATCAGCCCACTTCCCCTTCTTATATATGTCTTTTTGGACCGACCACTGACCGCCCCCAGGTGCACACGAAGCTGCTTCCAGTGCCCCGTCTGCGTGGGCCCGCTGTCCGCCACCGCCGTCGACCCTCCGCCGCCCTCCGAGTCCGAGAGCAAGGAGGCTTACTCCTCCGCCCTCCCGTCCTATATCCTTACCTGCTCCTACTGCCAATGGACGTCCAGTGAGATCGGGATCAAGTTCGACAAGCCAAACGGCATCTACGCGCAGCTCCAGAAAATACGCAACGGCGGCAAGACGCGGCTGACGCCCAAGGAGCGCAGGGACAGGCGCAAGGAGGCCGTCACGGCCAGCAGCGGCGTGAGCTCGACCGCGCTGGGCTCGTCCGCCCTGCCGCCGATAGGGGAGGACGCCCCGTCGGCGGCGAGCCCGCAGGCGCGCGCCGAGGCGGCCGAGGACCTCGACGTCGAGACCCAGTTCGCCAACCTCAAGGCGTTCTACCAGTCACAGCTCACGGACGCCTCCGAGAAGGGCAGCGGCCTGTCGTCCCTCGGGGAGATGAGGCTCGGCTCGCCGGGGTCACTGTCGCGCATCATGAGCCTCTACACCGGCACGGGCCTTGTCGGCGACAAGAAGGCCAAGTCGCGTACCAGCTTGATACGGGAGGCGCTCGAGCCCGAGGAGGGGCTCAAGGTCGCGGACCTGGACGAGACGAGGGCCATCGAGCGCCTGCGCCGGTCGCGCTGGGACGAGACCGCGTCCGCCAGCCAGGCGGCGGCGCAGCCGCCCGCCAACGTGTGCGAGCCGGACCTGCACGGGCGGTCGCGCTTCGTCGACGAGCTGCGGCCCGTGGCCTACCTGCTGCGCACGAAGCGCTCCAAGCGGTGCCCCGTCTGCCGGCACATCGTGTCCAAGCCCGAGGCGAAGGTGACCAACACGCGGTTCCGCATCCGCCTCGTCGCGGGCAGTTACATCCCCACCATCTCCATGCGGCCCCTGCAGGCGACGTCGCTCACGCAGAGCATCTCGGGCAACCCGTTCGCGGCCACCACGTCCACGTCGATGGCGCCAGCGGGGCCCCCCGCCCTGCTCGCGCCCCTCAGGCCCGTGCAGTACCTGCTCACCTTCAAGAACCCCATCTTCGAGCCGGTGCGCGTCACCCTCGCCACGCCCTCCGTCACCCCGGGCCGCTTCGCGAGCAAGGTCACCGTGCTGTGCCCCGAGTTCGAGATCGACGCCAACACGGACGTCTGGGACGAGGCGCTCAAGGACAGGCGGTCGCTGCTGCAGCAGCAGATCCAGCAGCAGCAGCAGCAGCAGCAACAACAACAACAACAACGAGAGGACACGCCCGGCGGGGGCGGCGGCGGCGCGGGCCAGCCGTCCGTGGAGCCCGGCAAGGTGTGGGAGCGCGGCAGGAACTGGGTCACCATCGTGGTGGAGGTCGTCCCCGCGAGCCTGGAGCTGGCGCGGACCAACGCCAGCCTGGTGCGCACGGGGGGGGGCGGCTGGGGGCTGGGCATCAAGCGCGAGCTGGACATGGGGCCCCTCCGCCCGGACGAGGACGTCCTGGAGATACCGATGTTTGTGCGCCTCGAGTGGGAGACGGACGCCGCCGCCGACGAGGGCCGGGCCGCCGACAGCAAGGGCGACGGGAGGGAGAAGAGGGAGCTTGCGTATTGGTGTGTGATGGGGCTGGGGAGGATCTCCCAGGATTGATTGAGCGACGTGTGGGCGTGCATGGGCGTGGGAAGAGAAGAGAAGCAAAAGAAAAAATCTACTGAAGCGAGTTTGCAAGCATTAGCATTTGAGACAAAGGTCACGATACCCTGAACGGACAAGCATGATTTGCGCGTGAAAACTTGTACGGCAGCAGATTGAACAACGCTACCGACGGTCACAGCATCGAGGATGTGTCATGTCGTAGGGGCAGTTTTGGCGATTCATTGGCAGTTATTTCAGAACCAGGCTTGTTCTATTCGATCCAAGCTATCCCTTGCTCCCGACCAACGCAACAAACGCCGCCATGCCTCCCAAAAGAAAAGACTTTTTTGCCGTTGCCAACCGTGAGTTCCCATGAATGAATCAACCAATTGCCAGCCTCTAGTGGCTTTTACGCCACCACCAAAGATTGAAGCCCCTCCCTTGGGTATCCGTCCAATATGTTTCAATGGCCGCTTGGGAGGGTCTAGGCAGCTCTTGGGGCTTTGCGAGCCCTCAAGCTCAGCACGAGAGGCTCATTCCCGAAGTGGCGAGAGAGAGCGCATCTAGTACTCGGTGCCGGTGGACTGGGGGAACTCGAAGGTGACACCGCGGCCGGTCAGCTTGCGGTAGACCTCGGAGTAGGTGTCCAGGCGGTAGTCGACGCCGCCGCGCTCCTTCTCGTCGAGGATGACCTTGAGGTTCTTGGAGCCGTCCTCCTTGGTGCGGAGGCGCTTGCCGACAATCTCGACGGGGTAGACGAGGTCGGTCAGGATGGCGTCGTGGACGGCGGTCAGGGTGCGGGAGCGGGGGCGCTTCTGCTTCTGGGTGTTGCGCGAGCGGGTGGAGCGCTTGGGGCGGGGCAGAATGCGGCGCGAGGCCAGGACCAGGACGTGGCGGTCGGAGAACTTCTTCTCCAGCTCACGGGTCAGGCTGTGGGGTTGGGATGTAAGCATGGAGTTTTCCTGGTTGGTCGAGAGGGCAGTAGGAGTGGAATGGAAGGAGAGAGAGGGGGGGGAAGCTTACCGCTGCTGGACACGGTGGAAACCCTGCAGGAGAGGGACGGGGACAAAGATGACAATAGCCTTCTTGCCGTGGCCAACCTCGATCTATTCAAGATCCCAAAGTTAGCCTGCGAGCTCCCGGATGATCTGCCTGTGTCCAGGACAGAACCCCGTGGACCGCTTCCCGTCCTATTCCACATTGGACCTGAGTGTTTCTCCTGTTTGTATGTTTGCAGCGAGGCTGTGTGTGTGGTGTGCACACATGGCCTCTCGAAGTCGTGACTGATTCGTTGCAGGCAGACAAACGGTGTCGCACTCGGTGGAACAGGTAGATGGTTTCGGTCGCGAGATTCATGTCTCCTTTTCTAGGTGATTGATATTTCATACCTCCTTGGCAGAGACGAACTGCAGAGGTCGGAGGGCAGCCTTCAGGTCGGCAGTGCCGGTCTCGAGGTCGTAGAGGGCACCAGCGATGCTGGCCTCGAGCTCAGAGGGGTTCTGGCGGGAGGGCGAGTTCGCCGCGATCTTGTTGAGCGAGGGGGAAGACATTTTGACTGCGGGTGACGACGTGACTTCCGTGGGAGGAATTGGGCAGTCAAGTATGTCGGCCTGGTGGTTGAGGGATGGAGGTCGGTTGATGAAATAGAACGGGCTGTCGACTGTCGCAGAGATAAAAAAGTGGTCAATGCTAACCCGCTAGTTTTTCGGGGGTGGAATTTTGTGGACTTGGTCCGAGCGCCCGCTGCTTTTGGCGGGCCAGCCGCTGCCCAGCTGCCGCCCAGCTGTCGCTGCTTGGCACTCACGGCTCGCATACATCAATGAGAACAACACATTCGGCGATGGCACCAATCTGCATCTTCGACTTTGTCAAATTTTTCATTGAAGAAGTTCAATTTAGACATTATCAATGATATTATTCCAGTAAACCTGGTCAACTCTAGACCGTGCGATGAGTAGAGGCATCGTCAAACTGCCCAGATGCTGGCATGGCCAGAAACAAGATTCACCAGACAGCATCCAAGTGCTAGAGCCATTGGAGGGCATCCCTGAAACGGCATTGACTGACGATTCGATTTAACTAAAGCTATCGGTCAAGTCCTCCTATGGATGATGCGAACACATGTTTCCTTTGGTGGAGGGACTTGTTCGCATCTACCTAGATGCGTTCAACCGCTATGGTAGTGCTCACAACTCAACTAAGACAAGCTCTCAGATAGCAATATCATTGAACATTTGCTTCCAAAGTTATATGTAAGATCGGGGTGTGCTCTCCCGTACGACAGCCCCTTGTATGATCACTTCAGGAAGAATCTTGTGTGGGGTCCCAATGGGGAACATCCTCTGTGATAATTGTAGAGAAAGGCCAAACATTTTACACTCGGTCATATTGAATACCTAGGTAGAAAGCATAGGCTTGGTTCTGTTATTTTTTGAAGCACCATACTTGCCGAAGTGAGTGGTCTCGTTTCTAGTACCCATAACATAAAATGAATGTGGCACGTCCATACTAATACACTTGAACGCTTAAGACCTAACAGTTTCTTTTTTTAAAAAAAGAAAAAGATAGAACAAGAAAAAGGCAAATAAACGCAATTCCAATACTAATACAAGTAAAACGTAATATCAATGGCTTTCTATTCTAATCTTAGAAGATAACAGCTGCTTATCGTTGAAGATGAAGAGGCAACCTAAATTTCAGAAGAATGTTGTGCAAGGCAACCAATTGTTGCGAAACAGTGTCAAGGAAGAAATGAAGCCGTAAAGACCACCTTAAATTCTTGATTCTGTGCTTTTTCTCTCGGAAACTTTCTGTATCTACCTGAGTATAGGTACCTAGGTATGTATGTCAGGTCCGGCTGTCATAGAACATGTTTGATTCTCAGCTACGGTCATTCCGCGGACATATCAACATTATACCACTGAAACTAATTGGAGATTTCCCGCAAAAGCTTCAATATCTCTCACTCCGTAATATTTCGGCATAATTATTGGACAACCACATGGCATTCGACTTCTCCGCTCTCAGATCTCATATGAAGTGAAGAGTTTGTCTTATTCAAGTTGTTGTATAAATACAACAAAGAGCCTCCAGTATCCATCTCAAAAAAGACGACAGAGCACAGCCAACTTAGTAATATTTTGTGTCGTATGACCTTATACATCATCATAATCCGTCATGGAGAATTCATCAGGTGAAGGAGTTTCGTTTCTAATCCCCATGAATATAAAACGTGCGTGGCGCCTTTAAATAGTGGTCAACACCAAGACCCAACCTTTGAAAAACACAATGCCAATAGATGCTGTGAATTTCATCGTATACATTGGTCCAAACAAGAAGAAATCAGCCCATCAATGTGTCCACATGCGGCCCGAGCCTGCATCCATGGGTCCTGATCCTGCGCCGCACCACTGCAGCATCAGCACCAACCGAAGGCGGGAGCCCCCATGCTGAGGTCCCACCAATCGTAAGTTTCTTTTTTGTCCGTGGCAACAGATCCAGAGCCCCAGATACAACATCCTAGGGAAGCATGGCGCAATCTCAGTGACTTTGACACTATGACCATGCCATCAACAAATCACATTTGCATCATCAAGCATCCGCTATTGCAAACTTCCCAATCTGTGCATGAAAAGTATGTATTCAACGCTAAATGCTATAGCAAGTGTGAGAATATTCCACACGCAGGCCTGTCAGACGTAGAAGCTTCTTGAGTCTGCTATTTCTCTCTAATCATATAACTGTTTATTCTAATCGACTTCTATCAACGCAACGACCAACTTTAAGGCTCTCTAAAGCTGAGCCATCTTGGGTATCTTTGCACAGTAATAAGCCTGTAAGGAAAACCAGTATTAGCATTGGCCATGTCATCAAGATTATAGCGAATCCTAGTCACAGCAGACGGGTTGGACTCACACTCTCGGCCCCAGCGCCAACGGAAGGTGAAATCATCTTTGCGATCCACGGCACCTTGACCTTCTCCGTGAACAGCCTGGCATCGTTGTCGCTGACCTCCTTGTTGAAGATGATGTTGCTGGGCAGGCTGGGGTTCAAAACCGCCGGCCGGCCGATGCCAACCAAGTCGCAGCCGCCCTCTGCCACCGCCGCCTCCATGCCCACACGCGTGCGGAAACCACCGGTGACCATGAGCGGGAGGTCAAGGAACCTGCTGCGGATGGCCTTTGCGAATTCCAGGAAGAACGCCTCGCGGGCTTTGGTCCTGTCGGACTTTTCTTGGAACTCCTTGCCGCCGTGCATCATCTGTTGGACCTGGGATTAGCACTCTGCTTCCCTAAGCGTTTGAGGTATCGGATCAGACTCACAACAGGGTCCTCGTACGTGCCACCTGAGACCTCCAGGAAGTCGATGCCGGCCTCCGTGATCACATTCAACTGCTCGATGGCATATTCCAGGTCCGACGCGGACTGGTGGTCCACGCTGTTCAGCTTGATGCCGATGGTGAACCCCTTGGGCGTCGCCTCGCGACAGGCCCGGACGACATCAGCCACGATCTTGGCCCCGTTCCGCGCGCTCCCGCCGTACGCATCCGTCCGCCTGTTCGACTTGGGGCTCAGGAACTGGGCGAGCAGGTACCCGTGCGCGGCGTGGAGCTCGATGCCGTCGAAGCCCGCGTCGGCGCTGAGCCTGGCGGCCCTCGCGAACTGGGCCACCACCTCGTCGATGTCGGCGGCGCTCATCTCGCGCGGCGTGCCGATGACGAGGGCGGACGCCAGCTTCGCCAGCAGGCCGGGGCCCAGGTCCAGCGGGACGGGCGACGGCGCCACGTTCTTGGTGAAGAAGCCCTTGGTGCCGGCCCCGAACGGGGACTGCCGCCCCGGGTGGTTGATCTGCACGATGGCGGGGGTCTTGCCCGCGGGGCCCTTGACGGCCTTTGCCCATGCCCGCCATGACTCGAGCTGCTTGGCCTCGTTGTCGATGATGGATGTGTCGCCCGGCTGGCCTAGGAACTTGGTGTCCACCTGCACGTTGCCGGTCAGGACCATGCCCCAGCCCGCGTCTGCCCAGGTCTTGTAGGAGCGGTTCATGGCGTCGTTGGGCAGGTAGTCTGTTGCGGGCCCGGCCATTGACTCTGCCATGGCTGCTTTGACAAGCCGGTTCGGCAGGACGAGGCCCGAGGGCAGGGTGAAGGGTTTTGAGATCTCCAGATTCATGATGTGTTGTGTCTGTACTCCTTAGGTTGAGGTTGTACGATGAGGTTGTACGATGCTGGCTCTGGATATGGCCTACGTTTCACAAAAACAGAGAAAGGCAGGGGCGAAGGATGGCGCTTGGATGAATACCGCAGACAGGTGAATCACAGCTTGAGCCACATGCAATCTTTAGCCGTGACAGGCTGGGCGAGTGTGACAACGAACATTTCAAGTTATAACGACCATTTTTTTCCACGTTGAGCAGCACAAGACCGCCCAGGAATATTAGAAATCAACTTTTTTGCTGAATAAATCATGGACCAGATGCTGGTCCATGTTGTCCCGTCGCGAACGTGGGACCTCGGCAAACACTCCAAAACGACGTCGCATGTCCCAGTGCCATCCCTGCCAATCCATGGATATACCCCGTCGGGACCACAGTCGGGCGTCAAATCCTGCCGCATCGGATGGGCCCGAGTGGGGAGTCGTAACATTCTAGAGAGTTCGGGTAGGCACACCCTGTTTGGCACAACCTATACGGATATTAGTACCTTTCCTTGGATTTCTTAAATCTCAAAAGGGCCGGCTGGGGCGAAGGTAGAGCACAAAGCATAGCGAAGGGCCACAAGTAGGGCCATTAGGCACAACCCAAACTCCTACAAGACCTACCCATCCTATTTATATCCCAAATTTTTGAGACATAATTTTATTTTCTGAGTACCATTTCTTAGCGTATGTAGAATTAGCACCTCACTTGGAGAAATAACGCCTCGCTTAAGACGCCACGGTGCGCAGACTGATCCGTGCTCATATGTTGTGCGAAACGGGGTGTGCTAATCCCCGAATTCCATTTTGACGTCGGCGACTTTTTGCGAGGCCAATGTCGTGCCAAGCAGGTGACCGGTGAAAATTGGTCCGTGGGCTGGCTACACCGCACAAGGATCCCAAGCGTTACAAATATTCGAGAGGGTACCGTTGTTTTAAGTGAGTATTCAGACCGCCTAGTAACGTTATGAAGGCGCCACGTACATTTTACATGTATGGGGATTAAAAACGAAACCACTCAGACCGCCTACTGCAGAGATAATTAATAATTGTAGTTTTGTCACAGCGATTATACACATCCAAATAATAGGCAAGCCTGACGTCCTCCCCAAATGGTAAAGGCTACGCATATGGCCCACGAACAATTGAGAACCTTGAGCATTGTATGGGTAGAGTGTACTTGACACAATCCCGATGTCATTCCTATGCCTAGCAGAAATCCATGAGACAATGAATGGTGACTGTTGGCTTGCATTGGGAATCTCAAACGTAGATCATCGACGAAGGATAAGACCAAAGAAAGAAGTGACCCAGAACGGTACAGACGCTATTGCGACCCCTCTGAAAAGTGGGGATCATGCCCAGCTTCAACGATCGGACAACAGTCAAGCCCCTGTGCAAAAACAAAATCATCTACCTGTTGTTCGTTCTCCGCACGGCAATATATTCTACTGACGGTGAAGAAGCAATTTTCATGGTTTGTAACACGGAGCCAAAGACATTGCAACAGAGAGAGGCCTATCAGCCCGCCCTCGAGACAAACTGCGACCAACACGGCCGCATGAGCTCGGTGACGTTTGCTTGCGTGGAGTCTGCACACCGTTGATGATAATTTCGACGCCGAAACCTAACAAGGACTTCATAGTGTGTGTCTCTCCCGGGTATCCCTGTTACCAGACACGACAGAGACACGGTGTGGATCCAGCTACTTAGAGCGGCCATTCGAGAACTCGTTGTGGATGGCGCTTAGGATAGATCCCACATTTCAGCAGTGCCTATGACAACAGCACCGCAATTAGGTCACAGGAGCAGTCCACAAGCTCCGTGGTGCCGAGCAGAAACAATCTCCTGGGCCAGGTCCAGGCCAGTGTCTCGCAGTGTACGAACCTTGGAATGGAAAAGAAAATGACGCAGCCTAAGTAACCCTGTGATGAGGTGAGGCTGCAGCAGGATGGTGAGTACGGCATGCACATCGCGATACAGCATTTAAACTTGAGAGGTTGAGGAATTCTAGCCCCCAAATGAAGACTGTAATGGTGGGTCGGACTCATGGCCGCAGATCAAGACGCGGTCAGCCTCGTAGTCGCAAGCCATTGCAGCGCCCTGCGATGCACGGGAGCGCGCGCTGCAACCTCGGGGCTCAGCCTGCAGAACTGAAAGTGATGTTATTCGAACATGGGGCCAAGACGTTGTCACGGTGGCGAGGGCCGTTACACGCCGCGCAAGGTTCGGCGCCACGTGTACCACTTGAGCGTTCAGCGTCTGTGTACCTCCATGTCATCTCTGACAACAGCTTTGATTCTTCAATCTAGACCACTGTTCCCACATGGACGAAAGGTTACCCCTTTCCGCCTTTCCTGGGGAGCTTGGCCGATCTCGATCTCTTCAACGTTCCAGTGCGCCCGCTTGATGCCATCTCAGGCTGTTTCCTCAAGGGCAGGCGTGGTTTGATCAACGTCTATCTTATACTTGGCTCAGCTGTGCAGAACTTGCGGTAAATTTCCAAGTGACTTCTTTGTTCGAATTATATAGAAAAGGTTTGGAACTTCATGCATTGTGCTGTAAAGTCGTTCACAAGGTATGGTGGCGAGACCAAGATAGCCAAATTACATGAACTTCTCAACGTGACTTCCTTCAAAATGAATACAATGATTAAGCGTCATATTGTAAAGCAAGGATTCAACCGCACCCATCGCCGCTTTTTGAATAACCACTCCGAGTCCTCTCATACTTCCTCTTCGTCCAATCTGAGTCAGTTCACACCAAATGTAGACTCAGACGACCTGTGCAAAGTTGAATGAAGATCATCATGCCAGAATACGATAAGTAGACTGGTTGCGTTCCTCGATCTCATCAATGTTCCCACGTCACAATACGCGATCAGCCTTGCAGCTCCTGGCGTGGGACGTAGGTGGGTGTGCTGCTGGAGAGCTCTGAAGGGTTAGGAGTCCCAGAAGGATGATTGGCGTCAAGATAACTCCCTGAGGACAGCATAGTGCTCCTATCTCCAGCAAACCCGTTATGCTTGTTGGGATCGTTGATGAAGGGCGGCGGCGGTGTAGCCCAAGGTGTCTGGGACAGCGTCTCAGGTGTGGCATTCGCCTTTGGCTGCTGTACGTGCTTGTTCCGCCTGAAGAACCACCAAACACCAGCGGCAAGTAAGCCAACAGCCGCAGCGCAGCCTATCGCGATACCCACAATGGCGCCGGTGGACAGCTGACTAGTGGTATCCGGCTCGGGCTGGGGATCTGGAGCAGGTAACGTAGTGTTTGGGTTTGCCTGACAGAAAGAGGAGGTCTCGATAACGTTGCCACTTTCGTCGACAGGGACGAGTGACTCTTGGTTGCTGTCAGTGTTGGCTGGCCAGATCGTGAATTCATCCGCGTCGAGGTTGACCATAATGTACATGTTGGCCATGAAGTCCCGACCAAGGACCATGCGGTTCGTAAAGTCACCGATCGATCCGGAGCGTATAAGAAGGTCGTATCTGTCCGGGTCCTCTTCCCAGCGTGATGTTTCGCTGTCAATATACACATGCGGAACCACTAGCTGGTTGTTTGGGACACTTATGGACGGCCCCCCATTTATATCAACAGATATGCCACCCCAGTATCTGATAGATGTCTTGTCAACAAACATGGACTGACTTTGGATATCGACCACGACATATATCTCGCACTGGGAGGCAACGTGTGTTTGGTCTAGGAGACAGCACTTACCGATCCCCCTGGGGCGCCTCGGGGATGTACATAAGATCCCAGAAGTGAAGGCCGGCAGACCGGACGGATCCATTTCCAAGGCCATATTCGTTGAAAGAGCTGAAGTTTGTGTACTCGACAAAGTTACTCATGTAGTTGACGTAAGGCAGCCCAAACATCGTCGCCGTGCCGGGGTCGATGCAGGCGTAGAGAGGTAGTGAGGGGAACTCGTCATTGTTCTCATCCGCAACTGACACATCATCGAAAAGGGTCTGAATGGTGTTGTTGACAAAGTTGAGTCTGATGTCTGATATTTGTACCTGTGTGCCCCAGTCGCACCCGGTATAATTCAGCTTGGCGGTGTAGTTGGTGGTCCCAGAGATCTTGTCTTGATCGAAGCCGCCCAGCACTAGACTCCCGTTAGATTTGGCAGCCCCACGGCCATCAAGGCCCCAATAGTAAGACCAAGTGCGAGAGGAAATTTCCCCCCCGTCCCGCAGCGCCCGGAGCAAGGTCGAATCACGACCAAGCCCCAGTAAAGCCTGAGGCAGATACAGCTGGTTTCCATTATCACTCGACGGGACACCGAATGTATATCCCGGGAGGGACACCTGCTCATTCAGTCTCCAGCTGTCAGTGTGCGCCGTCGTCTGCCACTCGTATTTTGAATCGGTCACGGTGTCATCGAAGGCTCCAGCCTCATGCGATTCTGATTGACTTGCCACGTAGGCGCCGCCCCGGATGGTGATGCATTCGTTGTCAGTGACAGTGTAGGTGGCGGGACAAGAGTTGTCGTCCCTGTAAACATAGCTATTGTTGGTTCTGCATGGATTACTTAGCGATGGTGGTTCTATGAAGCTAGCAGCTCTGACCATGAAGTTGACAAGGTAAAGTTAACTCACGTATCGGGCAAGAAGGCAAAGCTCTGAGGTGGATCGCCGATTCCAATAGCGACGCCTCTTGCCAGAGCATCAGCGGGCGAGTTTGCCACAGACACGTTCCCAATTGCGATAGATACAGGACGTGGGACACATGAGGACTGAGCTTCGCCTGGGATGGCCAGAGGAAGAATAATGAGCAACTGTATCCAGTAGGGCTGGCGACAAGACGCAAGGAAATTGTAGAGCATCTTCACGGATAAGAAATCAATCAGGAAAAATATGCTGCGGCGTGGATGGAAGCTGATGAGGGCATTTGCTGTGCAAAGCCGCAGGAAGGGATCAAGGTGAAGATATTGGCCTCGACACGTCTGACGTGAACTGGAGAAGATCTTCCAAAGAAACCTGCCTCATATTCAGGCGTAATTTTGTGGCCGGGCTGGCCGGCTACATGCTCGAGGCTGTCTCCCTAACCTTGAAGGGGCCCAGCGCCAGCTGAAGGGCACACGCGGATCCTCCATAGATCAACTCGACGCATCTACGAGTGGCACCTTCGCTGTAGCCTTCAAGCCAGCTTCTCGGATTGCGGGCACCTGGTAAGGCAGTGCGAGCATGCCGACCTAATTTCCCCACCGATAAGCAATGCTGACCGGCCACCAGACCCTTGCCGCCACCTGGACGCTTTCTCGCATGTGGCAAATACCTCGTAGCCTTGAAGTTCTGCTGATGAGTTATCTTGACCGAGATTTGGGGTCGGAAAAGACATGGTCCATCACTTACCCTGACTGCTGACTGCCCAACTCAAATACAAGAGATCAGTATCCATACCAAATAGTAATATGCAATGAGTTTGAGACGAGATCTATTGGGACGGGGGGGGGGGGGACATCACGACAGGGGATTGTCGTCATTATTCTTTGATCTCGAAGTCAGGGCTTGCCACCGGTTGTGTATTAGAAAAGGACCAATTTGCATCACACCTTGTCAGTTGAAGCATGCCGCAGAATGCGATGTGCGGGCTCAAAAGCAACTTGAGCCTTGCGGATTTACGCACATGTTGGTTCATGTCTTTTGGGCCAACATTCGACTAACCATGCATTCTGCTAACCGAGCTACAGCTCTGTACGACACCGAGGAAATGCGCACCCTACGAAGTTTCCTGTTGGCCCGTTTCTTCTCGCCAAGCCCTCAACGGACCATGCACCTTGCTGACCGGTCTGCAGTCAACCCCCTTTGTACCACCCCCACGCGCCCGCCCGGATTCAGCTGGCTTGCGTTTGCCTTGGAAATAGATTTTATTCGTAACAAACCATGGGAAAGATGGGGCCGTAGCAGGCGATGCTGTGGTACCCCAGAAGGCCTTTTCAGAGCATGTACAATTTGAGATGTCTCCCCCTGGCGTTCCCTTCAACATTTCATCAAGTATCAAACACCATTTCACGGCTTGGACATACCTTTCAATAATCTAGGGGCTAATCCTGGATTTATTTTGTCGGGTTCACAAATCACCTGAGACCTACCGTCATCATTCAAGCCTTCTCGCTTCGATGTTCGCTTCGTATGCCTTGGGGCACGCTTCAACATGCTGCGGCTCCCGACTGCTAAGCTCTATGCAGCTTTTGTCTACGTCTGCATAGCATTCACTCTCATCATCACACTTAGGAGCCTCTGGTTTGGTCAAGTCCGCCAGAGCCCTTTACCGCAAGATCTCCTTGTTCCAACTGAGCCGGTAGAAGGTAACTTGGCCTTTGAAATACCACTACTACCGGCAGACTACAACCCTGTCCATGAGCAGCCATCGATGTGCCAGAAGCGCCTCGGCCTTTTGTACCTAGAGGAATTACAACATTCTCGAGCTGCTTACTGCTCCGATAATTCGACATCTCACCTCACATGCTTCCATAGCAGAACCGATAAAAGCGGCCGGGTCGATTCGTTCTGTATCGGGCAGGGAGCGAAGCTCGATGATGCTCAAAAAAAGTTTGGACTGTCTTGCCACCCGGCGCAGGGTCGAAGCATAGAAACGAACGAGGCTTCAGTTCGACTGGAAGACTTCTCGAGATACTGGTACGAAACGGGACCGCGCACAGTCATGGATCACTTCGTGGACCTGGACATCGAGGAGGGCGAAATACCCTTGGGGGATACACAGGAGCCAGAGAGCTTCGCCATACTCCTAAAAAGAGAAGGCCCGCACAACCTTTGGCACTCCTTGATGGAGATAATGGCACTCAGCACCACGCTCGATGTTCTGCAGATGTCACCAAACGATGCGGATCCTGGGAAACCATTCTTGACACCCCAGGATGCGGAACACACGCAGGTCGTCATCTTGGATGATGCCGTCGACGGCCCCTATTTTGACCTCTGGCGTCTCTTCGCCAAGAAGCCCACTCTGCGCCTCTCGGAGGTCCCACCGGGGTCCAGGATGAGCAAGATCATCATCCCACTGCCTGGAGGGGCCAACCCTGTCTGGCAGGGCGACTGGGAGCCCAACATCTGCGAGCATTCAGATATACTGCGCGTGTTCGCTCATCGGGTGTTGACCCATTTAGGCATCAGGGATATAGAAGAAGCCGCAACAGACGATTCTAAGATCATCGTCACGTTCATCGACCGCCAAGGAACCCGAAAGCTCATCGATATCGAGAGGCACATGCTGGCCCTTGGCAGTCGCTTTCCTCACGCCGACATTCGAAGAGTGGACCTGGCCGCCATCCCCTTTGCACAACAAGTACAATTAGTGCGGGACTCGGATGTCCTGGCCGGCACCCATGGGGCTGGACTTACGCATGGGCTGTGGATGAAGGAGGGTTCGGCCATGGTGGAGATACTCCCCGAGGATTTCATGCACAAGGGCTTCAGGAACCTCGCGGGTGCACTCGGACACAATTACTTCAGTGCCCATGGAACCCAGCCCGACCAAGGCTCGGGGTCTTGGCAAGAGGACGATGTTGTTCTCGAAGATGAGAAGTTATTCGAGTTGATGGATGTGGCCATTAAGAGTATGTACAACAAAGGTCGTCATAACTATGATGTCTTATAGAGCACTAAGGTTATGTTGACGGGAAATGGAAGCATGTCACTATCGTGGCAAACAGCTTGGGAGGGGACACGTGAAGACTGGCATCTCTACCCATGGACCCCACGTCAGAAATCTATGGTCGTCAATGGCTGCTCGGATCCCACGGGATGGCACCCCTCGCGGTCGCCTTTCATGAAACCGGATTACCCGTGTACGCGACCTTACACGACACAGCCAAAATGGAACAGCTGGCTCACAGGGGCATCGCCATTCTCCACAAAGACGTTGTATCGGGAGACTGAATTCCAGCACGCGTGTCGCTGGTGTGGTTGACTCGCTTGATACCCTGATCAACAAAGCGGGCGCCAACTATATGATGCCCGTGGCCGACGCCGACATCAAGAACGGCAAAGAGATATTCGACCTGGATTTCCGGGCACCGCTCGCCGTCGCCCAGGTTCATGCTCCTTCTGCCCGTGTGCAGGTTTGTGGATGGCGATATAGTCACGAATCACACCTCGGGGACTGTCACTATCCAATTTACGTTTGAGAGCATCTGCAGTAATTACATCGAAGGCCGCGCTGGCCACGTTGAGTGATATGATGCGGGTGGAATTACAGCTTGTCCGGGTGGTCCGCACTTTATGTGACCAGCAACCTTATCGTCACCATTTGAGCCCGGAAAGGAGATTGGGGTGGTCAGTCCCTCCTGCAATGAAGATTCCTAGGGAAGCGGTGCACTCCATCTCATCGGGCTGGTGAAATTGTGACGGATATGCTAGGAAGGACAGTGCTCAGCCTGTCAGGTCATGTATAGGAGTGAGGAGGATTGGGGACTGCGCCATATTAAGTATTGTCCGAGGCTCATTTGAGACGGGATAGTCGAACAGAGGAGTGGCCTCGATCTGGTTGAGATGTTCTTGGACAAAAGGTCGTGGGCAAGTCATCCCGGCGTGGATCTCACTGGAGGTCACCATCAATTTATTCAGTGGGCCCTCATGGCAATCTGTAGAAGACAAAACTACCATCAGAATATATATCAAACAGCTTTTGTGAGAAATTGCAGTCTGACCAGTTGATCTCTGGAAGCTGCCTTGCTTGCAAATTTATAAACGCTGGTCTCTTCTGTGAGATCTGAGCTCTCCACCCCACATCTCCCAATTCTTGCCACGGTATTGCTTAGGCCAGATGCCGGAGCGACCCGGCTGGAGGATACCATTAGGGTCCAATGCGTCCTTGATCCTGTTGTTAAGCCGCATTGCAGCACCATTGTTCCAACCGTAAGTGGCTGCAACCTGATCCTGCAGGGCCAAGTGCGTCCGGTACTCCCCAATGCCCCGGGCAGCCGCGTCGTCAATCAGAGCGCGGATGCAAGCAAGAGCCCGGCGCTTCTCCTCCTGGTTGGTCCTGTCGTACATGAAGGAGATGACGTGGTGCATCTCGCGGTGGCCGATGAAGAAGGTGCCCAGGTAGTCAAACCCAAATTGCTCCATGCGCTTGCGGCACATGTCTGCCTGGGCCATGGCGTCTTTGCCGCTGGTGGCGGAGATGGGGGCAAAGAACAGGTGTGACGCGTTGGGGATGTATTGCATGCGGTCGAGTTCTCGCCATGTAGGGATGCCGGCGGTGAACTTGGCGTAGTCGTGCAAGTATGATGTTGGCGCGACATCCTTGCGCTCGTAGAACTTTGCACCAGGGACGGCCTCGGTCAGCTTGCGCTTGATGTAGTCAAATTTGGGCTGGGTGATTTCATCGGGCCCGTATAGCGCAGCGTAGAACACCCAAGCTCCTGTCCCGAGCTTGTCGATGATCTTTTGTGATGCTTTCCGGTCCAGGAGACCATTGGGCTGCAGTGGGAACTCGGTCTTTTTGTGGTACATAGTGGCATCTTGTAGACCGAGACGTAGACAGGGCACGTTGCCAATTACCTTTTGTACCATCAGAGGTCGCAGGGCGTCAACGGCGTTGCTCAGGTCATCTTCACTCGGGAACGTAGCCATGAATGGTCGCAAACCACCGGGGTTAGGCATAAGCCAAACACCCATCTTGGTAACGATGCCATAGTTGGACTGAGAAAAGATACCATCGTGGTAGGGTCCAAAGCCGTAAGGGAACAATTGCCAACAATCAGAGCCCGGCATAGCTCCCATACCGGTCCTAACAATATCGCCGTCAGGCAAGACAACCTCCAAACCACAGTGTTGGGCCCAGTGGTCCCCGTGGGGAGTGTATCCAATACCACGATCAAGAGCATTGCCCATGACTGAGCCACCAGGCAAGTCGGGGACATCAATCCAGAGTTTGTCGCCGACGCCAATGTTCTGGAGATGCTCATATAGACCCAGGTACTGCACGCCGGGTTCAACAAGACAGGCAGCATTGTCAACCGAGACATCGAGGACTCGGTTCATGCGCCTGCCCAGATCGAGGACGACAGAGCCACGGACTCGGGGAGCTGAACCCCCATAACCCAAGTTTCGGCCTATGGAGATTGGCCAAATGGGAATCTTGTGCTTGTTGGCCCACTTGACCACCGTGGACACTTGTTGAGTATTGCCAGGCCAGCAGACAGCCGAGGGGACCATGTCGTCAGGGTCGAGAATGTGGTACGAGTCGTGTGAGAGCGGAACTGCGTGGTAATCGCCATCGACCAGCTCGATGTCGTTGACTTTGACGAAGTCAGGACCAAGGAGGCCCCTCAAATCATTGAGAGCGGCATCAAAGGCAGGCTGAGAGATTCCAGGCGGCAAGACGACCTCTCGCCTCTCAGGGCCATCTTTTGTGGGCACAAAGGGGGACTCTGGGTGCTGCTCGAGCACAGTGCCGTGCCAAACTGGGCGCTCGATACGTTTAGGACGTCCTGCTGGATCAGCAGTCGATACGACTTGTCTTGACATCTCTTTGTGGGAGGCACTGATATTTGAAAGCGTTCTCAACAACACAATATTGTGTGAATCGGGCTAACGGTAGGACAATTCAAGATGAGAGACAGAGGGAGTGAGAGAGGTTTATCAATGAAAGCCAAAATGGCACACTGGCATGAAATGGAGACTGTAGACAGTCTTCTCATCCCTTATTTATAGATCTAGAGGTAGCCAGCCCCAGGAGAGGCTTGTTGCGAGAGTTACACAAATTGACCCACTGTAGGCTGTAGTAGCAGGTTGTTTTAGAGTTCGGTCTTCTCCAGCCGGCTGTAAGAGCCGTTGCGGGGCCCCGCACGGCTAGGAAGGGCCCCCATAACTTTCAGGCTGCAGATGACCTGGGGGCGGGAAGATGTAAGCTCCAGCGCTCCCCTTTCCCAGGGGTCCGGTCTAGCAGCTTGGCCTTTTTCTGCCGTTGCACAATCCGGGCTGTCTCACTTTACATGCCCAAAGCGGTAATCTCCAAACTCGCGACACGAGAAATTGTTTGGGATTCCGCTACGCGAAGAACTTCGCGCTTCCACAGGCTGCAGATTATGCCCAGCACTTTGATCACGGAGGGGAGATCGGTGCCAGGTGGGCAGCAAAGCATGAAAGGATAAGAGGTAAGGTTGCCTCGTGGACAGGCACTAATGACAATTTGAAAGCATGACATAAACCAGTGACAATTCAACCTATCTCGTACAAGTTACTCAAAGCGCGTCCAGCCCTTATTGAAATTTGAAAGGAGCCTTCGAGTTTCTTCTGCTTTTCTTTCTCGTCATTTGTTTGCTGCTCGATGCTTTCGCAGTATCGTCGTTTTTGCCGCCTGCCAAGCCGGAACTGAACCCCTCCAGCTTTTTTGCTATACAAACTCAACATCACCTTTTACCTCTCCGGAAGTTACCAGGAGACGTGAACAACATGAGTGTTCACCATGCCAACTTACAAAGCCCCCATGGCGAGGATATCCGTATCCCCGTTGGTCTGTGGATCGATGGGCAGCTGGTGCCTTCATCGCAGAACCGCACTTTTGAGACCATATCTGCAGTCAACGGGAAACCTCTCGCGACACTACAGGAGGGCAATGAAGCGGATGTCGACAAGGCAGTGACTGCCGCGCAGAAAGTGAGTGACGACAATCTCAGATAACATTTTGATGTAAATGAATCTCTAATGAGATGCAAGAAACTAACATCATCTCCAGGCTTTCCCAAAGTGGCGAGATACCCTCGGTTCGGAAAGAGGTCGCTTGATGGGTAAGCTCGCCGATCTGATCGAGGAGCGCTTGCCCCAGCTTGCTATCATTTCATCTCTGGACACGGGTATGTTGGTATCAGCTGCCGAGGGATTCGACTTGGCCAGCCTCATTGAGCTGTTGCGCTACTACGCCGGTGCTGCGGACAGGATTCAGGGAAAGACCATCCAGGGCAAAAAGACACTCAACTACACCCTGCGCGAGCCTCACGGAGTGTGCGGCCTGATTTTGCCCTGGAATTTCCCCAACCTCATCTTGGGCTGGAAGCTCGCCCCAGCTCTGGCAGCGGGCAACACTGTTGTCATCAAGCCCTCCGAGATCACCTCACTCACCGCACTCTATGTGGCGGAACTATCCAAGGAAGCTGGCTTCCCTGATGGCGTCATCAATGTGGTGACTGGCCACGGCGCCGTTGGTGCTGCCTTGTCATCACACCCCACTGTGCGCAAAATCAGTTTCACTGGATCAGGTGCGACCGGCCGCGCTATCTCCATCGCAGCGGCCAAGTCCAACCTGAAGCATGTCTCCTTGGAACTCGGCGGCAAGGGAGCCGTCATAGTGGCTGAGGATGCCGATGTTGAAAAGGCCGCATTCTGGTCGTGCTTGGGCATCTATTTCCACCAGGGACAGGTATGCGCAGCTGGATCGCGCATCTTTGTCCATGAAGCTATCAAGGAGAGGTTTCTCAAAGCTTTCCAGCGCAACATCGACGAGGCTAAGTATGGCGACCCAATGCAGAGCCAGGGCATTGCCGATGTCGTGGGCCCGGTGGCTTCGTCTCAGCAGCGCGCAAAGGTGGCGTCCATGGTGCAAGCGGGAAAAGACGCCGGGTTTGAGTGGTGGGAGGGACAAAAGGGCACGAAGCCACCTCATGAGAACTACCTGCCCCGAGGATACTTCCTGAACCCCGATCCTGAGCACGACGTGGCTTCGAAGGAAATCTTTGGGCCTGTGGCTTGCATTAGTAGCTTCTCCTCCTTGGCAGAGGCCGTAAAGTTGGCCAATGCCACCGAGTACGGCCTGAGTGCAAATGTGTTTTCGCAAAACATCGACACGGCTTTGAACCTGGCTGCACAGATCGAAGCGGGTACAGTTTGGGTCAATTGCTCAGCCATGTTGGATGCTGCGACCCCTTTTGGTGGTGTGAAGCAGTCAGGGAATGGGAGAGACGGAGGTGATGAGGCACTAGACTTGTATTTGTCTACGAAGACGGTGAAGATCATGCTAGAGCCTTTTCCTGGAAAGCTGTAAATTGAATTGAAGTGCATCAGATCTGAACTCGATCGTAGACGTTGCACAAATGTGAACCAGGGAAATTGAAAAGAAACTTTGGGCTCCGTAACTTGGTATTGCTATCATCTCTCAAATTGAGGCCTTGACTTGAGATCTGAAAGTAGCACAGGCGGCCGCGTCACCAACCCAGGGGCCGAAGCCACGGTCCCGCATGCTCATGTTAACATACGTAAATGCGGCCGACCCTGTGGCGTTGTACCGCGAACTCTTCCACCTGATACTAGCTTTGAATGTTGCATGTCTCGAAACTTACCGGCTACATGTACATATGTAAGCGACCTCGATTTGTGTCCATTCCCTGAATATAGTGCACATATTCAGTAATCTTCCTCATCGCCCCGCGAGTTCGACACTTTCCTTCTGGGTCAAGTCGGCCCAGGACCTCGTCGCACCACCTCGCGTTGTCCTCCCTCCCAACTGCACGCGCCTCGGCAGCCGCGTCGCGTCCCGCCGCGTTCTGAGTCCGCAGAAACACAAGCGGCGGCCCGAACTCCTCTTCGTCAAGTCGGTCGGTCGCATCCTCCTCAGGCTCCCGGCCGAAACTCTCGTATCCGGGAAGCCATCCACGACAGAACAAGCGGTACACAGCACGGAGCATGTCCAGATTCTCGTGGCGAGCGGCCAAGTGGAGGGCGGTGTTCTGCTCGGTCTTATTAGGCTTCATAGCGAAACGCCGTAGCCGATCGGTCAGCTTCCCATGAGACCTCGCGTAGCACCCCTGAATTGCGTATATGCAAGAAATATGACCATGCATGGTGGCTAGGTGCAGGAGTGTATTTCCATCCTCATCGAGAATCATCTCATGGAGAACTCTCAAACCGTCCAGCGAGACCCCAACGGCGTTATTGTGCAAGGGGATGCCAGAAATGAGTTCACTCATCCTGTCCGCATCACCTTTTCGAGCCGCTTCTTTAGCCTCGGAAACCATTTCCCAAGTGTAAGGGTGCATTTTGGGCGGAGGAAATGGCTCCATTGCGTCCGGAAAGGAACAAAGTGTGTCAGTAGATCGAGAGTGACGAGGAGATACTGGATGAACAGCTGGGAGGGCTTCCAACATGTAGTAAGTTATATGCGGCTTGTTCTCAAGCGCTGGAGGATTCACGCTAATAAGGATGCCCTTGTCAATGTTAGTCCATGAACTCGATCAATAGTGCGCAACCAAAGAGAAGTCAACTCTGGGAAGGCATCTATCTGGACGATTAAGTTGGGGAAAGTTTCTCTGCGACCAACACGCCGAATTTGACCAATAGAAGGCCCTGCAAAACTCACTAGAAACGTATCCAGGCACCACGCCCCTGCCCAGGTGATTGCAACCTGACCATGTGCCGCACTGCCAATTCCATCTTGAATTATCCTTTGGACTGCTAGTGGTTGTCGGACTATGGAAGACCGCCAACCCGTAGCCTTATGACCAGTAGCCTCCGACCAAGCCTGCGATGAAGTGAGCTTCCGGAACGTCGTTCACACGCCAATCTTCCAAAGGATCAGGCCCCGATTCCAGTTGTTATCAGTAGTTATCAGAAGCTGATGAGGATTGGTGTCTTGTCATCGTACTTAAGTATATACCTACGTAGCTTTATTAATTCTCTAGCACATCTACACATCAGATCTGCGCCACGAATCACCTCGTACCTAGGTAAGTGGGCACTTGTACCTGTATTACTCCATACCGTTGTGCAGTACGTCACCTGACATCCTGCAGATGGATGCATGTCCGTGTGTTGGCGTCAGGCGGCATAGCTGCCTGGACTGCGGCAAAGCAGATAGATTCCTAGGTTGTGGTGCGGGGAAAGGGGTCTCGTTTCCAGCCAACGTGCTGTGCCTTGAGCTTACTCCCTCTACTGATATTTCATCCACGCGCATGGTATTTACGGCCGTAGAATCAGCACTCGAGCTCAAGTCACTCATAGAAACAACTATCCCCATGGCTCTCCCGCTCTACATCCCCCCATGCATTCACGAACCTCCACACCCCCTTCATCCGCCGCCCCTCGACCGGCCCTTGCGAATCCAGATTGAAGGCCCCTTAGTTTCCGTCCAAAAGCTTGCCCCCTTGAAATTAGGAACAGATGAATTTCCACAGCCCGGCGGGGTCGCTCTTGCAAAGCTAACCTACCGGGCGCTGTATGGGATTGACGTACGCCCAGAAGTCGTCGGTGATATGATCGTCCGGGACGAATACTTGGGATGGGTGATGGTGGGGAGGATACCACAGAAGTAAGTGTATATGCATCGAGTGATCCTTCATCATGAGAATGTCGATAGGCTAAACAAATGGTGACCATTCCGGAAAAGTAGTGGCATTGACTACTATGGTGTTACTTTCGACCACCTAGTCCCACCCAACGATCTCGATCCTGAGGTTTTGCAGATCAACATCAACGAGATGGATGATGACAATGGCGAATATGCAAATACATATGCGCTGTTTCAAGTGGACCCAGAAGAATATATAGGCAAGAAGATCCTAGCTATACATCGGTGCTGTCAAAAGAGGAAAGGGACGCAAGATCGCTCAAGGGTTAACTGGTCGGTGGGTGAGAGAGAGAGACGAATAGCGGTGAGGGAGAAACGAATAGCGGAGAGGAATAACAAACAACACGCGTAAATTAGGACAAATCCATTCCCAATCACACTCGGCTTAATCCAACTATTGGCATACCGAAATGCGACCTGGCTTGGGCGCCGCTTGTGGGCGATTGGGCTGTGTGTCTTCCTACGCATTGCCACGTTCCGAGCACACAGTATCACTGAGAAAGGCTGATCATGCAAAAGATTGTGATGTAGAGTTGTGAAAATAAGGTGAACGGTACTTATTATCCGACAATGGATGCACAATATCTGATGCCCGTCATATTTATCTAACAATTACGAGTGTCTGAGAACAATATTAACAGTAGAAGCGGGCAGGTGCTGCACCCAGCTGCTCCTTTCAACCTATGATGTCGTCCAAGCAGGGAAAGTCGGCGAATGAAAAGAGCAGGCCCCCTTGGATTTAAGGCTTCCAATGTCTTCTTTGTTCCAAGGCCTGTACCCTTAAGACATATAAACAACTGACCATGTTCCGCGGATCATTACGTGGGGACGAAACGAAAGAATCAAATGCCATATGATTAATTGATATTCAAGACTTGTACTGAATCCCTAAAGTGTTGTTCCTCATCTATACATCATGGCCACAGAGAAGCCTGTCATCGTCCTTATTCACGGTCCTTGGCAGACAGCTGCCCAATGGCAGCCTCTGGCAGATGGACTGAAGAGCGATGGCTTCACCGTTTTGCAGCCCCAGAACGCCACCAGTGGCCCCGACGCTGCTGCCATCCGCGGTAAGACCTATCGGGACGATGTGGAAGTCATTCGCCTAGCCATCGAGCCACATCTTACGGCTGGCAAAGCGATTGTCTTTGTCTGCCACAGCTACGGCGGCGTCCCCGCCTCCGCAGCTGCAGACGGCCTCCAGGTGCAAGATCGTCGTGCGCTCGGGTTGACCGGCGGCGTCAAACATATAGTCTATCTCGCCGCCTTTGCGTCCCCCGTCAAAGAGATTTCTCTTCTTATGGCTCTGGGTGGGGCATATGCTCCATTCATGGATAACAAGGTCGGTTCTCACCAAGGTTGCACGAGGAGGGCCCATATCAGGATGGCTGAATACTTTTTTGTCATTATAGGGGGATGTTATTACCCTGGGTGAAGGGGCCAAAGATGCTCTCTATAACGACACAGAGCCTGAGCTTGCAGCCCAGCTACTTGCAGCCAACTTCAAACAGAGCACAGCGAGCTTTGAAACTCCACAAACTTTCGCCGCTGCGGATGTTTCCGTACCTAAGACATATGTTATCGCCGAAGAGGACCATGCGTTGCCTGTGCAAGCGCAGGAAGGGATGAGCCAGGCTCTCAACGACGTCAGTGTCGTGCGACTCCCATTTGGTCATTGCATGCACTTAAACCCCAAAGCTCTTCCCAAGCTGATTGAAACGATTCAATCGGCGGCAAAAGTCTGATTAGGGCTCAGCAACTCGAGCTGGTAGAACAATTTGATTGGGGGTGTCCGGGAAACAAGTCTAAGGCGAGTTAGTGCTTGTACGGGTCTGGGTGTTTATCATCTACCTAGGTATCTATTCTGGTTTGGCCAGCTTGTTTGGCTGTCTCCAACGGGAAGTAACTATACACAAAATTTTGCAAGTAATCAAATTTTAAAATGCACGTTACATTTGCCGAATGGGCGTCAACGCGGTCTTCGCCGTTGCAGCTAGTTATTGTACCCCCGTACACCAACGCCTCCACAGATCAATGCCCATGGACCGTGGCATGAGCGGTCAGGTATTGCTTCCAGGCAAAATGCAAACTCGTTTCATTATAACCTCGCCCTTCGTCTGTTTATCGCCATCTAACCCAGGGAATATCGCCTTTCTCTGCGAACACCGTCATCTGGTGGCTGTGTTGCGGGAACAGTCCTCGTAGGAATTAGTCGAGGCGGTATCCCAGCACGTGCGTCCATATTGTCTAGCAATTCGGATGGGATGCCGCCAGAGCTTGGTGCAGCAGGTGGCGGCGGCGGAGGGCTTTCCAGAAGATCCGCTATTGAGGTTCTGTCCTGTTCGTTGAAAACCATACCCTCAGCTGCCATGAGAATATCCTGTAGTTGGGTCATCGTAGGTCGCTGGCTGGGGACATGCGCCATGCACCAGGCCACTGTCATGCGCAAGTTGAGATCGTAATGGCTGAAACGGTCCTGAAGGAGGTGGCCGGAGTACTATGGCAGGAAGAGTCAATGCTGTATTGCACTTCAAACTTCAGGTCAAACGAGAAAAGGAAATTGTAGAGGTTTTGACGGTATGTAGCAGCAGTTGCACCTACTGTGTAGATAGTGAAATCCTGATTCATAAGTCCTCTTATAGATGCCATTGTCCCCACTGGCGGCCTGTCAAATCCGAGTTGTGTAATCAGACTCGTCATGATCTAGATCAGACTCAGTCAGCCGACAAAACACAACTTGGATCATATCAGCATTTATTCCTTCTTACAACACAAGCCTCGTAAAGATTCGTCCACCATCCAAAACGTCCAGCCGTATTGTCGCGCGCGTACATGTCTTCAATATTGTCAAAGGCGTCCCAGGTTGTAGTGAATTGCTCCTGCAGGGTGTTAGTAATTATGTAAAATAAAGATTTGTTATCTGTGTCACATGAGAATTCTCAGATGGCCAGCTAAGTTCGACTTGCCGGTGTTTTCGTTCCATTGTTACCGCAAATTCTATGAAAAACTACGCGCGCACTGTGTGCATGGTATCAGTACAGACGCCCAAAGCGTACGGATACTAGTACCGCTGACTTACAATAAGGACGGGTGATCTGGTGGCATGGTGACAGCGACTCCTAAATCTCCGACCTAGACACTGTCAGCTGACTGAGTTTCCCCTTCACTTATTGAACCCTCTAACAGGCGTAGTTTTAGTATGTATAGTGTAGTGTCAAATCTGTTTTGGAGATTCTCTTATGAAAGAAAACCTGGGACAGCTTTCATACAACGATATTTTCAGTGCCGAGAGCCAAGACCATAGTGGTCGCCGTGAAAAGACGGTGCACGATACGAACGCTCTTGAAGTACGTATCCTTTCTTAAAACTGCCCAGCGATTAATATAGATGTCGAGCTCACCTTAAAGACGGGAACCTGATCGTGAGGATGTACTCCTGGATCGTTATCATAGTCACCAATCATGACTAGTACCTCGGCTCTTAGCATATTCTCATGGTAAATGTTGAGAGCCTTGCTTACTGTTGTTGTAATTCATGTCGAGATTTATTATTGCATTACCAGGGGTTGGCACATGAATCCCAGCGTTGTCGGTTGGGACTAGCTCTTCACGAACTGGCACCTGGTCGCCACGTTCAGGGACCCGGCCGTCTAGCCAACGCTCCGGGTAGGCCATAGCAACACAGGATCGGAACACTATCGTGAAATTCAGCGCGCTGCGGGAAAATTTCCCAAAGATTCGTCACTCACTACAAAGGAAGATCCTCCATAAGTCGCTGCTCTTCAGTCGGATTGGTGTTGGACTGGACGAAACTTTGCGCAGAAGCCTGTCAATCGTTCCATGTTTCCTGTTGCCTTTGTATCAGTATAGTGAATGTTGTCGATCGCCGCCATACGTGGTATGGCTTCTCAACGCCGCCCTGTAAACATGACTGACATGAACTCCATTACATAAATTTGATTATTATTATCCGCATTGGGGTTGTTTTCGTCAATGACATCGAAGCCGTGGATGAAGTATCGCTGAATGATATGCCTTGCCCCAATCAAGTCCTAGAATTTTAGGAGTAGTTAGCCTCCGATCAGTGCGTCTTGTGTCCACCCCTAGTGTGGTATTTAGTGGCAGCATACACACCCTCAGTATGGAAGGTGTTCTATACCGCCCTAACTCACCCTCATGTGCATCTTCTCACGGAGTAACCCCGGGGAACCTTGGACAGGACGGAGGTTGTCCGGATCCTCCCCTTGTGCCGTGTCATACTTAGCGACGACCTGCCGTGTTGTGCCATCGGCACTGTCCATCTCAAAGAGTACCGCGATGCCTTGTGTGCCAGCGCCGAGGATTTTGACATATCGCAGCCCCACGGGAAGCAGCGCTTGAGTTAATGGATGTGTACCGGCCTGGAGCCTATCGTTCAGCACAGACTTCAGCTCAGGATCAACGTCTCGAGATGCCTGCTGGTAATATGGATAGTTGCGCGCCTGCGTCGCCCTCGTGACGGCCGGTACTGCCGCTCGCGGGATGGGATATTGGTAGAACCGTATGAAGTGTTGCTGTTCGGGGATGCGCATCCAATCGCCAGCCCTGCCCTGCCAGAACCAGTCGAAGAAATCGTAACTGCGAATTCATAGTTCTGCATAAATATCCGCCCGAACGCTCAATTGTCATCAACAACATACCTTCTCTGTATTTCATATGAGATTTCAGCATTCCAATATGCCCGTGCCTCTGCACTCGTCGGGATCGGCTGGCCGGTGTTTGAACGCCTGCCACCGTTTGAACGGCTCCCAGAGTTGGAATTGAGACCAGCCGCGGAACCTTGCCCAGGACTCCTAAGAGATCTCACAGCAGCGCTACGACTACCACCGGAACGCGCGGTGGACATCTTGCGAGTGAGTTCTACAACTTATTCAAGTTTCGGGGGATAGATCAGAGACTTTGACACAGCAGCAATGGATAAAATCAAAATTTGACCAAAGTACTTCCTGGGTGGGATTTCCAGGCGTCCGGGTAGGACAAATCGTCTCGACAACTTTTGGGTAATTACGCTCAAAGGACGGCAGCCAGCCCGGAAGGGGCTTAACTCATTCTACGGCCCTTGTTAGGCAGCATCAAAATGACAACCTTGCCTTTCAAGTATTTGTTCTTTGTGAGCACGGGATTCAACGGCAGACTCGGATTGCGAGAGCCGGTAGAAGAAGCCCTGACGGGTAATCTACCATATTGTGATGCTTCAGCCGCATGATCTATCTTTACGTGGGGTCCACGGGTTTGACATCCCGGACCAAGTCCATATTGAACCTCACCAACACTAGTACTACTAGTAGTTCGGCCTCTGCGTCGGGGACAATGGCTTAGTCCACGCAAGTAGGGCTTTCACACCCGATACAAGCCGCTGAGTAATTTCATCGTTCATCAGTACAGACCTTCCACTAGACTTCCACGTGCTAGGTTTGGCCAGAAACAGAATCCCAAAATCCAACGCTGCCCAGATAATTCCTACCTCTTACGCCAATACACCTTCCCAAATTAGGCTGCCGCTGGGAGAATGGAGCTCCCTATTAACCCTTCAAGCATGCGAGGCACGTCGTTGATGCCATCGATAGTTCCCCATGTACCCTCGGCGCAGAAAGCTCATGACGAGGATCGTTCCTCCCTTTCATCTACCTCGTGACCATCATCCAATCCTTTAATGGTCGTGGTCTGTTGCAAGCATCCCAACCTCGACTCACCCCCGCGTAGCAGGCCAATCCATCAACGACAACCCTCACAACCGATCAGTCCACTTGGCGATGTACCCAAAGCTAATCCAGATGCACGCCATGGCCAGCACCAACAAGACAGCCTGGATGACAGCGCCCCTGATCTTGCGCGTGTTGCGGCCCCGGAAGCCCCTCTGGAAATCACTGATGGTGTTGGTGAAAGGGAACGGGGCGTGGGGCGCCTCCTCGCCCAGGAACTCGCAGAGCGGGCCCCAGCCCTGGCTCACATCATACTCGAGAAGGCGGTCCTCCGGCACGAGCTCCCGGACCTGGTCGTAGTGCCTCTTGAACACCTCGACGCCGCGGTTCTCAAAGTCGCCCTCGAACAGTCGCTCCCAGAGGGCCAGCAGCATAGGCCGGTAGAGCGAGAAGGCCCAGTCGAAGTGGGAGACCACCTGGGCTGTCGGGTCGCTGATGCTGTGGTATATGGTCTTGGCCGTGGATCTGGGAAGGATGTTAGTTTGAAGAGACCAGGGGCAGTCTAGAGCCCCCCCCCGGGGGGGGGGGCGGTTCGGGACCGGCCAGAGAGACTTACTTATGCCACGATTCGGGGTCACGCATCGTGAGGATGACCTTGGCCTTGGGGTACGCAGCTATGAGCTCTGGTGCGAATGCGGCTGCGGGCAGGTCGCACACGGCCTGGCAGTGGCCGAGGAGCTGGTCCCAGTCCTCCTTTTCGAACTTCCCCTCCCCGTCCCACTTGGCCTTGATGGCCTGCATCCACAGCTCGCAGTCACGTGGTGTCTCGGTGCTGGCTGCCCGCATGTGATATGTTTCAAGATATCCCAGAGATCTCAGAGCCGCTCGTACGGCTGAAGGGCGATAGGGTCAGTCTGCTGGGGTGAAATACTGGTTTGATGGTCCGTCTTCTCCGATCACTCACACGTTGTTCCTGTACGACAGAGACCCAGCACCAAAACCTTCATCGGGACGACTCGTCTGCACTGCCGTCTGTCGATGTTCGTGCCATCCCGCACCAAGAGTGGTGTCCCGCGCGTTTCCGGATCAGAGAAGGCCATGCTGGGCGACTAGCCGGATTAGAAACCGTGACTCCTGGCGTTGATAGATGCTGAATGGATTACAGGGCGATGAGCAGGCGTATACAAGCGCGAGTCGTGGGCTCAGATGACGTCGAGCTCGTTCCAGTGTGCGGTGGTGATCATCTCAATGGCCGTATCACCACGTGTCGTGAGTCCTGGCAGAGCGTTTGAGGGCCGCGTCCCGCTCCGGGAACGGACTACAGGGACGATAAATCTTTTCGTCAACTTCAAGACGTTGAAAAGATGGATTCAGCATGCGACGGAAGGATACGGAGCCTAAGACTCTGGTCAGAGCGCTGTGGCGAGAAGAAAGTGCAGACCGAGACTGAGTGGTGATATCTCCCGAGTCAGCTCTCGACTGCCCAGGTGCGGGTCAGGCTGGGCGTCCCCCGGTCAGGGGTTTGAAAATCCAACCCAGAAGTAGACGCCAGCCGAAGGAGCTGCCAGGGGGGGCGACATGCAGGTTGGTGCAGGGATATGGTGACAGTATTGGGGTCCTAGGCAACTAGGGTAGTAGTCACGGCCACGAAATGCACACTGTGTCATTTGAAGTGGCCCCACCGTTACCCTGCCAGGCCCTTGCTGACCACCACGTTCCAAGTCGGGACATATTATTTGACGTTGTACAACGGCGTGCCGCGTTGAACAGCGGCTCTCATAAGGAGCTGAATTTGGAGCACCAATGTCTGAGGGTGCCCGGGCGGGCGTGTTGTAAATCCTTGACAGCTATGAAAGAAGGCGCCGGCAGTCCTTGCTACAAAATTCGATGACCCTCCGCGTGCAAGACCACAGATGACCGGAACGACAGGTCAACTTTGAGCCCGATTTACGATGTAACATTGGAAGTGCACGGTCAAGCGCCTAGCCCCCTTCATTTATTTGATCAGTCATAATCCCTAGTCCACCATAATAAGGATGGAAAATATAGCTCAGTAGAAAAGGTCTCTCTTCAATCTTTAAAAACACACTTGCCACTTACCTCAGCAAGCTTTGAAAGTAGCAGTCAGAAAATCTCTGGATTATCAAGGTAGTCATTACTCTAGCGAAGGGCTTAACGCATAGGCTACACCGGATTGATTTAAAATGTTTATATTTTCCGACCAACGGCCTGAGGTCCGAGTTGCCAATGCAACATCTCGAAGACTTGCTCCCCTCCCTCTCTTAAGTCAGTATCGTGGTAAATCAGCAGTTCTTCACCGTGATGTTGTCTTCTTGTTCACAATGCGTCTCATTAGCCTTGTTACTTTCAGCCTGGCTGATGTATACGACTGACTCTCACATCGACTTTTGCTCCTTGAACCTGTTCAAAGCGGGAAACCGACTGTCCGTAGCCTCTAAGTCACCCAGTTCGAGGACCAGATGTCGTTTGAGGCACTTCCCATATATGGTGCACAGGAGAGTGAACAGAGCTAGCCCATCCAGTCCGAGTGCAAGATCCTCTACGTGACGCCCAACCCCTGGGACGCCTGTGTTGCAGTTCGTCAGCTCGACGAGGCACGTGTGCTAGGATACGACTCTGTTTGCATCAATAAAGGTGATAATGAAAAGAAAGCGAAGTCTGTGTCACTTATGGTAGAAATATACCGTAAGCCCACCTACACCCTTGTTTGCCCGGGCTGGACGATGTTGGTGGACACGCCGAAGCAGTATTCGGTATCCTGACCACAGAAAGTTGTATGATGGACGATTTTCTCCAATATAAGGACTTCTCCTGGGAACCAAACTTGGTTGCACCTCTTGCGGGTGTTCTGGATGAATGCAACAGCAGTGGCTACCAGTATATGATACAGTATTTTCTGCGATGATGGAATCCCATGGCTGCACTTATCTCCTGCGGAATGCTGTTCCCCATGAGCTTTTAGCCCTTGAAGTTGTGAACTGCTGGCCGTCGCTCCATATCCTCGACTATTCCAGAAATCTTGGACGGACCGATCCCGCTGGCAGGGATGGGATTTATGCAGTCCTCACTCTACCACATTTCCGGGGCCACAAGCTGCAGACCTGAAGCTCGAATATATCAAGTCGCACTTGCAAGTGCACCACGACTTCGAAGGCGCGTATCGGGAGGCAACCGGGACGTGTATTGATCTGACCCTGGGTTTTATGGGAAGCAACGACTACACTGGTCTCCCGGGCGATGGTCCCTCGTGGGTTCTCCGTTGTGATACAATCAGTTACATTCCCACTTACGGACTTTCTACAAGACACCACTCATCACAATGTACGCATGAAATGGTATAAATACTGTCCTTGTAAGCGAGCTTGACGGTAGAGATATTCGTCGTCGACGGAGCGAGTACAGTGTAGTGTATCTAAGCGCGCACCGTGGTTGGTTGCGCATGGGCCGTCTCACCATTTTCATGAAGTCCTTCCTTGCCACTAACCCCGCAGGATTTGAAGCAATCCAACGCTTTAGCGAAAGTCAATAGCAACCACTAATGACCGACCTCAGGCTGGGGTGTGCCTGAAAGGAAATCAAGCACTTGAACCAGGCCAGGGGCTAAATTGACGGCTCCAGTTCTCCTCGACATAGCACTAGACTTGCGCTCCCGCAGTTCATCCCAGCCTTCTTATGTACTTGACGATCCACAATGGCACTATGTACTTCTACTCAGCGATGGCTGTAGGTTAAAGCCAGTCTTTAAAATTCCTGAGGTCGACAATAGGGAGAGGTGCTCTTGCACAACTTCTAGGCCTTGGACATGTGACACATTGCATCAATGATTCCTCAAATGTCTTATACGGACGGAGAGGACTGTCACTGCAATCCATCCTCGCTTACAAGAGCACTCATCTAAAGGGTTTTTATTAGCCCGCATTAATATGGTTCGGAAGTGGGCGGCGTTGAAGCAGTCAGTGAAGTGGAATTTGAAAGGAATTCTTGTTGAGAGGGCACTCAGACGGGAACTCACCATGGCCAACGGGTCAGACATTCCAGACGTTCTCTTTTTGCGCCACGGCTATTGGCGCCGTGCGGGAAAGTAAATGCATTCAGTAGATAAATGGAAGTCAACAATCCCCAATATCCCAGCCTTCAAGTGACACTGAACGCCTGGCAGGGCTCCAGCCTGCTATTCACAACGTGAAAATGCCGCAGGAACCGGCCCCTTCTAAACCACAATCTCGTGCTCATCCTTCCCAACACGCCTGTATCCTCTCGAAGAAGCCATCCATCCCCTTCCACCACAGGCTAGCCGGCTCCAGATCAACCAGGCACAAAGGCCCAGCCCAAGCAGCGCAAACAGATGCTCCACGAGCCCAAATACCCCCAGCCCAACCTCGCCAGCACTCACCACCCCAGGCATCGCCCCGTCACTACCACCAACAGGAGCCCTATCACTTCCACCAAGCCCATCCACAAGTGGAAGCACATCCGAATCCGCATGGATCTCAGGGAAACACTGCCACCGCCCACAGGTCTTCCAGTCCTGCTTGGCCGGGAAATATGTCCTAACTTTGGAACTGTTCGCAAGCGACCTGCCCTCGGCATCAAGGGCCTCTGCGAACGCCCAGGGCCGCGCCCCGCCGATGGTCATGTTGGTCTCGAACCCGGTCCGCGGCCAGTCGCCCGCCCACTGGAAGTCCTCGTCCGGGGGCGGGCGGAGCGGGTCGTGCAGGCGGGCGACTTCTGATTCGAGTTTGGACACGTGGAAGCGGTAGGTCGCGGTGCGCGTGTCGCCGTTCCAGGATGCGTACAGCGTCATCAGGGTGCTTGTGGTGCGGGCGTAGGCCCAGAGGTCCGGGCGGGTAGTGGGCTTGCCTTCCCATTGTAGTACCGTCGGGACGGTTGTGTTGCTGTCGGTGGAGGTGGTGGTGACATTGGTGGTGTTTATATGGGGGAGGAGGAAGGCCCGGTAGTTGTTTGCGGTCCATGATAGAGCCTCAGATGGTGGGTCGGGCGTCTGCTGTGCCGGGAGCAGGTTGGCGAAGAAGACAGGGTCGCTATCACCTTCAGGCGGGTACTCTGCGATGGCACCGTGGCGGCCGAAGTGGGCGAGGATGTGGCCGCTGGGGAGGAGCTGGACGTTTCCCATGCCGTTGGAGTCGATGTAACGCCTGGTGTCCAGCTCTGTGCCGTTGAAGCCGGCTGCTCCTGCGGGAACACGGCCGTATTCTGATATCTGCTTGGCTGACATGTTCTGCATATCGAGCTCCAAGACCAAGGCCCTTGACGGGTTGCCCTTCAGATCTGTGCCGTCGTTGGCGTTATTGAATAGTGATATGATCATGTTTGAGCCATCGATGTAGGATAAGAAGCGAGCATCGTGTTGTCGGGTAAAGTTGAAGCCTTCGAGTTTGAACGACGACTTGGTCCCGCCAAGACGCCACATGATGCTACCGTCGAGGTGCGACACGAGCATGATGGAGTCGAGGTGGCGGGCTGAGACTAGATAGTCGCCTGCTGGGGTCTTGTCCACGCTGTTGAGATGGACAGGGTCCCATGCTCTGTCCGGAGTCTGGCCTTTCTGTGCTGCAGCAAACTGCTCGCGGCTGGGGTTCTCATTTAGGTCCAAGTGTTCAGACGCACACCACTCGAAGGGGACCCGTCCGTCGTCAGTATAGAGTGGGATGTCTTCAAAGCAAGAGTCTAGTGTCCAAACAGCGTCGATGAATTTTGGTGGATATGTGGTGATCAATGCTGTGTTGTCGGCCGTCAGGAGGAACTCGTGGAAGTCGACGCCGGATTGATTAATAGAAGACACAGTGCGCACGATGTTGTACGACGAGTCCATGATCACGCCCATACCGCCACCGTGGGTGCCTCGCTGCTGGCCCCGCCAAAAGCAGAGGTGTGGTTCATTGCGGTACTGGCATACATAGAGGCCATGGACATCTGTGGTACCCGCGCCTCCCGCGGCGATGATGCCGGACCATACCAAATCCTGAGCTGTGTGTCAGCATGCAAATCGACACGTGTAGACACGTTAAGGAGGGCTGATGCAGAGGAGACACAGAATCAGATTTTGAGCTTACACCATTGGTATCGAAGATGTATGGACCAGAGTCTGGTCGGTATGGACTAGTGAAAGATGGCGAGACGAAAATGTACCCCGGCGTGGCTCGCTCGGGGTCAGCAGTCAAGATGTTAAGGCGTGGTGGCCTAAGGTCAGGGCGCTTCAGATTACTTTGTTAGAATAAAGTCGCGCGAATGTATTGGGAACGAGTCTGGATGAACTTACGGAATAGTAGAACGGAAGTCTCCCATACCCCGGCCAGTACTCGATCAGCGGCCGCGGACGTTTAACCATGCCGGGCGCGGGTGTGATGGAACGGTGCCGGCAGGAATGATGTGCGGTGCACTACGGTCCTGGGAGAAATGCTTCGACGGTACAAATTCGGGTTCTGGTCGATGTGCGGAACCAAAACGAAGTGTGCCTCCTCTAAGGTCGAATGAAGACGCTGTGTCCTTGTTGCGCCTCGCCGTTTCCTAGTACCAGGCGTGCTTCCTCGAAGGATGACTTGTGAAATCTCGTTCCGTGTGGAAACTAGTTAAAAATTCGGGTGACGAAGTATTTGGATGCTCCAAAGTTCTAGAAAGCGTAATGGGACGAAGTCAATGTAAGGAAAAATAGAGAACAAATGTCGAGATGTCGTCAAAGCCAGGCTCTGGGCCGGTGTTTTGGGACGGCGATCAGACGGGGTGCTAGTGCAGTTGCCCCTGGCCACGGCCATGATTGGGGGCGTCTTGGTGTTTGAGAACTTCAGGGGTCCACGGAAATCTTCTCCGGCAGAGCAAGTCGATGTTTTCCAAGAGCAGGGCCTCACTTGTCTTTGCCATGAAGAAAATAGGAGTGATCATTACTCCTTGGAAAACATCCCAGGCCATCTGCCGCAACGTAAACATTTTGTAGATCTTGATCATGGTTGAGCTCAGAGGCGCGGTGCCGAGTCCAGCGACTTCACACAAGACGGCCTGAGATGTTTGACTCAGCACGGGTCCGAGATCCCGAGGCCAAGTCCGTGGTGGCCAAGACTCTAACCAATCCTTAGCTGATCATCCTTATGCATGAGGGTTGAGAGACCTGATATTCTGCTAATTGACGGTCATCCGGCTGTGAACCATTGCTGCCTTCGGCCGTATGAGCAAGTTTATTGTTGGTGTTCAGTGGTTTTCGGAATCGAAAGCAGGGGACGGATCGGCCCCAGGATACCCCTGCCTTGAGGAGGTGGGCCTGAACTCAGGGCCGTTTGGTCGTACGCGCCGTCAGGGTGGAGAACTTCAACCTCACCTCACCTGGGCACTGAAGCAGTGCCTCTCAAGCCGAACACAGGTTACACGGCACATCTGAGGCTCGAAGTGGGAATCTGAAAGAGTCATTTCCCCTCCGACTAAGCCGCCATGGCACCTCAGAAACATCAGCAAGCGGGCCACAACCGCTTCCCGATCATCTACCGCCTATTCTTCCTTTACATCGAGCCTATCTCCGCCCTCGTCGGCGCCTTCTACGCCCACTTCCGCCAGGATGAATACCTCCTCCTCACGCACTCCGCCTCTGCCCCAGCACCGGGCGCGATCCCGACCGGCACCTCCATCGTCCTGTCCCAGCTGGCCAACCTGTATCTGCTGTTCACTCTGAATGAGGCACTTGTCCTCCGCTCGACCTCGGACCTACGCGTCTGGAAGACCGTGCTGTTTGGGTTGCTGGTCGCTGACCTGGGCCACCTTTGGACCGTCAGGCAGCTAGGGCTGGATATCTACCTGCCGTGGAATTTTGCCCGGTGGAATGCTATCGACTGGGGGAATATCCCCTTTGTGTATCTTGGCGCCAGTATGAGAGCTGCTTTCATATTCGGGGTCGGCATGGGCGACGCCGGCACAACGAGCTCCAAGGCCAAGAAAGGTTAAGATGGTCGGGGCTGTCATGGCCTGTGGCTCGGAGATTTTGAAATCAAGTGCAACTTGTGCGAGACTCTGCTACTGGTAGAGTAGACACGCGTCGACGGCGGACTTCGATTTCGTGTCGTTTACGCAGCATACAGTCTGCTTCGGAATCGCCATACCAGTCACATTGGCCTTCTGCAGATCACATATTATATCAATGATTCGGTGCAAACCTAATTGGGTTCCTCTAACTGGTTTCGTTTCTCCTGTATACGCCTGAAACCATACGTGGCATCCATCTTCATACAGCGGACGCAAACCTGAGGATTCAACATCTTCCCCGAGCACTCAATATCTCCTCAAGATTGACGTTATCCTCGTGTTGAAAAATTGCATGGTATATTCTGACAATGCTATATTGAGAGAGGACGACTAGACAGACACACATACAAACTCACTGGCCACATACACATTCCATTCGTCGATACTCCCAAAGCCCGCAATTCGTCTTCGTCTTTCGTCAACAGTAATGCAATGCCCCCGTCAGCCGTAGGACAGGCATTATTCGAACTGCGGGGGTTATTGTGTGATTAGGCTTATCACGACGTCCCATCGCAGCTCCGGCATTTCTCTTCCCGTCGTCAACCTTGGAAGACATTTGTTTCGATGATAAGCCGAGTGATCATCCCGTGTGCCATGCAGGCGTTACACTAGATTGTTCACCGGATCCACAAGTGGGCGGAGCCTGCATATTCAGTTCGACGTGAATGGTTGCGTCGGACCCCATGCCACCAAGGCAACAACTGGGGTTACGATCTGACGAGGTAACATGTCAAATTACTCCGCCCTGCCTGCCACTGGCACGTCAGCCAAGGTGATAACTGAGTTCCGTGGCAGGCGGTTCTCTATTTAAATAGGAGGCTCCAAAATCTCAACCATCGACCTCCCGAGGTCCTCAACAGCATCACACGATCTTGAACGCAAAGCCGATGTCCAAATGCATACAAAAGCAGATATATTCGGGCCAGTTCCAGGCTTTGTGTTACGAAAGCCGTTGGCCGCAACTGGAACATTTCTAGTGTTCTCCATATTTGGTTTCCTAGTGTGGTGTCTACTGTCCAACCTGGTATCACCTCTCAGAAAACACCCTGGACCATGGCTGGCTCGTAGGTCCTCAAATCTACTATAGACCAAACTAACTCCCTGCTCCTACCCTGCAAAAATCGCAGTCGGCCATATCAAATGACTAACCAAGAAAGGCTACACGAACCTATGGCGGTTCTTTCTCGCGCTCAGGAGTGACTACCGCATCCAAATCAAAAAGCTTCACGAGAAACACGGGCCTGTCCTGCGAATAGGGCCTAGTTTGCTAGACCTTGATATTCCTGAGTTGGGAAAGGTGATCTACAGCACAGGCGGAAATTGGCGAAAGGTGCGAGATACTGCAAATCAAAACCAGCGAGGTTGATGAGGCCTCACTGACAACAGTTGTAATCGATCAGACAGAGTTCTACCAGAATAACAGCGCCGTGGTCAATGTATGTTACACTCCATTCTCTTTATTATTCTCATCCATTGTCCCGGGGGATCAGCGGACAAGGTAATAGCGCTCTATGATGCGTGTTACCATTTTGCCGGCAAGAACTTCGCATTGTTGACCTTGTAACAATTTCCAGGGCAAGATTGTCTATCATCTTTTCAGCACTACGGATCAAGAGGAGCATGCGCGCATGAAGAGACCAATAGTTAAGTATTACTCACAAGGAAGCGTCTTGGCCCTGGAGCCTTTGATGGACACTGTGATCAGCGACTTTTGTGATCACCTCGAAAGCAGGTTCATGGATAGCAAGCAAGGCAAAGAGTGCGACCTTGGCCAGTGGATTGCCTTCTGTAAGCAATCACGCCTTTCCTGATTATCTTCGGACATCCACCTTAACCTACTTACTTCCCTGCAGACTCATGGGACATGAATGGCGCTGCTACCTTCAGCCAGCGTTTCGGATACATGGACACTGGCCGCGACCATGACAAGACCATCGAGATCGCGGACAAGGCGATGGACTACTTCCCAGCTGTCGGGCAGATGCCATTTCTGGACTTTCTCCTTGACAAGAATCCAGTAATGCGCATTGGCCCACCGAATCTTGGGACCGTTACACGGATTGCAGGTATGTTGACAACCCCCCTCCCCCAAGTCAACTCGCAGACCAGAGCGAACCGAAGTGGACAAACAGTGGCTGCCCTTTCCTAATCTCATTTTTCTCCTCAGCGGAACACCTCGTTGCTCGGTTGTCAGGCAAAGATGCCAGCTTCAATCCGAAGGTACCCGACTTCTTGCAGTACTTTCTCAACGCCAAGAGCACACACCCGGATCTCGTCGACGACGGAGTCATCATGGGGTACCTCCTGGTGAACCTCCTCGCCGGGGCCGACACCACGGCTATCACGATCCGCACCATATTCTACTACACCCTACGGGATCCCGCGGTATACAAAAAGCTGGAGGCCGAAATCGTTGCCGCCGACCTTGCCAAGGTGGCCCCGTACAATGCTGCTCGGGCACTGCCATGTGAGTCCACCCCGCAAGCGTTATCCGCGGAGACCCCTGAGCCGACACTAGGGCTTACTGAATCCGTGCTAAATCCTCCAGACCTCGAGGCCGTTGTTCGCGAATCAATGAGGATGCATCCCGCCGTGTCCATGATCCTGGAGCGCCACGTCCCATCCTCGGGGCTCACCCTTCCCGACGGGTCTTTTATCCCGCCCAAGACGGCCGTCGGAATCAATCCATTCGTCGCGGGCCGTAACAAGTCTGTCTGGGGCGAAGACGCGGACGAGTTTCGCCCAGAGAGGTGGCTTCGTCGCCCGGGCGACTCGGATGACGAATACAATGAGCGACTGAGGATGTTCAATGCCTGCGACCTGACGTTTGGAGGGGGCTCCAGGGTCTGCATAGGCAGGAGCTTGGCGTATCTGGAGATATATAAGATCGTGGCTACCTTGGTTGGACGTTATCAGATCCAGTTGGTTGATCCGACAAGGGAGTGGGAGATCAGTGGCAGTTGGTTCCCTAGGCAAAGCGGCATCATGTGTTATCTCAAGAAGAGAGCTTGAATCAGATGGGATCGGCTCTCTCACAGGGAGTTTTTTTCATTATCACCTGGGAAGTATTATTTACTGGCACGTCGGAAGTAGGTCCAACCCTGTTCGGAAGAGAGCAGTGATAAGAATGAGGACATTGTCATGTTTGCTAAGCATCAAACTATCTAGCTACAAGAGTAGGTAGTTGCTCGAAGACGGTCCATGTGGTGTCCTTGCTCCTGTTCCTGTGCCGCCATATCACCCCAATCAAGCCTTCCATCGCGACGGTGTCAAACTGTTTCCGGACAGAGTTGTATGTGGTTCTAAGTAGGTAGGCGACTCGGGCGAGAGTCTCTTGTTGATGAACGCCGACTTAGTTGCAGCAAGTCACGCAACCAACAGGGGCTCCCAGGCAGCACACGTAGCACTATGGTAACGAATATGAGTGTCATTTTATTGATGTCTGTCAGACGATAAGACTTACTCCCTGAGGCACTGCGGCATTAGTAGCTGCGTCCTCTAGAGACACAGGTGGTGCTGCCAAGACGGCTGCGGTTTGCAGAGCGAGGGCGACGATGATCTTGCTGAGCTGCATGTTGAGCAGAGAATTTGCAAACTGGTATTTTGGGGATTTGATATTTTGAACCGACGGGAATATGGTGATGTTTCTGTAAATTGTATGCCGAAGAATGAAGCCACTAACAGTTTGCCTGGTCTGAGAAGCTCTTCTTTCAGTCGAACATGGCTGCCGACAAGGACTTTATATAGCTTTGACATCACAACCAGACAGTCATGGAATGAATCGGTAGTCGGACCGTTGAACCCATTGAGTAAGGACGCCGAGTACACTGTAGCGAAGCATACGCGGTGATCGACCTGGCGGGCACAACCGGCCAAGTCTTGCAGGCGCGAAGGAACGAAGGATTGCATACACCATGCTGGCAGACGTGCGTCGGACCGTAGGACCGACCAAAGTTACTAAGTCATTGTTTGCATTTTCGCTGAAAATACCGAATGCTAAGACATGGCTTCATGCTGGAGCGCGGAGCATCGGGCTCCAGTAGGCATCTTCTTACTCGACTTGGCTGTGTGCAGGTCGAAAGATGGGCTGGTGGACCCTGGGACAGGCATCCCTTTTCAATTGAGGATGCATTAACCTCAAAGATCGCTAGTTTTCGCACTTTGACCATCACCGAGGGGTCGAGGACCATGTATCTAGGTGGGATGGAGACCTCTCAACCGACTCATCCTGAAGTCACGACAGCGGATACTGTACCTTCAATGCTATCTACACTTCGGCGGGTAGGAATGCGTTGGACAATCCCTGCTTTGCGAGGTCAGAAATCTGAGAGAAGACAATTGCCACATGTTGAAATAGCTTGATTTTCAGGAATGCTTGAGCCCCACAGGTTGTTGCCACGTTCCAGCGTCCTCTGAAAGGATCATTCTCGTTTTCTCAATTGGTCAACCGCGATATCCGATTGCAGAATACGTAAGCTCATCAATAATATCAACATCTCATATGATAGGAACACATCATGGCAAACGCTGGACTGTCCCAAGATCGCTGGCTTCCTTCGTGGCTATGCATTCCAAGACAACGTGTGTGTCGGAACTTCCATCAATTATGTGCTGGTCTAAGCCGTAACAAGTTACTTGCACAAAAGAATCATCTACAAGTTAGCTAATTCAAGAGGTCTGGAAGTCGGGGTAAGCTGAGAGCATGTGGATCGCAAAGCTCTGTGCCTCGGGCGATTTCGCGGCGAATTTCATATCCGTCCAATTCAAAGGATTGATTGACCACTTTAGGAAACAGGGCATCACTGCTAATCATCTATGTGACAGGCCTTCACTTAACATCAGCCATGTCCGCATACCCCCTCCCAAATCTTGCCCTTTGCAGCTGGGCGGCCCTAAATGCCGTGGCAGCAAGGAGGGTTCTCAGTCCCCGCCAGCTCCGTACACCAGATCGTGCCGTTGAGATAATTACGAAGAAGTGGCTCATCTGCCTCAGCAGTGTCCGGCGATTGATCTCTCCTGAATCTTCTGACTGGTGTCTTCCAAGCTCTCGAGTAGCAGGCCGTCGGCTTGTAATGCTGAGTCTCTTGCGATGGCCGGCACGCGCCTCATACCTGTAGCCGCCGGGGCATTCCCGGGGCTCTACATGTCATGATTATTACTCCCATCTGGAGGGCCACCAAGTGTAGGTAAATATCCATAGGTACCTGACATTTTTGCAGTCTTTTTAAGCTCATGGTGGTTAAGCAAGCCCAGTGGCCACCCGCCGGCATTGAAGCCCCCTCCCCAGAGATACTTGACGAGAGGTTCGGCGAGGCCAATGTCTTTCCAGTCAAGCGTCTTGATAGCCAACCGTTACGGCCCGGCGTGCCCGAGCAGGTCATGTGGGGTGCCTGGCTCGGATGCGCCAACGAGGAGATCCCACTCACCGACTGTGCCATCTCACTTGCGGACTTTGTCGAGGATGGTGACGCCACCGTAGTCGTCGTCGAAAGGGGAGCGGCAGCAGGAGGAGAGAAGACCAACAGAGTGCGATACGCCCCAGCGCCTGCGCACCTATCGGATGGGATTTCGAGAGGAGATCGCAGGAGGTGCGCCGTGGGGAGAGCATGGATGGATGGGAGGCTCAGAAAGTTGCTTTAGTCTTCGCGTTGCTTAAAGCCATGCAGAACTATAAGCCTGATGAGAGGTTATCCGTTGCGCAGGCCCTCGAGGTGGAGTGGGCGGTGAAGTATGATACGACTACGTTGGAGGAGTTGAAGAAGACACAGGAAGAGGCACTTAACTCAGCTCTAATTCGCTACGACCGTATAAAAGTGTCAAACAGGCTGTCATGTTCCTCTCTCAACCGATATTCCGCGAGACTGCTCACCGTGCTCTGATGCTCAGGTGTCGATGATGGATGTTCATCAGGCTCATTTGGGGGGTAAAAGTCGCTTCGTAGATGTCACCACCACAGTCACCAAATTGGAGATCTTAAAAGGCACCACTCGAGTAGAAAGTCTTTGTCCCAAGACTTGAAAGTAGCATTGAAGCAAATGCATTTGAGAACGTGGCCAACATTTCGAGAAAGGTGTAAGCCCCACGCCGCCACAGACTTATGTTGGATCTGTCGATGTGCAAAATTACACTTTCAACCAAAGGCAACAGTCCTCACCCTGGCCTACTCCTTAGACTGCTCCGAAGGGAACTTGGCCTTGCCCTGAGCATCCGGTCCCCAACCGCCGACGCCATGCGCAGCCTCGTAGCCCGCAAACCCGCTCGCGGGGCCGGCGGTGATGCTGCCCGCGGCCTGGTTGCCCGCAACGCCGTCCCTGTCCTTGGCCCAGTCGTGCAGCTCCTCCTTGTTCATGCCTGTGTATTTCTTCAGGGCCTCGTCGCTGATGGGCTTGCCGGCCTTGGCGTCCTTGTAGCGCTGATAGAGGGACTTCTTGCCCTGGTCGTTGGTCGCGGAGTCTTGGGAGGTCATATTGACTGATTCTGTTTACGACCGTCTGTGTTTGGAATATGTTAATACGCGCAGCTTGCGAGTAGGATTGTCTAGGAAATTGGGAAGGTCGAGCTTTAGGTACGGACTTTGCCCAATATTTGACGAGAAAAAAGTGGAAGCCTGGAAGTCGGGTTCAAGGGTTTGGACTTTGGAAATGTGCAACGAAAGCGTTTGAAATTGCAAGGTGTTGTAGGGAAAGAATTGGGAATGAGCTCGTAAGCTGCCTCGAGTTGCAATTCCAAGGTTTGTAGATTCAAGGGGGAAACTTTCGGTGCTCGCAAATAAAAAGAAAGGACCGTTTGTTTCCTCGAGAGCAGTATGATAACTATGATGTAGTCGGTGCAAACGCCACATGATGTAGGAACCTGTGCAACCTTGTCCAACGTCAGCTTCTGCAGCGCTGATTCGTGGGGCACCCAGGGCAGTTGAGAGGCTCAGCAATCCATCAGCCGACCACATGAGCGATTTAGTTTGTTGCGATCTGGGGCTGTGCCGGGCCGATTTGGACGATCCGTTATGTAAGGGGCGTAGTTTGAAGGGGGATTCAAACAGTACCGAGTTAGGCAGTGCACAGAGAATGGTACACTACTGCGACTATGGACGTGACCGTTGTTGGAGGAAAGTAACCAACAGTCATTCCATGATTGGGCGTGAGTGGATGAGAAGGATTTAGCTCGGACCATCACAAGTCGTTTGGTCTTCCAAACAAAAGCTGGCGTATCGCGAAGCCCGGGACTAGGGCATGCTTTCAGGCAGAGTTGTAACGCCTATCTGGTCATGGACAAAGGATGCCGAGCCAGAAACCAACAACAGTGACGGCGCCGAGGAGTAACGGTTCAACAAGGTTCAGTATGGTAATTTTGGCTAGCACCAGCCCGTACAAATGCGACGTTCGACCCACCTCGCCCAATCTCTGGATCGTCACCTCTACCCGGTCCTGGTCTTCGTCTTGAAGACCGGTTGACCCCGGACCCAACGAGCAGACTAGAACAACTTTAAGATCTGGCAGAAAGCTTGTCGGCCTAGCGAAAAGCTTGGCCAGCGCGGCTCCGGACCAGTGTTCCAACCAACAAGTTGCCGAGAATAGCTAGTCATTCACTGTCGACTGTCTGTACATTGTCGAAATAGCGGCAGACGCATGTGACAAGTCGTGCGAATTCATTAGACCCATTCACCAAATCACCAGTATAGACTAGATCGGAACCCAGAATCGTATTGCGCCTCGAACTGTATTTGCTTGATGCCGAATTTTCCACGTTAGAAAATCCGAGTGAATCTGTTGGTGCACATGTTGTTTCTCAATCTTGGCCAGCCCAGACAATCACCACTTTTGGTGCACCGCGACCAGCTGTACCATCCTGTCGATTCCTAATGTGACTCGGATGTATTTTCAGAGGATCCAAGGACGGTGAAGGCTGAGAGCAACGCCTGGCACTCCAGGGATGCCATGTAGACAACATACGCCGTATTGCTCGTGATGATGGTCTCGGCATGCAGATCCAGACCCGTCTCTCATGCGGCACAAGATGCTGTGAAGGTCATTCAGGCAAAAGGTGCGACCATGTTCCATGTAAGCTGCGAGAGACCAGGTGCTATGTTGGCGCCAACGTTGACAAGCGCTCCCACAACTTCAGAACGTCTTTTCCACATGCGGTATGAGATGCCGAGGACAGGCAGGCCACCAGGCCCAGGATTCAAACACACGAGTTGGCGGATCACAGAGCCAAGCAGAACCAAGTGAAAAAAGATCAGAGTGGTAGCGAAGGATATTTTAAACATTTATACCCTGTCTTCAAATCACCAACAGCTTCCTCCAGAACCAAAAGTCTCGACGCTGGTAGCCACAGGATGAAGGTGACGCTCCCCCGTACGAGATTCTTCGCGTCACGAACAACTGGCTGGACCAGATTTGCACCAGACGGCCGAGTATAAAATGTGCCACCGACGCCGTGCAACGCACAACAATGGTCTGCCTCATCTCACCAGCTCAAGCTCAGAGTCCAAACAACAACCAAGCGAATCCAATCATAAGAATTATCATCCAACAGTCTTTCATCCACACTCAAGCAGTCTTCAGCCCAGCCCAAAATGCAATTCTTCACCTCCACCATCACCGCCGTCCTCCTCGCCGCCCTCACCGGCCAGGCTCTCGGGGCCCCGGCAATCGGCTCGGCCCCCGAGGACGCGTCTCTGCTCGACAAGCGCTGCGACTGCACCTGCAACGTCAACTGCCAGAGGAACTGCCAGAACGGATTTGCCCTGAACCCGTTTGGGGTGGGCGCTTGCGTCCTGGGATGCGCGCCCAACTGCGGATGCAGCGAGAACACCGTATGCTAAATGACGGGACTTTTGGAACACATTGTCTGGCGAGACGGGGCTTTGAGGCGTGGATGTGGCGGTTGATTGGGGGATGCCACAAGCCGTCAATTCAAGTCTCTCTTCCATGATCGGACCGGGTGTGGGTTTTGTTGAGGTGGATTGACCTTTTTCTTCAACTTCTATTCTCGGCCGGGCTCGTCATTGGACGAGTTCGGCAAATGTTATTTGTTTTTGCTGTTTGGGTACGTATGTATCGTGGATAGCAACAATTTGATGGGTGGCGAATCACTCTCAGCTGGCAGCAGTCCGAGTAAATCAACGACCAGCTGTGTGTTGCACAACGTGATTTGCAGCCCCGAGCATGAGTGTTGTCAGCATCATGGAATGACTGACGAATTAGAATTGATATGATGGAGGCTCTAAAAATGAAGCACGTAGAGAGTCCGCTTGAATTTTAAAAGAACGTAGATTGCTTAGATCTTCTGCGGTAGAGACTGTTATTCCATGGCAAAGCATCTCCTCCGTTCCCACGTCGCAAGTAGATTCGTTCATCTCAACAAGTACTTACACCCAAGCGACGACGCAACATCCCAGGTGCAACTTGTCCCCAAGAAACGCACCTGGGCACTCCGCTACACCTACCGCTTCTTGATCGTAGGAATGTAATCCCTCACCGGCCGCCCGCCGACCTTGGTCCCGTTCTTGAGTTTATAGAAAGCCTTGATTCCCTCTTTATCGGTGTCCTGGATGGTCGGCGGGAAGTTATAGCTCATGACCGAGTCATAGTTAGACTCCATGAACTGCGTGGCCCCCTCGCCCTCGGCGCTCAGGTTCTTAGCCGCGTCACCCGTAATGGCAAACTCGTGGCGGAGACCAAGGATGTGCCCGATCTCATGCGCAAAGATGTGCGGGAGGTCGTCAAAGTTGCGCGGCTGCAGGGCGCTCGCGTACACCCACACGGTCTGGTTCTTCTCGTTGGGGAAGAAGGCCATCGCCAGCGTCGTGTCGCGCGGGTCGTCCGGCTCCCAGTAGGTCAGGTCGAAGTTGGCGCCGGCGGCGTCGGGCGCCGCCGTGATCTTGACGCCGAGGTCCACCTCGTTCCACAGGTCTGCCGCCTTCTGGAACGCCGCGGCGGCGTCCTGGGCGCGCTTGGCGGAGGGGAACTTGCTCGCCTGCACGAAGTACTTGAGCTGCCGCGGCGTCTGCTTCACAACGTCCCAGCGGGGGACCTCCCTCCCGATGCCGACGACGATGGAGTCGTCGCCTTTGCCAGCCGCCGGCCGTTCACCCTCTTCGGTGTGCTTGGCCGGCAGCGGCTCGGTGTTGAGGTCCTTCTGCGTCGAGCAGGAGTAGCTCCGTTTCTCGTCCGGGGCAGACATGGTGTCGTTGTCGGGCTGGTCTGATGCTCGTGGGTTTGTGTTGCCTTCGGCTATGGCACGTGCGGCTCGTTCGTGGATTGGAGGGCACCACTTGTTCGAGAAGTAATCCAGGATGATGATTTTGGTATCAGCTGAGGGGCGATCTCAGCTGTGAGCAGTCAATTGATGATGCGACTCAGCAGTTTCAGAGCTTCGGAGACGTATTGAAGGTCGGCTTTCCCAAGTCAGCTTAAGCATTCTTTACCCGGGGTCTTGGTGGAAGGTTGAGCTCTCTTTATACTGCAGATTCGACACGCGTACTTGAACAACACACGTACCGTCCTGACTCTACGCAGATGAACAATCTAGGGATGAACTGACCTGGATGTGGCTGCTCAGGACAACGAGGCAGCTGACCCTCCTCATGCAGAGCGGCGCCTGAAGTGCAAGCAGTGATCCCTAGATGGCTGGACTGCTGCATGAGACAATGGGGTAGTTTGCAAAATAAGCAAGTCGTGGCTTACTAAAGTAACGGACTGCTCTTGATCAAATCGTCATTGCCCACTTTAATCGGAGCTGAGAACGACCTAGCAAGCCACAAATGGTGGGCCTACCGCTGCTTCAGGCTCAGAATGACTTGGCTTGAGAGCCACCTGGGCAAATTTGAGCCCGTTTGAAGTGATCATGTGCCCTGATGCGTAAGATGAAGGGCCAGAACGTTCTGTTTGACATGATGTGGCAGAGGATAGCCATGGTGACAGACCAGTAAGAGCCTAGAACCAATCGTAAAAGCCAGAAGGGTTCGGCATTTGCCAAGAGCGAACTGGAAACCGAGCTACACATCCAGTCTAGAAGCGTTGTGACGGACCTTGGGTTTTATGGGACGAATCGTCTTTTCTTGAGCGCAACCCAGCTTGGACGGCCTGAGCCAAGCAGCTGAGGACAGTGTCTAGCTAGGGGCTGACAGGTCATAACCATCCATGCACAGCCTCAGCTGTGATTTTGTACAGTCACATGTATTGTCCCCAGGAAAAGTGTTGCTTGGTTTAACACTGTAATTGTATCACACATTTACAGCCATCGTTCCTTCTAATGCTGTTTCACTCCAAGCAAGACAGTCGCCCTGGTGTGGCTTCAGCCCATCTGTCCGGCACTCGCCGGCGTCCGGCTGGCGCCTCTTGATCCAGAGTCTTCTCTACACCTTTACTTACAAGAATGGCTTAACAGAGAACTTCTTTCACATCCCGAGGCATGCGATGGAGAATTATGCTTTCATTTGTGGTCATATTTGCGTAAAGTGGGCACATGGGGCCAAAACCTCCACCATGAGCTTGAACGAAGAAAGTGTTTCTCAGGGGTTGCCACTTTTGACAGACCAATGCCATTGGTTTTAAGATATTCATCTCTCTTAAACACTTCAACATGAGAGAAGATTGTGGACTTGGTTACAATTACAACGATAAAGGCCCTGCTCGCAGTGGTTGTTTGACGAGACGTCAACTTGCTCTTGTGAAATTATGTGTTCGATGTGTTTTATGTAGTTTGATTTCGTCCGCTTTTCATCCGCTTCCATAGAGTTTCACGATGAAATAGAGGACTTTACCACTGTCTCAAAGTGTTGGTCAATACTGGGAAATTTGTTCAGCACCCATTACAAATGTACAAGTACCGCTTCCTGACATCGTGACAGACAAAGCGTAGCAATTGGATACTGGATTTGAGATGAAAACCCAAGTTTGAGAAAGCGGTCATGGGAACATGGTGGTTCCTGACGGGAAGTAGTCATGCTAGAGTAGCTTCTGTGCCACGCTTTGTCGCTCAGCAGAGAAGCGCAGGTTTAAAAGCTCGACCCGTCTAAAGCAACGGTAAGCATAGGCAAGCTGGGCTAAAGTGTGTGTCACTTAAGATGTTCATAAGGATGCGAAAAACAGATTTCGAAAAATAATCACAATGATTAGCACATTTTTCAAGAGAACTTCATCCCATGTAGCGGAGGTTGGCAGTCTGGCATGAGATTCCTCCAACAATATCAATGATCTGGAGTGCGGACAAACGGCCTCGAGGAGCTTGCCTTGACGGTAGTCATAAGTCCCATTGTCCCGTACCTGTTTGAATGCCTACCTAGGTACCTAGGTAGGTGACTGCTTTAGAATAGCGCTAATGGGGACTGCTGCAAAGGTTTAAAAGCAACTCAACTTCAACCCACCTGCGAGTTGCCCTCCAACCATCAACCACACACTCCCATCTCTGAATCCCAGAACCAAACCCCAAACCACCTCATACCACAACCTGTCTCAAGACCTCCTTGATCATCACAAACCTTAACAACCCACTTCATCATCATCAGATCTTCTCAAACGACCATCCAAGATGCAGTTCTCCGTCGTCAACATGACCACCGTCGTCCTCGCCGGCCTTGCCAGCCGTAAGTACCGATCCTCTCCCCACGCCAACTGCCCACCTGTCGCCCTTTGCAAAACCTCAAAGAAAATGCGTAGCAGTCAACTGACATATCTTCAGTGGCCCTCGGCGCCCCGGCGGCCAACCAGCTCGCCACCGACACCCTTCTCGTCGAGCGCGCCTGTGACTGCGACTGCAACAAGAAGTGCCAGAAAAACTGCCTCAACGGCTTCCCCAGCTTCGGCGCCTTCGCCTGCGTCCTCAGCTGTGCGCCCAACTGCGGCTGCAGCGAGAACTCCAAGTGCTAGACGACTGTCCTTCACGCACACTCGCTATCTTCCTGGCAGCAAGGAAACGCGGGACCAACTCACCTGTTTGGTGGTGAGGGGATTTGAGCTATGATTTTGGCAGTGGATTTGGGTGGTATCGAGGGCACGGGGTCCTACACATCTTTGAGGAGGGTGCCCGATGGACTCTTCTGTCGTTATACATTGGCCAGTTACGGCTGACTCAACACCCGCGCTGAATGAAGACATCACCATTCTGCCTGAACTTGTTTTCTGTCCTTGTCCCTCTTCCATTCACCTGAATTGCAACTCTGACGTCTCACCGCATGCCTGCCCAAGCTTGTGCGGTGATTATTCGACTGCTTTTCAGTTGCTGCTTCGTTTGTCTTACCTCCTTATGAACAAATGTCCCTCCCACCTGCCCAATTGAGTCGCTGGCTGTAGGTGCTACTCACTGAGGAAACCGCGAAATGTAAAGTTCACGCACGCCTCTCAGCAGCTAGGTGAAATCTTTGTAACAAGTGCTGTATTGGCGCGTTGTTGGCCTGCCAATCCATCCGCTTAGTTGAGACTCCATGTGGTGCGCAAGGGTGGCAACACACATGTGACAGTGCAGTGGTGCAACTTAAAGGCGCCTTTCATGGGAAAGAAGATCAGGCTAGAGGCTTCACTGAAACCAGCCCATCTTGACGCCTCTAATTTTCATTTCCAAGCAGTATGGGGCGAAACGTAGAATCGTAGGTGCCTAGACAAAGTTTTCCACGAGGAGCGCCGCCAATCCCACACCACAGTTCCAAGTTGCCCGAACACGGAAAAACCCAGTTCAAGTTGAAAGACTTTACCCTCACAGACCCTCAGGGAACCACACATGTTTTACATCATGGGAATTTGAAACGAAAGCCTCAGTAGATCCCCAGTTCAAAACCACCTGTTGAGTTTCTTGAATTAAGTAATAGCTACTACAATTATCTATGATTTGCATTGATGTTCTTTGCCACGACTGTATAACAATTCCACACGAATTCCCCTGCCATCACGCAACCCCACGCCCTCATTGTGTCACGTCTGCCTTGCCAACAAGTGGCAGCAGGGGAGAAGGCAGCCTTATTTGCCAAAATGTCCCCAGTAGTCAGACCAGTCCGGCGTGTCCAAAGCCGAAAGAGGTACCTGTCGAAACGATGTCACTGCTATCGTCAACAATGCAAGCCGGACGACAACATAAGCCGGAGCCGTCCAGGCTGTGGACCAGTGCTTGGAGCGGCATCTGTCGCCGAAGAAGAGTATAAGCAAGCCGATAGGCAGCATCGCCACTGAGCAGCACCGCCAGATCCAGGCCTCCGCAGCGGAAGGAAATGCGTAGTTCCACTCCGCCATGTGGATGGCCGCCAACAGGCTCAGCACGACGCAAACTGTTGTCATCATAAACCAGTCTGACCCAGTCACCGGAGAAGTCGGTCTGATAGTGCTGCTACTTCCACTGGTGGCGTTGATGCTGGTGGGTTCCTCATCTAGGGGATGACCGCACTCGACAGCAGCAAGCACGCCATCGTCCACAACGTCCAAGTCGACCTCAAAGGATTCCGAGATATCCTGCGGACAACGCAGCCACGCCAAGGTCGCAATCAGCCCGCAGCATGTGTAGGCGATCGTCAGGTCCTCCAGCGGGGTGACCGTGTATCCTTCGACCAGCCGCGAGACGATGTTGGCGCAGAACCACAGTGCTTGGCAGCCTGCGAGCAGCTTTTCGAACCAACCTTTCTTGCTCCGGCGGTCGATGGCATCTCCGCTGGGGAGCATGTCCATGCAGACACCGCCGCCCTTTAGACCATACTTCTCGTCCCCGAGATACTGATGGCGCTCTGCGAGCTCCACTAGCCTGTTCGGGGTGATGATATCTCCACCATCGGCCTCCCTCACCCCTCTCTTGACAACGAGGAACGACTGCTTCAGGGTCCACGACTGCCAGCCCTGGAGGGCACGGAGCCGCTTCTTGAGACGGCTGGCCTTGATGAGCTGGTCGATCGCGCTCGCGGGCATCGACTCGGGGACGAAGAAGACGAAAAGTGCCCACATGGACCGCGGCATCGATCGGTGTGCGTCCTTGTGGATAGCCGTGTAGAGTACGAAGGCCACGGTCGGCAGGCATGCCCAGACGATGCCGAGGGTGCCTCGGCCACAATTGGGCTCGGGGACGAATCCGGTAGTTTCCATGACTGTACTAGTAGTGTAGTACTTGGTGGGAGAAACGAAACTCAAAATGAATAACTTATTGGTGAACTTGAATGAGCAGTATGCAAGATGACCCGGTGAAATAAGTGACAATCAGCGGTGCGGAAAAGGCTTGGACAGAACAGACTCTAATAAGCCTGGAGCACACCTCTTGGCACGGAGAACTTCCTAGCAAGACACCAGCACCGATTTATATCTAGCAATATCACAAGGCTACAGGATCAAACAAGGTTCCCAAGGCGAGTGAATGGCAAATTTCCTGAGGTTGCCGTTAAATGGGGGCCTCAGCTGCATCAACTGCCGGCTTGGTTTGCGTAACCGCCCCCGAGACGTGGGGGCCGTGATCTTCATCAGCATGGTTACCTAGGTATCGATGGGGCGGACAGCTTCAGCTTGGAAGCAACTCATTCGGCTCCTCCGGGCCATAGGACGGCTGATAACCCCTGTTGCCCGGACACGGCCGGGCCGTGAGTGTTACTTAAGGGAGGGGTCCAAATTCAGGGCGCCGCCCTCCGCCGGTCTCATCTGTCTATTCATTGCCGGCGCCTTGCAATTTGCTGAAATACCTTCCTTTGCCACATTTTAATATCGAATGGGTGTGGTTGTGGTGGCATTTCTAATCTCCATACACCCACAGTGTATGCTGTTCCCTCACACACTGGCAAAGTCCCAAAGATCCACTCGTTCAGCTCAAAATTATTTCAGTTCCTATTCCGTGTATACCCGAGAGCAAACATACCTAAGTACACTACACCTTCATACAGCGGTGAACACTCAAAACCCGGTGTTTAAACAACAACAATACTAACAACGGCATGGAAACCTCAAAGACTCTACTTGTGCACGTAGCACCAGCCTCCTACCGCACAGACAAAGCTAGGAAGCATCACTCCCGACGCCGTCATTGACTAGCATCTTCGACACAAGTCGCCTAAGGGCAAAAACGCACAGTACTCATACTTCATGAATGGAGCCTGAGATGCGCCTGTGCAATGAAGGCATGAAGTACCCCTGTAGTTTGGGGTAGGATCGTCGATACCGACTAGTAACAATACATTAGGTTTTGGGAAGGATGAACAAGGCAAGCCCTGTACTAGGCTACCTATCTATAGGGTGGCTATACACTATACTATATACACTAAGCTCTATAGTGTAGTAGGAATGTAAATATTTTTGTATTAGTATAAATGTAGTATAGTGTAAAGGTGTTTAGTGTAAGTGTATGTAATGTAATGAATAAAATGTAATTAGGGGGTGGGGGGTATATTGCGCCTTATAAGGTATATATTTAAATTATACTTATGTTTTATAAGGTGTATAAGGTGTATAGTAATTAGGGGATATTAGTTAATAAATTAAATAGCTATGTAATATATATTATTTAAATTAGTATTATAGTGTAGTAGTTAAGTCTTATATAATAAATTTTTAAATTTTTATTTAATTTATTAAACTTATAACCTAAAGGTTATAAGTTAAAGTATAGAAAAAAGAAATTAATTAAACTTTAATAACTTTTTAAAATAAAATAGTTAAATTAGAATAATTATAATATAGTTATAATTAAAAGAGTTTCTTATTTTTTAATAAATATTAAGAATAATTTTAATTATACTTTAATAATAATATTAAAATAAATAGTAAAATAAATAAAATAATATATATACTTTATAAAATATATACTTAAATTATATATATATTTTATAAGGTATAAATTATTAATTATATTAACTTTTAATATATTTATGTTTATTTTTAATTATTTTATTTAAAGATAATATATTATTACTTTATTATAATAGTTTAGTTTTAAATAAAAATTATTATTATAAGTTTATTTTATTTTATTAAATAATATAATATACTCTTTATTAATATTAACTACTTTTATAAATATTATAAATATAAAACTTAATATAAAAAATTATATTAATATTAAAATAGTTTTAATAGAGTATTACTATATATTTAGTTAATAAAATAACCTTTTACTTTAATATTTATTATAATAATAAAAAAGTTTAAAATTATTTATAATTAGTATAAATAAAAATATTTTTATTTATATTAATAAAATAATAAATTTATAACCTTATTATTAAAAGGTAAATATTTTATTTTTAATATTAATATTTATTTATTAAATTTATATAGTTATTAACTTTTAATATTAGGTTTATTAGTATTAAAATAGGAAATTTAATAAAAGAAATTAACTTTATTATAGTTATATATATAAGTTATTATAGTATAATTTAAATATATAATTAAAAATTTCTACCTTTTAGTTATAAGCTTTTAGTTAAAAATAGTATTTATATTTTTATATTCTTTTTTAAATTATTTATATTATTATTTTAATATTAAATATTTACTTTCTTTTATAATATTATATAATTTTAAAGAATTCTTATTAATATATTAAATAAAAGTTACTATAATATAATAAATTAAAGTTTTATTAAACTTAAAATAATAAGAATTTAATTTTATTTAAATATAATTAATATTAATATAAAAGTATTTAAGTTTAGAAAAGCTAAAAGTAATTACTTTCTATACTTTTAAATAGTTTAAAAGAATTTAAAGGTAATAAAATAATTTTATATATTATTATATATTTTTAAAAATTATTATATTATTTTTAAACCTAATTATTACCTTAAAATATTAAAAGTATATTTTAAATATCTTTAAAAACATTATTAATAATTATAATTATTTTTAATTATTATTTAATAACTCTATTATATTATAAAAAATAAAAAATATTTTTAAATTAGTTTATATAATAATAAGCTATATATTATTAATAGTTATTTTAGTTTTATTATAATTATATAAAATAGGTAAAACTTAAATATATTAAAATATATATAATTATTTTTAATAATATTTAAGTTATAAAATTTATATTAAGTATCTCTTTAAATACTTTTTTAATATTTAAGTAGTTAATTAATTAGTTAGTTAAATTAATAAATAGTAATAATAAATATTATAAGCTTATTAATAGAACTTTTTTATTATTTTTATATTATAGTATAATATTTATTTTATTTAAGTTAAATAGTTTTTAAATAATACTATATTATTTTTAAATAATAAAGTATTTATAATTAAGTTAATAATATATTTAAAATAATAAATATATTATTTATTATTATTAAATTTAAGGAGTTTATTAAATTCTTTTATTATTATATTATTATTATTTATATTATTTAAAGTAAAGTATTTAATTTTTTTTTTAATTTTAAACTTTTAAATAACTTTAAATATATATATTATAATATTTTTTTAATATAGTTATTAATAATTTTTAATATATTAAAAATAAACTTTTAAAAGTATATAGATTTATTAGAGCTAATGTCCACTCACCCAGCAATTGTGTCCACTCACCCAGTTTTTTTCGACCACTCACCCAGTACAAGAATTTATGTGCAGGGCCCATACAAAACTATGTACCTGACCAGGATTCTCCAAATTTTTGATACTTTCGGTACAAGCCCCTTCTGGCCCCCCTTCTGGCACCCCTTCTGGGACCCTTCGCCTTCGCCTTCTGGGACCCTTCGCCTTCGCCTTCTAGGCCTTCTGGGCTGCACGCATTCAGGTACCAACTGAGCATTCAGATGCCAACTGAACGCCAGAAGGCCAGAAGCCAAGAAGGCAAAGGCGAAGACTACACTCTTTCTGGCCTTCTGGTACCCCTTCTGGCCCTCTAGCACTCTAGACTTCTGGCCTTCTAGCGTTCAGTTGGTATCTGAATGCTCAGTTGGTACCTGAATGCGTGCAGCCCAGAAGGCCTAGAAGGCGAAGGCGAAGGGTCCCAGAAGGCGAAGGCGAAGGCGAAGGGGCGCCAGAAGGCGTGCCAGAAGGCGTGCCAGAAGGGGTGCCAGAAGGGGCTTGTACCGAAAGTATCGAAAATTGGAGAAGGAAATCGTGCCATGGGGTCTCTCGGTGCTGACTCAGAAGGTACTTATAAACGTGAGGGAGTTGCTTAGAAAAATTAGTACTGGGTGAGCGGTCGGCGGGAACTAGGTGAGTGGACACAATTGCTGGGTGAGTGGACGTTAGCTTATTTATTAAAATAAAATTATATAATATTATATATTAATAATCTATTATTTAATTATTATTTATTAAATATAATATAAATTATATTTTAAAAATTTTAAAAAACTTTTATTATTATAAATTTTAACTTTTTATATATTATAATAAGTTATAATTATAATATAATTTAATTAAATAATATATTTATTTTCTTAATTATAAGGTTTAAATATTTAAATATAAAATATAAAGTTTAAAATTTAATTAAATAAAAAAGGTTTTTAATAATAATTAAATATAATAATTTCTATTAAAAGATATTCTTATTAAAACTATTAATAAAATTATTTATAATTTTTATTTCTTTATATTATTAATATTTAAATTATAGAATTTAATAATATTTTTAATTTTAAATATAAATTTATTTTAAACTCTAACTATTAGAAAGGTTTTACTTTATATAAAGTTTTATAATACTAATATAAATAGATAATTAATAGTTAAATTCTTAAAAACTAAAAATACTTTTAAAAAAGTACTTTAAATACCTAATATATAGCTAATAAGGCTATATATTAATATTAATACTTTTATTTTTAAAAAGTAAATAAGTTTAAAAAAACTTATTACTCTTTATTTATTTAATTAAATAAATAATTCTTAAAAATAAAATATTACTTTTAATTATTTAATTAAATAAATAATTTAAAAATATTATTATTCTTTAAAATTTAATTTTAAAAGTATAGCTATCCTCTTTATTAATATAAATAGATACTACTTTTCCTACATTATATTAATAACTTTAAAGCTCTCTATACTTAGTTACTCTTTAATAAATAAATTTAAATCTTTTTAATAACTTTGTTTAAAATTTTATTTTAAAGTACTTTTAAAAATATCCTTTTAAAATTAAAGTTTAAATTATATACTTCTTTTAGTTTATTTTAAAGTATTAAATTAAACTATAACTATATTTAAAAGGAATGTTTTTATAAATTTAATAAAAGGTTAAAAAGTTATAAAAGTAAGTTTTAAAACTCTATTTTAATATTTTTCTTTAATATTTATTATTTTAATATTATTTTTAAAGAATTCTATTATTTACTATACT